TCAAAACAAACTAGAACTGGCCTATGGTGGTATCATCACTGATACACCGCTACAGGAGAAATATTTATACAGGGTGTAAACGTTATGATAGTCATTATTTAAATGGGTGATAGAGGGGGTTGAAAGAAGCAAAAAGTTTCATATAACATGGGGGTCAAAACGGCATTTTTCTTACTTCAAAGTAAAATAAATCTGACAACGCCGCATAACTATACAGGGTTATCCAAATTAAGTGTCCACCATTAGTAACTTTGTTATTAGTGGAAATACAAAGTTGTTTGAATTAGCAAACTAGTAGCATTTTTAACGCTGGTAAAAATGAGAAATAAAAAAAACAATTGAGAGTCGTTATTTTGATTTTTTTCAGTAAAATAACATTTTTTTAAATGGAAACTCCTGTATATTATATTTTTTTCTGTTAAAGCATCAAATTTTAAACAAAAAAGTTCATAATGACTTTTCCGCTAAAGTCAAAAATAAAGTCAAAATAACGATAAATATTTTTAATTATTTGCAGTATTATAATATTAAGACGGCTATGAAAACAACATGGCGTTCGCGATTTGACAGCATTAAGATAAGCGACAAATTGTTAAACTGGACATACTCGCAACTAGAAGGCTTTGGAAAACAATGATAAAATCAAATAATGTCAAACATTAGTGTAAATACTTGTTTATAAGCTTTATTGTGTCATTAATTTAAAGAAAAATGTTCTCCCATGAAGAAAAGTGTGATATGTTAGAATGCTATTTAGTGTGCAGAAAATCCTCCTTGAGAGCAAGAGAATACTACAGTGAATTATATCCCGCTCGCATTCAACCGTATGAACGATATTTTCTGAGACTTTATCGAAAATTTAGGGGCAACGAAAATGTTTTTGCTAAAACAAGGACAAAAAAAGAATTCATAATAAGCGAGGCCACGGAAATTGCAGTTATTGGATATTTTGAAGCTTATCGTGAGAATTCAATAGCAGATATTCTCAAGGACTCTAATTTCAGTTATGGTACTGTTCAAAGGATTTTAAAAAAATACAAATTTATTCCGTATAAGTACCGACCAGTTCAAACGCTTTTGGCAGGGGATCCAGAGAGAAGACTTGTTTTTTGCCATTGGTATCTTACCTTCTGTCGCCAAATTGTAAATAACTTTCGTTACCTTTTATGGACAGATGAATCAAATTTTTCAAATTCTGGAATGTTTAATAGAAAAAACCACCATTATTGGTCAAGAGAAAATCTTTTGTTAGTACATCCAAGAGGCCCACAAGTCCGTTTCAGTTTCAACGTTTGATGCGGTATAACTGGTTCAAAAATTGTTGGCCCGTTCTTTTATGAGGGAACCCTAACTGGTGAAAGATATGTGGAATTTATGTCAGAAATTCTGACTAATTTCTTAGACGAATTGGATCTTATAAGTAGACATCATCTGCATTTTCAGCAAGATGGCGCACCTGCCCACAACTCCAGAGGTACTTATCATTTTCTAAGTACTACTTTTAATGATCAGTGGATAGGAACAAATGGCCCAATACAGTGGCCTCCCAGATCACCAGATCTAAACCCACTTGATTACTTCTTGTGGGGTTACTTAAAGAACCAAATTTACAAGCGAAGGTACGATAACCTTGACGCGTTAAAGACTGCAGTTAGGGAAAAGATAACCCAGATAGATGGTAGGACCATACTTAAGACAGTTCGAGCAGTTGAAAAACGTGCCCAAAAATGTATTGAAGAACAAGGTGGTGTTTTCGAGCATCTTCTTTAAAAAAAATTGTTATTGTATTTTGTAAGATTATAAGTTGATGTTGAAAATAAAGTTTGTCGATACAATTTAATTGTTTCAGATTGGAGGCCATAACTTCAACAATTTGTAACCTAGGAGAAAAGTTATTGTAAGCTTTTTTGTTTAAAAGTTGATGCTTTAACAGAAAAAAATATAATATACAGGGGTTTCCATTTAAAAAAATGTCATTTTACTGAAAAAAATCAAAATAACGACTCTCAATTGTTTTTTTTATTTCTCATTTTTACCAGCGTTAAAAATGCTACTAGTTTGCTAATTCAAACAACTTTGTATTTTCACTAATAACAAAGTTACTAATGGTGGACACTTAATTTGGATAACCCTGTATACAGGGTGACTTCGAAGTTGAGTCATTTATTTTAACAGTGAGTAGATCTGATCAAAAGAAATGTTTTTTTCCTTTACCATTTTTCTGGTAAAATTAAAGTAACAAAGTTATAGCCCTTTGGAAGTTTGACTACCGCCCTGTCTCAATAATAATATTATGTGCTCGTGTTTGGCGACAACGGATATAATTCGCCTTATCGGTTCATCACATCGGAAACAAAAAAGCGAAAGAATTTGGAACGATGTTTTTACAATTATTTCATTCAGTTGTATACAGTCAGTGTCAGTCGGTAACGCGTGAGTGAATAGTGGTGCCTGTTGCGTGGCTCAAACGAAATAAAAAATGGCACATGTTTATGCGGATCGGTTTCCCAATCGAGTGCAACCAACCCCTCGTGCCTTTGTTAATGTAGTACAACGGGTTCGTGAATCATTTGACTTAAGACCTCACATATGGACGGCATGCCGGTGCTCCAAGACCTCACGATCAAATACAGGTCCGCACTGAAATACTTGTCGGGAGGATACTTTATAAAAAAGGTAAAATTTTTTTTAATTTTTTTTTATTTTTACACATATATTTTGGTTTATCTTCCTTCTACAATCATTATCTGAAAATTAATGACTCAACTTCAAAGTCACCCTGTATAGGGAACACAATTTTGATACAAGTTTTTCTTTTTAAAACACACACTGCACTTTTTTGTATTTAAAGAAGGTGCTCAAAATGTCGTCCTCCACTTTCCACACAAGCTTCATTACGATGAACCCAGTTTCATCTTACTCTAGATCCTCGAAGTTGTCCATTTATTATTTCAGCCGCATTAAAAATTTGTTCGCGAAGTTGTGCTTCAGTTGTTATTGGACCAGCCCCATAAACCATCCCTTTAAGTTCTCTCCAATACCAGAAATCCATCGGATTGAGGTCAGCAGATCTTGCTGGCCATTTTCGAGGATCAGGAGAATTTCGACCGATCCAGCGATTTGGATAATGTTCGTTCAAATACTGAAAAAATGTGTGGTGGTGTCATGAAGAAACCACAAATTCTGTCTCCGTTGTAACAAGTTTTGGCTTAACTTAGAAAAACTTAATGCCATTTGTTTGTTAATTACCCAATTTAAAAACGTTTTAGATTAGATTATAAAAATTAGTAAGATTGTGGTCGTAACCCCCCCCCCGTTATAGCACATAACTTTTTTCGCCTCAAGCCTCTACGATGGATAGGTTTTTAGGCATTCTTAGTTAGCCACCCTGTAGAAATTCTATAGCACAACCGGATTCTCAATGGGGGTCTCAGCCCCCTGGAACCGTCCATGCGGACGCCTATGAGTGGAAGGACCTCCTTGAAAAGCGCAGTATTTCCCTTTTATGGTGCTTAAACGCCCCACCCTGTACACGTAGCTAATGAACGTATCTATTATTTGACTGAATGGCCGATGGTGGCGTACACGTGTTTTCTTCCTTTTTCGCATTTCGGTTAAACGGGCGTTCGGACCCGCTTCTGAAAATCTGTGCGTGTGCACATGTTGCACTATTTGTCATCGAAATACGCCCGGCAAGTCGAAACAGATGTGCAACGTAACCGACACGCAACTCGGCATTTGAGATGGTCATGTTTTTATTTCGGCTTTACTACGAGGGTACCAGACAAGAAATCTACCTAGCCATGAAACAAAAGACGTGCGATTTTTTTATCATTTTATTTTATAAGAACATGTTTACAGAAACGTTGTAACACACTACGTTCCAGCGATTGCTTTTCCGTTGCATCCGAATCAATTTTCAAATCTACGACTATCTAAACAACGAAAGTATTAAACTCGCACGGAACCGTGTCTCTCATTTAAGAGGTCGGTTTGTCAATACGAGTCTGTTGTATCAGTGCATCATAAGTACTGAGTCAATCTACTTGACGAAGTATTCAGAGAACACTGATTTTGAGTTACTCATTTTCCCTCACAATTCATTCTATGAATTGGAAACTTAGTATCGAAATTTACTCAAATGTTGCAAATAAGGTTAGAACACATGTCATACGAGTACTTTCAATTGTTTTTTCATGGCTAGGTAGATTTCTCTTCTACGTAGTGTCCCTCGTACAGTCATGTCTTGCCAGTAAGTGAAGGGAATGAGGAACTAAATGGTTTTTAAAACTTTGTTTTTCACTTTTTATTATCCCTGAAAAGTTGTAAATTGAATAGCTGCAAAATTGAAATTTGGGATTTAATGTTCACAGTGCCAGTCTTTGTGGCGTCAAGTTTTGGCTGTTACTAATAGCATTTTATATTGAGTGGTGAGGTCGTATAGGAAGCAGTATACCAGTTTTATTTTCTTTCTTTTCAAACAAGCTGAAGTGGCGTCGAAAATTTGCTGAGAAATTTAAATTATTTCCAACGGAATTTGGGCGAAATGTCATTTTAATAGAGGTGTTTATTACTCTTCAATAACAATTAAATTTACATTATTTCAGCCCAGGTGGACTAAAGGCAAGCCTACACCATACATATACATAGTATACCGTGTGATTCTCCCTATAACTTTAGATATACATTTGGGGGTTGCGTATTATAGATGAATTTACATTTTATGACATATTCACTTGCTTGGAAACGACTCCAATTTTCGATTTTTAAAAGGGGCCTGAGCGAACATATCGGCAACGCGGTAGATTGCACGATCCCCTGCGTCACGGCTGCTAAGCAACGTGGTGATGACCTTTATATCTTTTTCTAACATGTGTTCGTACACACTTCTCGCTCGCACACATTGAACTCAAACTGTCAAACACGTTTGGTTTTCCCTGTATATCAGAGAACGTTGTGAAACGAATAGATTCTTCTAATCCATTATATTTTGCTTACAGAAACTTTGGAGTTGATAACTTCAACCGCGAACGAAGATCCTATTGTTTACGTTCGAGCTCCGCGAGCTAACGGAAAAATTGATCCGTCAACTTTGGAACTATTAACTTCGTCTGCTGCGTCCTTGTCTACCCTTCAACCTGCTACAGATTCCAGGAATACCAACGAAACAGGTCGGTAAATACTCGTCGCTATTCATTACTAACTTAACGGAAATTAAATGTTCAAACTTAGACCAATATTTTTATACCCACTAGTCAAAACACAAAGGATCGTTCAGAATCCCGATTACTTTGCATATGACTTTATCAGGATTATTTTTAGACGACACCGATCTCCTCTATGATTTGTACACTAGAACTAAAGGTCCTGATCAGCGTTGCCAGGTCAAAAAATAAATAAAATTGACCAAACTAGATAGACTAAATTTTGTCAACTTTATTTTTGGTTCCAGCTATTTTTCGGTTTACTATTAAACAATTTTTGGATTACTTTTAAAAAATCGATGAAAGTGAGGACGTTTTCGGTATGTCGATGAATGAGGTGTCATTTCGGTAGAAATACCGAATAATCGGTAGGTTTGGCAACACTGTTCATACAAGAACTCGCCACACAGAGAGTGCTTAATTTTGATTGGCAGACCAGACAGCCAATACGATTAGTATTGCCGACACGCAGCTAAAAGGTATTCCTCGATGTACGATAGTTTTTTGTGATCAAGGCATACTCGTTTGTTGCTTATTGAAACTGTTTTGTGTATTCTGTACTGGAAGATAAAGGTTGCGATTGGTAGAAGGTGTGTAAGGTGGGTTGACCATGGAAGGCCACCACAACAAAGAATGAAAACGTTTCTTCACTGGATAAATAGAACAAACAAATTATTATGTATACATACATAAATAAAAGAATGTTTTAGTTCTGGGCTGGGAATTATTGTAATCGCGAAAAATTTCGTAAATGCGATATTATGAGTTTTGTATGATGTATGACATTTACATCACAAAAAACCATGTACGCATTTCCGTCAGTCTGTATGTCCACTAATCATTGGACTGTCTATAATTTGGAAAATACTGCTCAAATTTGGATGAGATTTTCACACAAATTGTTCAAGTTTCTGGTCATTTTCTGAAAAAAAGTTTGTAGAACTTCGTATTTCACTGTTTTTTCACTTGAAACTTATAGAGGGTATTCTGATAAATTATTTTACATCATAAAAAGTGTGAATGAAGCACGCATTTCATTATTTTTTTCCCAAAACACTGTATTTTTTTAGCAATTATTTCCCCCATTATTTCCACCGCCATCTACCATATGACGCTGACGTCTGTGGATATGTCATATATGAGACGCGCTTGCCTGCGGCGTTGCCGGATTGGGCTCCGTATTTAGGGGAAAATATGAAAAGTGGAAAATTTATATACATTTATATTAATCAAACACAAAAACAAAAAACTGAAACAAACAACAGTAGTTAAATTAAATGTGATTCTTACTAAGTATAAAACAAAAAATAAAAACAGCAGTAAAATAAAAAGCAATTCTAAGTGATTATAAAAGACAAAAAATTAAAACAGATGTAAAACAAAAAACAATTCCATTTAATTATAAAAAAACAAAAAATAACAAACAGTAAATTAAAAAGCAATTTGGATGGAATGAAATTGTTCTTCGTTTTACTAGTGTTTTTACTTTTTGTTTTGTGTTGTCACTTAGAATTGCTTTTTATTCAACATGGAATTGTTTTACTACTATTTTTATTTTTTGTTTTTTATAATCACTTACAACTGCTCTTTATTTTACTGCTGTTTATTATTTTTTGATTTTTATAATTACATGGAATTAGTTTTTGTTTCACTACTGTTTTTATTTTTTGTTTTTAATAATTATATATAATTTACCATTTTTTAGCTTACTACTGGTATTTTTTGATTTATACTTATTAGGAATCGTATTTTATTTTGCTAGTGTCGTTTGTTTCAGTTTTTCGTTTTTGTGATTTATTAATTAATATACACATGTATATAAATTTTCAACTTTTCATATTTTTCCCTCACTACGGACCCCAATCCGGCAACACCGCAGGCAAGCGCCTCTCATATACGACATATGCACAGTCGTCTACGTCATATGGCAGATAGATGGCGGTGGAAATAATGATGGAAACAGCTAAAAATACAATGTTTTAGGAAAAATGTTTCATGATAAGCGTGCTTCATCTACACTTTTTTGTTTCTAAATAATCTATCAGACTACCCTCTAAGAGTTTTAAGAGAAAAAACAGTGAAATCGGAAGTCCTACAAGACGCAACAACACCAAAAAAATTTAATGGGTGAAAAGTTTGATGGCGTTGTAGGGAAGGGGGAAGATTACGTCAATTTGTAGGTTTCTAACCCAGGTTATTGGCCTTGAAAGTAGTATTAATATGGGGATGCTGAATATCACTAGATTACGCATCATATTAATCAACAAATTTGTCATCGCAAGGCAGTAAGAACGAGCTTTTTAATAATCGGCCTTTCATGATACACTCACGTACGTTTGGTCACAATTGATAGATACTCCTATGTAACAGATCCTTTAGTAGGTCGATTAGTAAATTGCCGACGAAAATAAACCATCCAAGCGTATCAATAGTCCCGCTGTCGTTCATCTGACAAAGTTCAAACACGCTTCCACATACCCGGATTTTGGATTGTTTTGATAAGAACAGGCTGCAGATGGCACGGGATCCTTCAGCACGCCGACATCTGTTACCGGCCTTCTTGATCCGAAAATGCTTCATTTCGGGCCACGACAACCGTGACAGCGACGCGACGCTCCGTTGTTTGTTGATGCAGAATCAAGGGTGGCCTCGAAAACAGAGACAAACTATCGCTCTGTTATAAGATTTGTTAGTCATTTACTATAATGTCAAATTATACGTACTTCTTGTATAAGCACGAATATTAGGCTTAGCCCGCCGCCGTTTCCAAAAAGTACAAAGCTTTTTTATTCTTGGCATTGTAGTAATCTTGTGGCACAATTTTTATGGGGCAAACATTTTGGGTTCCACTTGAAAAATTCGGCTTGACCGTCACATAACCTTAAAGGTCATCATGGCTAAAGTCAGATCCAAGGTCACCCTTAGATATCCGGGGGGAAATTTATAAAAATAATGTCTTGATAGTTTCTCTATACCAGTACTAGTTTTCAGGTTACATCACACTTGGGTTTGACCTTGACCATAAGCTCCTAAGATCAAAATTTAAGAATGGTACCATATTTGAATGTAAAATTTTCCGCTCTTCTCTTTATAAGGTAAAAAATTTGGAGTTCTATTTAAAAAATTCGGCTTTACTTTGACCATAACCTACTACGTTTAAATACAGTCTTGACTATTTTTAAATTTTGACCTAAGGAGGTCATGACCAGAGTCAGGCCCAGGTGCGGTATATAAATTGAAATCGAGAAACTACCGAGACATTATTTCCATGATTTTACCCCAGATATCCAATAATGACCTTGTATCTGACTTTGTATATGACGTTCAAGGTCATTTGAAGGTCAACTGTGTTTTAATGAGACCCTGTACTTTTGACCGTGGAAATGGAGAAAATGGAAATTTTGTTCAAATATCTACTTGACCAATTTTGGAACTTGACCTTGGACTGGAACATCAAGGTCAAACATAAGTTTACCTTAATTTGAGTATTCTCCGGACTGTTCTTTCAGGATTGTTCCATGAATACAAAAACCGGCTTGACCTGCACATAAGCTTAAAGGACGTCATGGTTCAGGTCAGATCCAAGGTCACCATTGGATATCCGGGGGAAGATCATGAAAATAATGTTTCCATATACAACTACTGGTTTCCAATTTATATCACACCTGGGTTTGACCTTGACCATGAGCTCCTAAGATCAAAATTTAAGAATGGTACCATATTTGAATGTAAAATTTTCCGCTCTTCTCTTTATATGGTAAAAAATTTTCAGTTCTACTCAAAAAATTCGGCTTTACTTTGACCATAACCTTCAAGGTCATTTAAAGATGGAGTCGAATCCCTTCATGGAACCCCATTTTTGACCCAATCAATTAAGAGAGCGGAAAATTCTACGATTAAATACAGTCTTGGCTATTTTTAAATTTTGACCTAAGGAGGTCATGACCAAGGTCAGGCCCAGGTGCGGTATATAAATTGAAATCCAGAAACTACCGAGACATTATTTCCATGATTTTACCCCGGATATCCAATAATGACCTTGTATCTGACCTTGTCTATGACGTTCTAGGTCATTTGAAGGTCAACTGTGTTTTAATGAGACCCTGTACTTTTGACCGTGGAAATGGAGAAAAGGGAAATTTTGTTCAAATATCTCCTTGACCAATTTTGGAACATGACCTTGGACTGGAACATCAAGGTCAAACATAAGTTTGCCATAAGTTGAGTATTCTCCAGACTGTTCTTTCAGGATTGTTCCCAGACTACAAAAACCAGCATGATCTTTACATAACCTTAAAGGACGTCTAGGTTCAGGTCAGAACCAAGGTCACCATTGGATATCCGGGGGAAGATCATGAAAATAATGTTTCCATATACAACTACTGGTTTCCAATTTATATCACACCTGGGTTTGACCTTGACCATGAGCTCCTAAGATCAAAATTTAAGAATGGTACCATATTTGAATGTAAAATTTTCCGCTCTTCTCTTTATATGGTAAAAAATTTTCAGTTCTACTCAAAAAATTCGGCTTTACTTTGACCATAACCTTCAAGGTCATTTAAAGATGGAGTCGAATCCCTTCATGGAACCCCATTTTTGACCCAATCAATTAAGAGAGCGGAAAATTTGAATATAAAATTTCACTTTATGAGAGCAAAAATGTTGGGTTCCGTTTAAAAAGTTCGACTTGACCTTCATTTGACTTTGAAGGTCAAGCAGGTCAAATTCAAGGTCGCTATTGAATAGCTGGGGGAAAACTCTTATCAATCGCCGGGTTTAGTTGTTTCATACCATTATTAGTTCACAGATCAGGAACTTTTCAGACACCCTATATACCGACATCCAGTCATAACAGGTATGTTAAAAGATGCATCTTCACACGAATGATACTGTAGAGGGGGCATACATTTAGAACACCATATTTTTGTCCTCGCTCTTCGAACGTTCTCGGCGTTGAGAATGTTTATATACGGATTTATGACTTGTATTTTTGAACATCATATAGACTCGCACCTATTATATGAACCGGAATTTATGACGGAGATGACAGAACTAATGTTCATGGCGAGAAGGTGTGATAAGAAAATTCTCTCAAAATAAACTATACGTGGAAACTTCAGCTATAGTGGTTTTATTGAATGATGAGAACTGTTTATTATTTTAACACGTGTACATACATGTCACATAACGTCCAAAAAACATATCGAAATATTTCCCCAGTTTCGGTATAGGAAGGCAGAGTTTATATTGTAATATGTTACAGGTCAAAATGACGGACTTGAAACTGAAAGTTTGACGTTAGAATTGAGCGATAGTCCAATTGTGCCGACAACTTCAGAGGTAGGACACGATGTATCCACAGAAAGGGGTAGACAAAAATCATTAGCATATGACGAGGAAAAAACACCGAATGAAGATGGATTTCAGAAAGGAAACATCAAAGAAGAAAAAGAAGAAAGAAAACTGAAAGGTAAGTTATTTTAACAATACTAGTAATATTCTGCAAAATTTAGACAACAAAAGACACTTTCTTATCCATTTTAATATTTGATTTTCATTTCTAGAAGCTATAGAAGCCGACCTATCCCCTAAAATCGATGACTATGAGTCTCTTTTTGAATTCTCTGGTACTACTGATGAAAACATTTTCGAGTCTGACGATGTCTTAGAAGATGTTCCATTGGGAACAACCGCCCCTATCAACTTTGACATATTCAGTAAAATTGGCAACGTGAGCGATTATAAAACATCCATCGCATCAACAAGCGATAATAAAGAATCTACAGCAACGACTGATAAAAGTATTAATATAGAAGTCGTTACTGTTGATATTGCATACGTAAGCACAACTTTTTCAAGTGTGACTGTGACTACTAGCAAGGCAGCTGTGGAATTTGAAACGAGCGACATTCCAAAAACAACTGCTGCTACTTTCACCGATTTACCAAACAATAATGAAAATACAAGTAGATCAGATGAAAAATTTTACGAAAGTGCCGAGTATTCTTCCGAAATACTAGAATATGAAGATATGTCTCAGGAATACACTACAACAAACTCAGCAACAAGTGAGACTGAACCTTTGAAAAATAAAAGTGACAGTAACCACAATCGTTCTAATATCGCAACGAACAGCACAGAAACCCCGGTAAAAGTTTCGGAGATTTCTCTTGACCCAATTTCTTTGGAAGACGAAACAATTATCGGGGAAGATACCAAAGTTTTATCAAACCTCACTGAAGATATAGTATCGCAAGTCGATAGTTTATACGAACAAGCCTCCTCGGCTAAAGAAGAAGAGGAATATGACGAAGAAGATGAAAAAGAAAAGGATGAAATAAGAAAAATGTTTGGGGAAGATTATGATTATATTGAGGAGAAAGAGACTCGTCCTCATGAAGAAAAAACTGTAATCGAGGATACAGACATATATGCCAATATAATGAAAGTGAAGAATGATAAAAAAGCAAGAGGGGATAAGAAGAAGAAAGACTGCTTCAAAAATTCAGATAATGAATCATTTATAGTGAGGGCCATACTTGGGAACAGAGCTAACTTTAGTATACAAATAAGGATAGAGGTATTTTTTTATAAATCCGTTTATTTGCAGTAGAGTGGTATTCTGTTATTGGATTGAATCTTTGGGTGTCCCATTTTAATCTCCCCTCCTAAATATTTCTACAACTGAGAATCCTATGAAAAAAATCAAACAAGTTGTAGGGTTTCGAGGAGGCAAAATGTTAGTAACCTTGACCATGACCTTGATTGCGACTTTCAAGGTCAAGCGAATATTTCCAAATGGAACTCGCTTTTACACAGGAATTGAAAAGAAAGGACGTTTTTTCTTACGAGTATGACCTTGACTGTGACCACCGTGATATTCAAGGTCATTCCAAGGTCAAATAAAGACATTGAGGACGATTTGCTCTAGCAAAAATGTTCGACAGCACAGTTGTATGATTTGTGGGGGTCACCCACATCTTGACCATGACCTTCACCATTACATTCAAGGTCATATCGAAATTTCACGTGTTCAAAGATGAAATTTATTGCTTTCTGGAATTTTGGTTTAAAAATCAAATGACGTTCAAGATTGTCATGATCTTGACCCTGAAATCAAGGTCACATTCAAACATAATATTTTCTGATTTTTCAAATTCAGGGATAAAATAACGTGTTTCTTTAAAAATTTTGACTTGATTTTTAATATCAAGGTCATCTTTGGGTGACGCACACAAACGTCTCAACTGTGCTGTTCAACATTGTATTCAATGTTACTTGACTTTGAAATGTCATTGAAGGTCATAGTTATGCTCAAGGTCATATTTGGACGTAGAATTTACCCCTCTTTCCATTTGCGGTCTGAAACAGGATGAGTTCTATTATATATATTGGAAATAATCGCTTGAGCTTGAAGGTCATGGAAAAAGGAGCAAATCCTACGTCCAAATATGACCTTGACCATAGCTATGACCTCCAAGGCCATTTCAAACTCAAGTAACATTGAAAACGATATGCCATAGCAAAAATGTTCGTCAGTACAGTTTCGAAGTTTTGTGGAAATCACCCAAAAATGACCTTGACCTCAAAGTCAAAGTTACGGCAACCTTCAATATTATTTGTGGGTCAACCTTTTCATTTTTATGCCAAATTTGCAGAGATCAAGGTATTTTATATTTGAATATGTAAAATTTCTACGTGACCTTGAAGGTGATGGTCAAGGGCAATGATTTGGATGATCCCCACAAACCTCACAGCTGTGCTGTCGAACACTTTTGCTAGAGCAAATTGTTTTCAATGTCTTTATTTTACTTCGAAATGTCCTTGGAGGTCATGGTGATGGTCAAGGTCATATTCGGACATAAAATTTCCTGCTCGTTCCAACTCCGGTGTAAGGAAGGGGTAGTTCCATTTAAAAATATTCGCATGACGGTCATAGTCAAAGTCGTTCTCAAAACTCTACAACCTTTTGGAAGTTTTTGTCTAGCAATATTTAGGTTGGGAATTATTATTGATTATTGCATAAAAAGGCGTTCTTTCTTCTAGGATATCTCATTTTTTGTCCCCGAGGATGTGACAGTGCACGAAGATACCACAAATATGTTACTCAATTTTACCTGGAGATCCACCAAAGCAAGATTTAATAATTCTCTATCTCTGATGCTGACACAAATCTCAAACTACTATTTGGTAACCGGTGTCAAGCTGAAACTCATGAAATGTAAGTTGATGTGAAGCTGATATTCGTTATTTTCTTCTGCTTCAAAAATAAATGATTTTATTTTAAAGGTGACGAAATGACAGATTGGATAAAAAATGAAGTATTGATACCGAAGCGAAAGGATAAATATGGACAGCTCGAGCTCGCAGCTGATTTGGACGATGAAGTGACTGTTTTAATCTCAAACATAAATTTCTTGAAGATATATTATGACGAAGCTGAGGTGTCAGGTTGGTGAAATATTTTTTTTTGAATGCGAGGTCGTTACGTTGCCAGTCTCATTACTTAATTTACAGACCTCGTATAGTATTCCTAGCTTCCTAATTGAAATAGTAGAAAAGAGAGAGCCCTTGGCTAAATATATTGGATAACAAACGTTTCTGAAACGAAGAACGTCGCTTGAGCGATTTTTATTTTTTTTTTTTTTTGGCACTCACTCCGTCGCCACGGAACCGCTTTTCAGAGACTACAATCCTTGAAACAACAATGACGTTGTGTGAAAACTTGATCAAAAGCAGAATTTGCGGAAATGAACGACATGCTTTTTTTCGTATACGAGGGGGGTCCGATAATTACTTAGCCACATCGCCCGATGGCGCTACTATCGCAAGAGAAATATACTATCATGAAGTGCAATTCTCGTACACCACTACTGTGAAAATTTTAGCCGAATCGGACTAGTAGTTTTGTTTTGACAGCGTGTGGAAGCGAGCGTGTCCGCGGATTTTAGAAAAACGGAAAAAAGAAATATAGGTCGGAGATTAGATTCCTTTTTTTTTTTGGAGGGATAGAAGCCGGTAGAGGAACACGAGGCCGCCATCGCATGTACATATATTTTATTTTCGAAAATTTTATCCACGAGTATTGAAAATGTATAACGAACCGACCTTCTTACGAAATCTTAGCTTATCTCAGAATTCTTCTTCGTAAGATTAACTTCGAGTTTTTGCTTGTTCAATAAGAAATAGTATAATTGTCATCAAGTTTACTAATTGTTTGATGTTTCCTTTGTTTCAGGACCCTCGACAGTGGATATAGAAAACGAACTATTTCAGATGGAAATAACTGTGGCCATTACTGCATTCTTTACTGTGATTGTGATTGGAGGCGTATCGATAGTGATTTATTTCGTAATTGTGAGAAGAAAACGACGATTGTTCGATTTTAAAAATAAGAAAATTTGTCCACTATAGCTGTATTTGTAAATATATTTTTTTAGATACGTATTTTTATAATACACTTGCTCATTTCTTCCCGCACCTATCTACCCAGAATTCTTTCGTATGTCAGTAGCGCCCTAAAAATGCTACTATGATACACCAAAAATCATTTATTCATCCAATTATAAAAATTGTGATACTTTCTAATAAATTAGCTTAACAATAACTTATTTAACAGGTTTCATCTGCCATAAACCATCATTTAAATAATGGCAATTTTCTACCCCGATTCCCTTATTGATTTTGGCTCTGAAAAGAAAAAACCAGCTAGAGAAGTTTGATGCTAACATTGCAAAATTTGTGTATTTGAAACAGTTTATTAAATGCTATGTAAGTTTGATGCTGTAAAGTTACTTACATTTCTTCTGTTGACAAGGTGGTTTTTCCAATGGCCAGAGCATGATCTTTACCTTCTGCCATAATAGCCTACAATAAAAAAATAAATTCACACATCTTTTAAATTTTAAACGTTCATAATAAAAGTACCTCTAGCATAAGTATCTGTTTGTTGTTTTTCTCAAACTGAAGTCAATGGCAGATTTTTGCCTTGTTCATACATACCACAATTGTATCCTTTGGAACCTCAGTCATTTTCGCTCCAGGCGATGTCAAACCAGGACACATGATATTAGCACCACTTAAAACAAATCTAATAGCTCCCTTATCAACTTGTTGCATAGGCAAAAAGAATGGATCTAAAAGAAAACACAATTATCTCCATATTCTACGGATCTTAGAACCAAAACTCACATTTATGAAACAATCTTAAGGTAGGCATCCACTGTCCTTCTCTATGTCTAAAAAACAGCAAATCTCCTGCTGAGTTCACTATTATTTCAATATGGTCATGACTAAAACGAAAATATTAAAAAATATATGGATAACAAATTCATAATATAGACTATTTTACATCTCATCATCGACTTCATCTTTTAAATGTTTCTCTTACCATTTTATGATTCTCAACGAGTCCTTTTTTGGTAAAATAGTATCGATGTAGTTTTCCAAATGGGGATAACTTTCCAACAATTTGGTTCTGATTGCTTTTTGTACCGATGATTTCAACTGCAAGACACCGGACACGCTTTCCTTCTCATCAAACCTGCAAGATAAAATTTGTAATAATAATTTATCAACTATTTGTGTACCCATTCATTACTTTTTAAACATTTTACAAGGTTCTTTTCAACTTTATAGTTTAGTGTTTTGAGTTTGTTAAAGAGGTTAAGTAGTGACAGTTATGACACATAACTGACAAGTGACAGGACCGACATGCCGTAGTGATGAGAAGTTCGAATCTCTTTTTTCATAAGAGAACTTGTTGATCCATCCCTATAAATTGTGATGATGGGCATTCTGACTCATTGTAGTCGAAATCGGACTTAACCGAATCTAATTTTATTGAACCACGAAGTTCGCCCATCTCTCTGCTCATGTCTGAATTGGGAGGAAAAGGGTTATGTTTACATTTCAAACAAGCTGATGGCTGATGTGTTTTGATTAAACTGCAGGTTTAGCTTACCCTAGTATTTTCTTCGCTTCCAAAGATGAGTGGATGATTTAATGAACTACTCCAAAATGACCACGAATGAAAAATGGTTAAAATTCTACAAAGATTTTGGCGCAAACCAGAAAAGTTCACAAGGTAGCATATTTTGGAGTAGTTCAGAGTCTGATCTTGAAGATGTTAGTTTAAAGTCTCCAGTAAAGAGAAGAAGAAACTCATCCAGTGATAAAAGTGAAATTTCCGAAGATGAAATTTCAAGAGGTATTGAAAAAAGCCCCTCCCTGAATTCAAGCTGGAATACAGATTCACCAATCTTAAGTTCAAATTGGAAACAAGATTCGCCGGTACTAAATAGTCGGATGATACACAAGTCACCTGTTTTAATAAATACATATAAAAAACGCCGGAAAGAGATGGAAAGCAAGGTGGAGTCTCTTTATTGTACTCCAGATTTATTTAACTCGCAACCATCTCAATTTATTGAGGATGATCTACCAGAAGCATCACAAAAATCTTGTAAAGTTGAGCTAGTAACGCAGATACAACAAACTCAGTCAAGTGTTGTTATTGAACCAGTCTTTAGTCAAAATGCTTCAATAGTTGCAGAATTTGGTAGCACAGATAGTGATAAAATGACTGACAGTACTAACAGTAGCTCATTTTGCATACCCAGGAAGAGAAAGAAGTACAAAAAAGATGGCTTAGCAGAAAAAGTCTATCATATGATGCAATCACAAAGTTTTAAGTATACAGTGTGGCAAATCCATAAACAAAATTCTAATGACGATACTTGTATAAAGTGTAGTATTAAGAAAACGTGGAAAGAATATGGTACTACTATTTTGGAATGTACTGTTATAAAAAATGATAGTGATGCAAGTGAAAGCATAATTTTAATATGCCTAAGTCCTATCATAAACATTACTTTAGATATTGGTTGCATATGTGAATTCTTCACACCCTTCATTGAAAAAACTGTATTATATCATAATAGGGAAGTGACATGTTATACAAATGTTATTAAAATACAACCTGTTGCAACATGATGTTTCATACGAAAACCTAACTGCTTTGTTTCACATCTAAAATCATGTTTTTGCTCCTTCATTTGTTATTTATATATATATATATATATATATATATACAAGCCCCTTCTCACTTCAGTTGGCCCAACTATTGAAATCATAGTTTTTTCTTATCAAACACAAATAATAAAAATGTAGCAGGGTGTTATAGGTTTAAAATATTAACAATGAATATTTTGATAATATATAGTAGAAAACACTCCCTAATCAAATTTGTAGCATAAAAATAACACATGTTGCAATTACAGCATATCAACCTATTTTCATTTCAATGCAAAATAAGTCTATAACGCATAGGTGGCTGTGCAAAATAAAAGCCATGATAATTGTTTTTATTAATCACAGCTGTCAGAATACGTTTAAAATAGATTTGGGTAGTTAAGGTTTTCAAAATAGGAGGAGGAAAGGTTATTAGTGAGAAAATTCGGTTACTGATGATTAAATTTTTTAATTCTGGGAAATAAAACTCAGAAATTGCAACTTTGTTAGACTTATCGCGGTACAGTGTGAGAAATATTGTTAGAAGATATAACGTAACTGGTTCAGTTAATATTAAGCCGCGATATGTGAAAAAAAGTAGTATCTCAAATAGCAAAGAGCATTAAGAAGAATAATCGTGAAAAACAGGCGTGGCAATTATTTACAATTAAGTGCTCTGTGGAGTGACGCTGTTGGAAGGAGAATTTCGAGGTCCACAAATTGGGATTTAGCACTTGCAAGATAAGTTTTCTTATAAAAAAAAAGTGAAGTAAAAACCCTAAAGTTGCACAACTTAGAGTGTATCTAAAATGTTTTTGAGAAAATAAATTGTTTTAGAAGTAAATAGTTTCATCATGTTTAGTTTATAAATGCATATTTTGGTACAAATCTTGAAGTGGGCCAACTGAAGTGGGAAGGGGCTCGTATATCCTACTTTTTAGAGCAAAATTAATAAGCTATCTTTTGATTTAATCAGTTTATATTAAATAAAAGAAATTATTTTAAATGATTATCTTTTTTGAAAACTACCAAAGCTGTGACAGGCGCGTTTTTTATAGGTTATGGGCCCATGACAAAAGCTTTTAAACCCTATTAAATCTGTAGTCTGTAACGTCTTGTAGCGTTTTTTTGTTTGTATGCAAATGATCTTTTATAAATAAGAGTTGTTAGCAAGTACAATATTTAGAAGTATCGATACTTTTGCTTGCGATACCCGATATTTTTATATACGATACTTGGGTGTATCGATACATTTTACGAGTATCGTTATCTTTTGATACGGACTGTGTCAGAAAAAGTGACTAACTTCAGATCACGTTTCTTCTGTTTCCTTCCGCTGGCGCTACTCACTTCACGTCCTCACAATTTAGTTTGGATTCCAGGGTTGCTATATTAGGAGATTTTCCCCAAAAGTCAGGGATTTTTATTTCAATGGGGAAGATTTTTGGAATATTTTTTCTGGGGATTTATGAAACTAACTTTGTTGCATAATGTCGTTTAATGAAGTGAGTCAAAACCTCACAAATGCAGGTATAGAGATTCACAACCATCAAGCATATGGCTTATCAAAAAATATTCAATGAAAATATGAATCGTGTAAAAAGCCTTGCCTACAAACAAATTCTCACATTTTATGAAATAGTCTAAAATTCCAAGCATGATTTTTCCATAAATCTTAGCTTTGATTTTACTCATAAAATAATGTTTTGTCATGTAGGCAGCTACAACTAATATGCAAGTATATAGAAGCAGCCGTGAAAAACTATCTTGTGGAAGAACCGTTCGATTAATCAATTTTGTATAATAGTAAAGCTATGCAAAGCATATTGAATCAATGATTAGGAAGCGAGGGTTTTTGTTACATAGTTATAAAATTAGTCGATAAAACTGACGATGCTTGGTTTAAAAAATCCATCAATATGCTTGTTATTTTAATATTATTTTCTTTATTCCGACTTAATATGGACCTCACCAAGCACCACTCAGCATCATCAATAAATAGTTATATAGTTAGTTACAGACGTCAAAAATATGTTAAACAATCACCATCACGATTCGAGTACAAAAATTTCCGTAGTATATTTTATTACTAGACAAAAATTTGCGATGGCACGCTTTTTTGATTGATCACCATACCAGGTCTACAAAAAATTGATTTGATCTTCCCACTCAACTATAGAGCAATGCATGCTTTTGACTTATCATCTGTTATATCCGCCTGAAATTTCATACAATTTAAAAATAAAACTTAACCTCACAATAGGAGAGTGATGAGGATCACAAGGAACAGAAATACTCCAGCCTTTCTGTAGGAGAGAAAATACTATGAAAATCAAGGAGGCCATAAAGGTTTCCTACAATAATTGATACGGCCTTGAGAGAATTTATTTCCAATAGCCATTATAAAATAATTTTTGGAAATAAATGCCTTACGTAAAAATAAAATATTTGAGCAATGGTAAATTCCTTAAAATTCCTAGTTCTATTAATTGTAATATTCAACAATTATGCATAAAAGCGCGACCATCCAATTTTTGACATTAAACAGAATATTACAATAAAATTTAGCAATGACCCATACACATGAAACGTTAGCACAACACTATGTACAATTCCGTATAAAAATTTTATATATGACGAGTCTGTACATTTTTTACAGATTTTCCGTTTATAAAAACAACGAACACGCGTATATTAATGTTAAAAGTATACAGGGTGATCCAGAGAGACGTGCCAATATTTGTAGGCTAGGAAGTTCGTCCAAAAATAACAAAAAAGTTCCTATAAATACGGATCTAAAGATACAGCGTGAAGAATTTTTATTTGTTTATGTATGTACTTTCTATCCTAGAAACACTGGCACATCTTTCAGAGACTATTATAATATAGTACAGACAAAAACTGACAAATGCCAAACGTCGCATATTTCAGATTCATACAGGGTGACTTTGAAGTTGAGTCATTAATTTTCAGATAATGATTGTAGAAGGAAGATAAACCAAAATATGTGTGTAAAAATAAAAAAAAAATGTTTACCTTGTTTTATAAAGTATCCCCCCGACAAGTATTTCAGTGCGGACCTGTATTTGATCGTGAGGTCCCCTGTGAGGTCTTAAGTCACCTGATTCACGAGCCCGTTGTACTACATTAACAAAGGCACGAGGGGTCGGTTGCACTCGATTGGGAAACCGATCCGCATAAACATGTGCCATTTTTTTATTTCGTTTGAGCCACGCAACAGACACTATTCACTCGCGTTACCGACTGACACTGACTGTATGTATAACTGAACTGAATAAAATAATTGTAAAAACATCGTTCCAAATTCTTTCGCTTTATTGTTTCCGATGCGATGAACCGATAAGGCGAATTATATCCGTTGTTGCCAAACACGAGCACATGATATTATTATTGAGACAGGGCGGTACTCAAACTTCCAAAGGGCTATAACTTTGTTACTTTAATTTTACCAGAAAAATGGTAAAGGAAAAAACATTTCTTTTGATCAGATCTACTCACTGTTAAAATAAATGACTCAACTTCGAAGTCACCCTGTATCCAACAATATACAGCGAGACTTTTTAGGTAGTCCACAACTTACTTCCAACTTGTCTATTTTTGTCTTTAACTGTATGTATACTTTTAAGGGGAATGTTACAAGTAGTTGAAAAAGGTTGTTGTATCGAGTGAGTTAATACTCTTTTGAGGATGATATTAAAAAATGGTTTTTAGCTGGTGAGTATGCTTATAGAATTTACCTGCAACTTATTTTAAGCATGCATTGAATACGTCTCATAAATATGAGATAAATGGAACTCAATTCCAATAGCTTGTACAAACAAATATATTCCATAAGCAAATTAAATGGAATATTGCAAACTGTTAAAAATTGACGTAAGCTTAGATTTACTGTATTTTGTTCTAGAATAAAGATATCTCAGTACCACCTTGTATAGAGAATTAGGCAGTGTCAAGGTTGGATTGAATTAAAGTTTGAAAAGTATAAATTCACGAAGTATTATTAAATAATTGAAATTTACCTACAATACGTATTTATTGACGTCAAAAGTAAAAGACATACTAAGATATCTTTATGTTTTTTAATTATGAAAAGCATGATGGCTAACTATGAGCTAAGCGAAAAATGCAAAGAGTGTGACAGTCATATCATAACTTGCCAGACATTTGTAAACTGAACCAGGCACTTACAAATTTGAAAACTGCCTTCTAAGAACACTTACATAAATGTATTGTCTCGATCAATTTCTAATATTGAGAAACTAAAAAATATATGGCACTATATAAATGACACAGCGCGTAACCGAGTTTGTTACTTTACAACCTGCATTTCTTGTGTCAAATGCCGTTGAACACCACACGAGTACAAACTAACAGCACCGTTCTCTCTCCCTTTTTACTTCTCACTCATACCGGCGAGGAAGGAATCAGTCCCCGGTGAATATTGCTCAAACGTTGAGAAAAAGCTCACTAGAGCATCCTGATCTAAAGTTCTCGGGCACGGGTATCATGTAAATACTTAATACAAAACGTAAAAAAAACTATGAAGTGTCATCTTGCAGACTAAAGTGTATCTAACGAAGCTACAAAGTAATCGTAAACAGTGGTTGATTCGTGATCGGTAGCCATGGCGCTCTGTCGGCCTCTTCCTGATTGGCTTGTAGCGACGAGCCTCCAGACAAAGTCGCACGGTTGCCACGCTCGGCGAGTTTTCGCCAGAGTGGTTGATCACATTCGCATGGATCACAAATCAATCTGTTGGTGCAATACGTGCAATAACTGTTGTAAAGGACATTATATAACAATAAATGGCATCACAAAGGTATATTCCAATTTGATCTGCAGCAAATTATGAACGGCATATACGGAGATGCGAAAACAAGCTCAAAAAGGTGAAGAAAATTTTTGTGCAATCTTTATAGTTAAATTTTTCCTAAGAGATAGCATCAGTGAGGGAATTTTTTTCTATTGTCTTATTTTTCACATTAATGCGATGTCGAGGTATGTGGCCCTATCGCAATTGAAAATAAGGTTTCGATAATCCTTCCATAAAGTTTCGATGAGTACATCTGAAATAACCTTGAGATATTCTTCAGGGAAATACAAAAATCTCCTTTTGTGTTTTTTTTTGCAGATTTATCTATTAAAATCCTATCCGCAATCTATTTTCCGTGCATACACCTTCAACCGAATGTATGCCATATATGATATTACCGTTTCCAACTTTCACCAAGGTTAATAGGAACCATAACAGCTCCCTACCCTTCCCCCCTATAAGAATATCGATTTGTAGCTTCACATTTCAAGGTTCGACTTCTTGTAATGTTTCTGTTCAACATTCGGCGATTTCTGACAATTTTCCCAATAAAACATGATCATTGTGACATTAAGCCTGGCAACGCTGCATAGTAGAGGGAACTCTCAGCGTCACGTTGATGGTTCGTCACCACGCACAGGATTGTAATCAGTTACGGATACCCATTTATGAGCGCGAACGTTTTATGCACGTCTTGACTTGATTTTTCTTGCGGAAATTTAATATTAGTCTAAAATGTCTGACACAGATACAGCTGATGAAGTGGTTGAAATCAGCTTAACGCCACCCAGAAAAAGGGCTAAAAAGCTTCATCTTAGCGCTGGTGAAAAACAAATTATTCTAAATATCTACAAGAACCAGATGCAAGAGAATAGTGGATTGGCTATAGAAAATATCGTATGTAAGGTTGCTGAAATTTCTGGAGTAGGTCGATCAAGTGTTTACAAAATCTTGAAGGAATATAGACAAAATCACTCACTATCTGAGCCAAAAACATATCCAGCGAGAAAAAAAACATGGGTGAACGCGGGGCATACGCAGGGAAAGGTTTGGGTAGACAGATCTGTGAGGTCCTCAAGGCAGGCTTTTTTAGATGGCCTTTTGACGGGATTGAAAAATCCTGCAGATAAGTTTCGAAGTATATGAACTTTTTTGGATGCAGATAATTCATTTTCTGATCGAATCAATGATTTGGAAGCTCCGAACTCAGTTTTGCTATCTCATCCAAGTTTCTGAGTATTTCCTTCACCCAAAAACTAATCTAAGACCCTATCCTACACTAATCTAAAAAGAGTAAGTTGCTTAATTTCGTCATTTAGTGCGCTCGCTGAGAAGTAAAATAACTAATTACTTTCAGGCAAGGCAAAACGCCTGATCATTTGCCACATAGGTAGCGTAGATGGATTTGTTCCTGAAGCATTGTGGGCATTTGAATCCAAAAAAACTGGTGACTATCACGAAGAAATGGATGGTAACTCATTTGAAAATTGGTTCAAAAAAAATTTGCCGACACTTGATGATAACGCAATTATTGTGATGGATAATGCCTCCAGAAAATTGGAAAAAATTCCAACAACGGCCACCAAAAAGGCAGACATTCAACAGTGGCTTGTCTCAAAGAAGATCGACTTCGACCAAACAATGGTCAAAGCTGAGCTGATAAATATAGTCAAGCGACATAAGTATAAATATGATTTAAAAATTGTTGACGAAATGGCCAAAAACCAAAATAAAACGATTCTCAGGCTGCCTCCCTATCACTGCGAACTGAATCCTATCGAGTTGATTTGGGCCGACATCAAGCAATACGTGGCGTCAAATAACAGCACTTTTAAGTTTTCTGACCTTAAAAAACTGTTTGATGTTGCTGTCGATAGAATTACGCCGGCAAAATGGAGAACATGTATTGACCATGTCCAAGAGAAGGTTGAAACCAAAATGTGGGATATGGACAATATCATTGACACCCAAGTTGAACCCCTTATAATTGACATCAACAATTCTGATGATTCAAACTCCTCGGAATACAGCATATAAATCGATTGATACCATTAAGACTGGCATTTTAACGGGCTTTTTGGCAAGACAGGTAAGTTCATTATAGACTGCAATCAAAGTGTAAGTTTCTAGTTAATAATGTGGAAATTCCAAATTTATAATTACACAAAATTAGGGTTAATTTAGGAGTTCCAAAGCATAATAGTGCCATTTTGACCTTGTTCCTATTTCTCATGTAAATTTTAATAGTAATCAAACTAACAAACTTTATGGAGTCTGTAATAAACTTTTGTACTACTACTACTACGTCTGTAGTTTCTATTTGCTCAAAAAAATTTGCTCTGCATTGTGAATAGAAGGTTGATTTGTAAATATTATTGGGTATATATGTAAGTTAATAATAGAATATGAACGATTTCAATTGAGATGGTCCACAAGTTTTTTTCGTGTGCGTTTTAGTAACATTTTGCTGAAATGGTGAATACAGAATTTTTTGCACTGATTCCTAATGTCGAAATATGATTAGAAAGGCGTGGTATATTCCTGATAATTTACTATGTTTTTGATAGAATTTACAGCAACACTTATCTTGTACGACATTTTTTGATAGATCAGTCACAATAGCTTGATACGGCGCTGTAGCGTCTCTTACGGTTAAGTTCTTGATCACGTGCAATACGGGTGTATATGTTTGATTTTACTTTGTTTCTTCGATGGATACAGTTTAGGTAGTTTTTAGGGTGCAAACAGTCATTCTACGTTTGCTCACTAGGATCGCTGTGAGCGTCCATCTAGGGAGGAATTACTCAACTACACGCATTGTTGGTTGCATATGTTATTTATATGTTGTCCTTTCTGAAAACAGGTTATGTTCAAAGTTATAAATTACGATTTTTCCCATTTTTTGTGTTTTCAAAAACTTTGAGGAGCACTACGAGAAATCGCCACCGCGCCCGCGTTGTGTGCAATTCGCAGAAAAATTAGTAATGACGCATCGCACATCGATCATTTTCGCAACGCTTCACATCTAGGCGCTGATTTGTATTTTCAGAGAATACAGAAAAGTCAGGGATCCGCTTCAGGGAGAAAGGTTAGTTATTAAAGTTACTCGTGTGGTTTCAGGCAAATTGACACTTTTTGGAACTATAGCTTACAACCCTTTTCGAATGAATGTTCGTAGTCGATTAACATCTAAAAAAGCACTTGATGTCAACTACGGAATATACACTATATTATCTAAATATATAAATATAAAAAGCTGAATAATATGGTAAACAGTGGTAACTAAAATGGTAAATATCACTTGAAATTATGTCGCAATATCACAAATCAACATATCAGGTATAGAAACACTAACAACATGCAAATATAACAAAACACTAAATAAAAATAGCACGAAAATATTCGCAATCCATTTTGGTTCAATTTTTTAACTCGGTATCAAGAAATGTGACTCTGATCGAGCTCTTAGACTTGAATGGTTGTTGATTAAAATTGTGACTTTTCAAAAAGAATTACGAATAAAGTTAAGAGATTCATACTAATGCGTTTCTAAAGTGTAATTTCCAGCTTATCAGTCTATAATATAAAAATGCCACAATATATTTGCTTTAATATTTTTGGTACCTAATACTGATATTAAAAATCGGTCACTATAGTCTCTCATGCTGAAAATACGAACTTAACTTTCAGCAATTATAGAAGGTTCACCATTTAATAAGGTGATGAAAAATGAAACAATTTTTTTCAATAAATGAAATTATAAACTAAAATCATAAAACAGTTTTCCCAAAACGTAAAACATGATTTTGGTAAAATTCAATTGTTTTAGATATCTAAAAAGTTTTGTTGGCTCCTTACTTGTAAAATATTCCACTCTTTCCAAGGTTATTCATGACATTGTGCAACTTAAAAATATAATTTTAAATAGTAGTAGTAGTTCTAGAATATTCTGAAGTATTTCCAAATGAAGAAGCACGATATAGCTTATATGATTTGGATCGATACTTCTTGAGGTATGAGATATTTTGTCCGAAAACCACTCAACTTGTAAGTTAGTCGCAAATAAACATAAATTTCCGTTAAAATTAGCTTCATATTTGGTGGTTTCAAGTCATTTAAACGTTTTTCAAGTGTTGTGCATCTTCTATAAACGTGATATCAAAGTAATTTTTCTCAAAAAACTCAAACGAAACATCCTATATATTTTTACGGTTTTTTATATCCTTTTTGTAAGCTTCATTTTAGTATAAAACTTTTGTAAGGTTGGATTACTATTTTTTTGACTTTGAGCGTATTTTTGCATATAGGTAACTTGTATAAACAACTTTTTTAGATATCTTTTACTTTTCATCGGTCTATAGATCCTCATCAAAATTTTAGATCTCGCGAGTTAGCAGTAAAATCGGGCCTTAGAGTTCCATAGCGACCGAAATAAGATTTCTAAAAATTTGATTCCCAGATGACGTGTCAGAAAGTTGAATTTTTTAATAAAAACGTTCATCCATCTGAGTTACTACATCGAAGGTGATCGTTTTAGGCGATAGGGTGTATGACCGTGTTATTGTTGAGACGAATCGGCGTCTCATTGTTCGAGTTCTCGTCAGGTACTTGATCGCCAGCAGCGTTTGTGTTCGGGTCGAAACCCGGGTTCAAAATGATGTTCGGTACCAGCTCTATCACCTCGTGTTCCTCACCTGCTATAGAAATGTTGGTGAACAAATTACGAAATGCAAGTCAAGTAGATTGACTCTATAATACTTAAGTAACACAAATTAAAAAAGTCGTTTCTACTTCTACCATTGTAGGACGCCTTAATTTTCATAGCCTTTTTTCTCCTTCAGAAAGGCTATTTATAGATTCCTACCTGTTCCCTAAACAGATGATAAAAACCGAAAGCATAAATAATTTGATGCAAATATATATTTGTAACATAACCTCAAAATAGAGCGTCATAAAGGGCTCCTTGATTTTCATAGTTGTCGTCTGTTCCGTGTCAGCGCTTTATTTTGAGGTTATGTCACAAACATCTATTTGCATGCTTCTAATTTATATCATATGTTTTATCAGCCTGTCATTTCTTACAATACAAAAAGAAAACATATCTTCACAAGAGAAGCCGTTGTCGCTGACACGGAAAAGTAGACATCTAGAAGTACCCCAACCTTTCTGAAGAAGAGAAAATATGTACTATGAAAATCAATGAGGCCATAAGGGCGTCCTACAATTGTAGGAACGACTGACGATACAGCCCTTACGGATAATATCGCCGATTTATCTCATTAAAATACAACACTCACCAGCAGATATCCGGCATTCATGATACAGCAGAAAACACACGCCAAGACCCAAAAGAATCAAGGTACCCATGACTATACCGACTGCTACGGCCCAAATTCTACGATCGAAGGTTTCGACGCCTTGCAGAAGATGCCGCGCTAACTCTAAAATAATAAAATAAAACATGTTTCCCCGTCAATATGTTTGAGTTTGAAATACGTTTACCTTCTTCACTGTACACATCTAAAGTAGTTCCGAATGCTTCGGTTTCGGGACTTCTGCCCAATTGATTTGTGGCCCAGATTCTAAACTGATATGTTGTGTTTGGTGTTAAATTGTACACCTCTATTTGACGCTGAAAAAAAATCAAGTCTTCATATTCAAAAGCGACCAAAACATCTGCAAGCTGATGACGTATCGACTTTTACATTATTTAACCAGCCATTAAGAGTGTTAGTGCATTTTTCTGACATCCTGTGTTCCATGAGAACGCAAAGTATACCCTATTTCATAAATATCCATCACGCTTTAACGTCTACTGAGGTGATCAGCAAGTGACATTTTTAGTCGTAGCGTACAAATAAAAAGAAAAACAAAATACGGCTCTGACTACCCGGCGTTGACGGATCCGCCAGAATTATGTATCCTGAGCCGATACGGGGAATTTTGAGATATTACTAGATAATCAGCTGTCATTCTAACATGATGGATAATCGTGAAATAGGATATATACTATATAACAGAAGTTATTGTCACAATATGTGAGTTGTTACCTATGTGAGAGATTACACGATTTAGATTAGTAGCAAAAGAAAATTGTTAGTTTGAAATTCAAACTTTTCCTAACCCCAAATACGTTGCGAACTCCGCCTCGAGGCAGCGTTGCCACGTTGTGACCGGCCTCCTTAAATTCAGGATTTTTTATTAGTGGTACACTTACTGAATTCGGGGTTATATGATTCGGTGATATAGGCAACCAGCTGCTATTCGAATACGCTAGACGGTATTGTGCTGTGAAGTTAACGATGGGATATCCTCCATCTCCTGCTAGGTCCCACAGAAGAAGAGCTAGGATGGTGCTTGGTCGAACCACCACGTTTTTCAGTGGAGGCGGGGGAGCTAAAAAAATGATAAATGGCGTGGACAGCTGTTTCGTGCTTTTTGGCAACTCATCAGCATAGTCTAGGTTTGGCCTCAGGTGGACAACGAACGAAAATAGCAACTACTGTCATTTATCTGATTTATGAGATCTATACAAAGTGACATCTACAGGCTGACGATTCTGGCGGTATAATCTAAAACATTACAAATATCGAAATGAAGAAAAATATTCACGATGCAAATTGTCCTATCTGTAGTGTGAAACCCATTTTAAGTAATTTCCTTGATTCACGAAAGAACAGCAAATGCCTAATAAATGCAAAATTTGTTTTTCTGAAGTCCTGTTTTTTTTTTAATGGAATCAGACTGTCCAATATATGATTGAAAGAATTACTCATTGAATGTCCAAGAGTTGTTAAATTTCAGTGCTGCTCAGCAGACCCATTTAAGTTATTAATATCTAAATTGATCTTAATTGGCTAGCATCTAGTACCTACATTGAATTTGATGTCTTTATTATACAACACATCAAGGTTGTTACATTGTTTGAAAAAATATGCTGAATTTGATGTCACTGTATATAGGAAAAGTACTAGACAGTATGCATAGGAACAAAGAAGAATTATGAAAGGTAGTGGGTAAAAACAGACATTTTTCAAAAAACTGCTATAAAATTAACAGAATATCATATTTCAAAAATAATGTTTTACCATCATTACATAATTTTACAAGCTTAAATACTGAGATCGAGATTCACATTTTTATTATTGGACATTGTCAATATATGTTGATAATGTTTAACTCTTTACCAGGGTCACATAATTTCAATCAACCTTGTTGCTAGCAGCAATGAATATAAATTTGATATCCTTTGAAAGCATTACATCATACAATTGAAAATGTATGGTACAATGTGATAAAAATTGGTTTATACAATCAGATTGAGAACTTCATTGTGCATACTTGTAACACTGTCTGGTGAAAATGGAAATGTCATACAGAGCCATTATATTTATAGGTTTTCCATGAAAAAATCTTCAAAAACTTCCTTGATCTCTAAGAAAACTCATTTCTAATGTAAATCTGGTAATCTGATAGACCCCTAAGTCAATTTGTTGCCAGGACTCATGCAAATTCCAAGAGCTGCTCTTGGCCCTTGCAAGGTTTAGAGGGCCCCCAAAGCAAAAAAAGACTTGTTTCAGGAATTGTGGGTCTTTGAAATGTCCAGTCCTTAGCTCTAGTCATACTCTTTTCATTTTAAGAGTTGTAATGAATAGCAAAAATATCAATATACATATGAGGAAAATAAACAAAAAAATAGTTCTTACTCTTAACAGTAACGTTGACCTTAGCTACTTCGTCAGAGTCTACAGAATTCCTCCTGCTACAAATGTAGATTCCAGAGGAATTTTTCTCGACATTAGCAAGAAACAAGGTGCCATCCTCCAACACATTCCATTCTGTGTTTTGTATGTCCTTTCTACCGTCTCTGGCCCACTCTATATCTCCGGCCTTATCTATGGGACATCTTATCGTAATATTACGGCCTATATTCACAGCCACCTCTTTTATTTTGGTACCTGGGGATTACAAATGAAGATCTAGGTGTTCAATTGTTTCTTTGGCAAGATAAATGAAGATCCGGGTGTTCAACTGTTTAATTGGAAAGATAATTTTGCGCTTACCTTTGGTTACAGTCACACAAATAAGTAAAAATGATAAAAGCACCGTTTTATACATACTTCCATATTATTTGATTATTTACTTTCATAGATTGGTGCTGATTGTTTTAATTTGCTGATTGTGGAACTGAAGATTGATGTGATTGATGCAACATTGCCAAATTTGCATCTCGACTTTTCTAATCAATATTGGAGTACGTAGTCCAGTCAGCTTAAAACAAACTTTCAAGTATCTCTACGAGTATTCCTTGATTTTAAGAATTTTGACAAAACACCCACTAATACTTACATTATTTACAATAATCATGCTTTATTTTCATCGTGTCAATCATGACACATCACCACCTCGTAAAGTTTAGTTACCCAATTCTTGTTGTAATTGTATACAATTCTTGGATTATAAACATACTTGATATGATAAATATCAGCATATTCTCGTAAAAGATGACAATCTGACAACGTTACGGACAGATTTATGACACTTTTGAAATGACGTATGAGTCATCGAATAGAGATGGGTGTTTCTTAAAATAGAAGAAAATATCACTGTATCGATATTCGGTACATGACTTTCAAGTATTTATCAAAAGCCCCACTTTATTTAAGGTTGTGATAGACAACGGCAAGAAAGACCGCAATGATATATTTGCAGGCCATAGCTCGAGCGTTCTTTCCTGACATTCAATCATTTCTGACATGAAAGTTCGTTGTTCCGCCACGAAAGAAATGAACGGGAAATCGACGAATAAATTTTTTATGACTCCAAAGTGAATCGTGGTAATTTGGCAGAACAATCACGATTGTATATTTTTTACGAGTATCCATTACCTAGTAATATTTCAAAATTCACCATATAGACAAATGACACATAAATCTGACAGATCCGTTAACGCCAGGTAGACAGAGCCGTATTTTGTTTTGTTTTTCGTACGCTACAGACTCATTCTGTACTTGCTAATAACTCATTTATTTATAAAAGATCATTTGCATACAAAAAATGCTACATTTTTCGTCAATACGTTTCTCATTTCTTTATCACCGATATTAGGGTGTCCAGCTTAAATTTTATAAGAGAAAAAGGACCCAGGCTTTTGCAAAAAAGGTCAGTCGTAAGAGCTATAGATGATAAAAGGTCAAAATAGATTATGTACGCGTGACAATCCCAAAAGTAAGTTTTACTAGATTTACACCCGATTCATTATTGCCAACGTTACAGACTAATACAAAGATGTCACGTGCTGTTCACCGCGGTAGACGTCAAAACGTGATGGATAGTCGTTTCGATAACAACTCTCTTTTCAGAAAGGAACCATCTCGCCCATCTCTATCAAAATGTCAAAGGCGTTCTTCAAGGTCAAGGTCAAATCGCTTGTCAAGTGTAAGCGGCTTGAATTTATTTGGAGTATTTCCAGTTATCAATTCATATCACTAGGTATCCGGTATAAAGTGGATGTTTTGTGCATTATAAGTTTATTTTTACGTATTGCATTACGTAGATAAGGTCAGAGGGAAAGGACGTCCTCTTCGACATCACGTTAAAGCACTGTTTTTCGAAAATACATCGATATGGTGAGTAGAACGTGAATACCGTCATGTTTTTGATAAAATGCAGAAGGATGCGTAGAATTTGAACATTTTCTCTCCAAAAATAAACCTCAGGACTGTTTTTCCAGGCTGAACCAATTCGTGTGGTTGTAACCGGCGCTGCTGGCCAAATTGCCTATTCCCTGCTGTACATGGTTGCGAAAGGCGATGTTTTCGGCCCCAATCAACCCCTAATTCTCCATCTGTTGGACATCCCCCCGATGATGGGCGTGTTAGAAGGAGTCGTGATGGAGCTTGCGGACTGTGCTTTGCCTTTGCTTCATGGTGTTGTCCCCACTGATGACCCAGCTGTTGCATTTAAAGATGTGTCTGCTGCTTTTCTTGTGGGTGCAATGCCTAGGAAACAGGGCATGGAAAGGAAAGATCTGCTTTCGGCTAACGTGAAGATCTTCAAAGTGCAGGGAGAAGCTCTAGATAAGCATGCTAAAAAGGATGTGAAGGTATTTTTTGGATCATGGTTTGTCCTATGTTCAGTCTCATCTGAGGCATAGAAATATTCAACACCCTGTATCTGAGTAATGGTAGATTTTAAGACCAACATTTGTTGTTAATTTTAATCTTTCCCATTGGTTTTCGGATCGCCCTGTATGCAAATTTCAATATGCAAATTATTATATGTTTCAACAAATTCTTCAAGTTCGGCGGTTTTTAATAATGAACCAATTTAATGAACATAGAACTTGATCATTAGAGGAACATTACATTGCTCAAAGTTTTATATTTTTCAACATAATTTGTGTTTCAGTTAAATCATTGCACATGTGGATGACATTGACACTATTTTAGTTATAGCTACTAATTAGTTTTAGATTTGTGTCTGAATATATTGTTGAAGTTTTTGGATAGTCTACTTTGCTACATGGTTGTAAAATTTATTTAATTACCAATTAAAAATCAATTCAAAACTTTGATTTGAAGAAACAGATTGTGTCCAAAACTGCAAAATACACTATGATTTTTTTAATTTTCTTAGTAGTTAATGAAACTCTATGCATCAAGGTTTTTTTGGATGTTGATTCCAAATGTGGCTATCAAAAAAATGCTAAAGCTATTTAGATTTTTTAATTACTTATTAAACCAGTTAAAAATGATAACTACTGCTATTTTAAATATTTATTGTTTTTGTAACAGGTCTTGGTTGTTGGTAACCCAGCAAATACAAATGCCCTGGTTTGCTCAAAATATGCCCCATCCATACCGAAGGAAAACTTCACAGCTATGACCAGACTTGATCAAAACAGGGCACAAGCTCAAATTGCACAAAAAGTTGGAGTACCAGTTGGAAATGTAAGTTGAAAATATAAATAACTAAACTCCAAAGATCTGACTGACTTATTTAAGATACGAGTATGTGAAATCTTGTTTCATGTTCATGTTCTTCTGAGTTTCATCTTGTATCTAAAATACTTTTCAAAAATTCATCCTGTACTAAGGTACATTTCCTTTGGTGACTTAGTATCTTATAAATACTTTTGGTATAATAAAAAATGAATTTTTCAAATACAACACCTAACAGGTGGGCTGAAAATTCCGTATCGTTTCAATGAAAAAATATTTTTTTCGTCAAAATTCGCTTTTATTATTCAACATAGTTGCCTTCAAGGGCTATACAGCGATTATAACGTTCTTCAAGTTTTTCGATACCCTTCCGGTAGTAATCCTTCGGCTTGTCCTCAAAATAGGCTTCAGTTTCGGCGATGATTTCTTCGTTGCTGTGAATTTTTTTTCCGGTGAGCATTCTCTTAAGGTCTGAGAAGAGGAAATAGTCGCTTGGAGCAAGGTCCGGAGAATACGGTGGATGGGGGAGCAAATCGAAGCCCAATTCATGCAATTTCGACATCGTTTTCATGGACTTGTGGCACGGCGCATTGTCCTGGTGAAACAAGATTTTTTTTTTCTTCATTTGTGGCCGTTTCTTGGCGATTTCGGCCTTCAAACGCTCCAGTAACACTATATAATAGTCGCTGTTGATAGTTTGGCCCTTTTGAAGATAGTCGATGAAAATAATTCCTTGCACGTCCCAGAAAACAGAAGCCATAACCTTGCCTGCTGACTGTTGCGTCTTTCCACGTTTCGGAGGTGGTTCGGATGCAGCCGTCCACTCGGCCGACTGGCGATTTGACTCCGGTGTGTAGTGGTGGAGCCATGTTTCATCCATGGTGACGTATCGGCGAAAAAAATCGGTTTTATTGCGCAAAATCACCTCCAAACAGGCCTCAGAGTCGTCGATGCGTTGTTGCTTTTGGTCAAATGTGAGATTGCGCGGCACCCATTTCGCACAGAGCTTTCGCATATCCAAATATTCATGAATGATGTGACTGACACGTTCTTTTGATATGTTTAAGGCCTCAGCTATGTCAATCAACCGTATTTTGCGGTCTCCCAAAATTATTTTGTGGATTTTTTTCACGTTTTCGTCCGTAACGACCTCTTTTGGGCGTCCACTGCGTGCGTCGTCTTCAGTTGACATGTGACCGGTACGAAATTTAGCAAACCACTTGCGAATGGTTGCTTCGCCCGGGGCAGAGTCCGGATAACACTCATCAAGCCATTTCTTGCATTCGACGGTACTTTTTTTCATCAAAAAATAATGTTTCATTAACACACGAAACTCTTGACTTTCCATGGTTTTCAAAAATAACAAAAGTAGCGTCACTCTCGATACGATAACTCAAAAACTAATGATCCGACAGCTGTCAAATTTTGACAGGCATCTTTTGAAGGTTGGTACTAGCTAAGAAGCGTATGGATTTTATTCTGGTGGCGCCATCTCATAGAAACGATACGGACTTTTCAGCCCACCTGTTATGTGCCAAGTTCTCATTATTTTAAGATTTAAATAAAGGCCTGCATGTAGCTTTAGGATTGCTTTACAACACCCATAAAAAATATTCATGTTTCATGGAAATATGTTCAAAAACTAGTCTTTTTGGTGTTAAAACATGCCTCCAAAACACACCTAATTTGACTTGCCCTATAATTAAAATTTTCGAAAAACACTCATTTGAAGTTTCTTCAGCCTGTTTATAATTTTGTGATAATATTGAAATGATGCAGATCTTAAAATACTTTTTGTTCCTTAAATTAGGTAACAAATGTGATAATTTGGGGTAACCATTCTTCAACACAATTCCCCGACGCCTCACATGCCTTAGTCAACATTAGTGGCAAAGAGGTAAAAGCTACAGAGGCAGTTAAAGATGATAACTGGATGAGATCTGTGTTTGTTGATACTGTACAGAAAAGAGGTGAGTTTATATATCCAAAGAAAGTCGTACAAGTTATTTGCGAGACAAATCTCGTTTCTATGAGAACTATCGATTTAATCGCCGCAAAATACAAATATTTACTATTATTCCATATGAACCGATTGCTTAATCAGTCACAATACATGTTATTGCATTATGATTGATATTTTTAGAGCAGAGATAACGTACTAATGTTTCTATGCATAGCTGGTGTTATTTACCATTATTTGATAAAAGATATTTGAAATTGCTTCACCACTGAAAACTATTTATAGTTCTGTTGCTACGATTTGTATTTAGACAAATTAAGTTCTATTTTTACTTTTTTCAAATCTCAAAGCTACAAAGAAGTTTAGCAAAAAAAACTATATTTAACGATGCAGAAATATACAGGATGTTCCATTTGAAATTTTTGAGGAAGGTACATTTTGCTTTTTGAGATATCCTGTATAAATCGAAAGAAATTTCAGCCCTTTTCAACAGATAAGATTAAAATCGATGATCGGAAAATTTTTGTGGACCAAAATGTATCTAAATATCTTCAAAAATGACAGAGTTGTACTAACCAATTGACACTAAAAACCGTATGTTATCTGTATGATTTCAAAATTTTTGTTTTTGTTTTCTTTAGATATTCTAATTAAAAAATATATATATATATATATATATAAATTATGAGATAATTGTGTCTTGTAGGACTGCATGATACTCTGTAAATGGCTGTTGCTGTTGAGTAGTGTATAAATAAATAAATATTTCATCATTTACATAATTGGCTATATTACAAGGCACTGTCTTATGGAAACAAAAAATTATCTAACCATCAATCACAAATCAATCAAGAACAATTATATATTTGATAATGATGAACCAACAAAATTTAATTGCAAAAGTTATTCATACTCCGATCAGTGATCATTCATGGTTATGTTTTGACGTTGAAAGTAAATATGATGCTTACAAAGCGGAAGAAATTACTAATATTAATGATGTAAAATTACGAGAAGATATGACTTATATAAAAATTTAAATCAAATCAAAATAAGAGCGAGCAAGAATGTTAATCCTGATGAATTACTGTTTAAATATGGCGAATTTTCAAAAAAACTGAAGCGTTCTACCATAACTCCTGTTTTGAAAGTTGAGAATTCTGAGTTGTACACCAATATGCGGCTAATAAATGTTCTGCAGATTGAAAAAGAAATTATTTACGAACAGATCATCGAATATATCGAGGGAAGTAAGATTTTAGCCAAATTTCAAGATGTATTCAGGAAAAAACTCGCAACTGAAATGGCAATACGAATGGTCTTAGGGAACTGGAGGAGATGTAGGGACAATAGGAAACACACAGTAACAGTATTTTTTTGTCCATGAAGTAAGAAATGCTCGCCATGAATTCCGCAATGAGCGGAAAGCGAGAACAACTCACGCACATCCGCGGTCCTGGGGGCATAGTCTTCAGGGCAGAGGACAAGATCTCGACGAGGAGCAACAAATTGTAAGATCCGTCAGGAGATACTTTAGGGCCAACGGCGTCAGTGAACCCGGCGCCGCCATTAGTGATTCTTCCTCAGAAGATTTTTCAGCTGAGGATTTGCACAGCACATCAGCGGCTTCTCCCGCTTCTCCCGCTTAAGCTGCTTTCACGGAAGTCCTGGACTTATCTCGTGGCTATTATCAGTGCCACGTTAAGGACCCAGTACCTTCCATCGGCGTGGAAGACTGCGGAAGTTATCATGTCTCCAAAGAAGGTCGGTTCGATATCTCCCCAGGACTATCGTCCCATCAGCCTACTGTCTGCTCCGTCTAAGCTCGCTGAAAAGGTGATTCTACGTCACCTTGCGAATTTCTCGTCAGATCACCCTTAACGAAAGTACTAGCATCTTGCTTCTTTATGTCTCGAAGGCATTTGACAAGGTGTGCCACAAGGGTCTGCTCTACGTATATAAGCTGATTCAAAAGGGCTTTCCATTTTGGCTCCTAAAACTTTTGAAAACCTCCCTTGAAGGTAGGAAATTTCGGATCAAAATTAATAATTTCTTGTCGACAGTACGGCCCATCAGAGCCGGCGTCCCTCGGGGTTCGGTTCTAGGGCCAATCCTTTACTCACTTTTCCCTTTGCCCTAGCGACTGTGAAGTCTATCTATATGCTGATGACACTGCACTGGTGGCCCAGTCGCGTGCCGGGAATCTGGTTCACGACAGGTTACAAAGTGCGGTGGATGAGGTATTGGAATGGGCAGATCGGTAGCTAATCACAATTAATTACTCGAAAACGCAGTCTATCTATTGCACTAAAAAACGTAGCGGCGCCCCGCCTGAGGTTTCATTGAATGGAGCTCGCATACCATGGGGAAATTCTGCTAAGTATCTCGGTGTCACTCTAAACAGGGGATGACCTGGCAGAATCACACTGACGCGTTAAAAAACTAAATTCCAAATTACGTTTCGGCAACTCTACCCTTTGCTATGTAGAACCTCAAAATTAAGTTTGGTTAACAAAGTTCAAATTGTGCAATTCTAGGTTCAACCAAAGTTACGATTGTAATATTTTAGAAGCTGGTGGATGTGTTACACAAATTATTGAATAAAGAAATGGCATACCAAACAAACAAATCTTTTTCAGGCGCTGCCGTGATAGCCGCCCGCAAGATGTCATCTGCAATGTCGGCCGCCAAGGCCGCGTGCGACCATATGCGCGACTGGTTCTTAGGCACCGTCCCCGACAAATTCGTGTCGATGGGCGTCATCAGCGACGGCAGTTACGGCGCCCCCAAGGACGTCGTCTTCTCCTTCCCAGTCGCCACCAAGGCGGGCAAGTGGCAGATAGTCCAGGGCCTTCCAGTCGACGATTTTGCGAAGAAAATGCTCGCCGCTACCGGCAAAGAGCTTGAAGAGGAGAAATCAGAGGCGATGTCCGTCATCGAAGCATGACTAGTTAACAAGCTTTAAGTTGTTTTATTGGGAGTTGTCCGTTCGAAGATGATGATTTTTTTCTTTGGCAGCTGCACTATACTAACGCACGGCTGGTACGGTGTTCTAACAGTTTTATATTGTTTCAAAATATACAAACCTTCATGCCAAAAATCCGGAAACAGGGGTACTTTACGTGAAATGTATATATTTTTACATCCGACTTTTGGTTAATGGATAAACTATAGGAGGAGTTTTAGAAAAACTATCCTAGGTATTTATATTCCTAAGGGCATATGTACATCTTTATCAGTTATTTTTTATTATATTTATTACAGCCTGGTATTTAACACCAACATTTTAAAACAAGATAATTTCCAAATATGTCTTTTTTACAGTTTTTATGAGTATGACCATTATAAAGTTTATCAAGGCTTATCATGTGTGAAACTGATATTGGTTTATGGTATGATTTCAGTGATAAAGATTTTACGATGTCCTGTGTATAATTTTATTAAAAAATGGTGCTGCTATTATATGTATTTTTCGAACAGCAATTGAAAAAATTATTCTATCTCATCAAGATAAAATATTTCAGTATTTATCCACATACTCAAGTGATTTGACAAAAATTATTTCTGAGGTTTGTCCTTTTTATTTTTTTAAACTCTTTTAGAGAAATTTCGCAAATAAAATTACGCAAATGATTCTTTTCTAGAACTGGCGCGCAAATGTCTAGCCTCCATTTGTGCATAAATTAATAAACCAATTTTGTCCACTGATATGCAGTAAAACGGTCAGTCAGATACGAAAAAATACAAGAGGCAAAGATGCCCCCTTTTTTAAATCAGCCTCTTAATACAGCAAATAATATTGCCAAATATATTAATAAAAAACATTTTTAATTTACCACCGTGAAATACCGCATTTCCGGGCCCATGTTCATAATAAACGTTTTTCAAATTTTTAAACAAGGAATCACCCTTTAGAATATCTCCGTCTATTCGGCGAAAATTTGAATTTTGCGTTTTTTGACTAATCTTCTTCAAACTAAACTATTTCCACACGAGCAGAGCCGCGGATTGGGCCTAGTATATTTTTAGCTACATACTAATTTAATTTTAAATACTGTGTGTTCATAATGATGCATTTTTCCTGTTTTGTCCCAAAAATTTCAGATTAATCCCAATGCGATTCCTCATCAAACTTCTTGAAGCTTGTTTTTTTTTTAAATTACCTTTAAGGCGAATGTCAAACGCATATTTTAGAGCTATAATCATCTTTGAAAAATCTAAAAAAAAAATACTCTCAGGTCCATATTCAAACTTTTATCATAAAAACTATCCCTAAATAAATTTATTGCAATCTGTTTCTACATTATTATAAACTGCACCTTGATCTGACTTATTTTTTAATGAAAAAACTAAAATACCGCCATTTTTTTTAATTTTCAAGAACATAATTCTAATTTAGCAATACTAGGGAATTTCATACTAATTTGAATTTAAATTACTGAGCTTCAATTTATGATTTAAATTTGAAATAACTGTGATCCGCACCATGAGAATTTGCTAATGATTCTGTCAGTGTCAGTGGATGTCTAGGCTTCAAAATTAGTATATGTGATAAATACTGATCGTATGACATTCGCCTGAATCTTTTTTTTAAGTATGGTTTTAGTGTAAATTGAGGGATTATTTTTTGAACATTTTTTTTTTATAATTATATTAATATTTTGAATATGGTTGCTGGATTATTGTTAAAATTATTCATTTTGTATAAAGTATTCTGTATTGACTACCGTTTTTTTTTTAAATATAAACCTAGGTAAATTGTTAAATGTATGATAAAAGGTTCATCCTCTTGTGAACTCTCCAAATATAATTCATGTATATAATTGTCTCTTATTCCCTACAAGCACATAATAGAGAGATTTTAGTGAGACAGAAATAACGTTACGTTATTTTTTACAGCAATGGCAAATAAGAATCGTGGAATACTGAGAGTCATAACAGGTGGGTCAATGACAGTGTCATCACATTGACAATCACAACGTGCATTCCCGACAGATAAGCACGACACGCTTTTCCGAAGGGCAATCACAGCGTGCATTCCTGAAAGGCAATCATGGCGTACATGCCCGAAGGGCAATCGCGAGTGCATTCCTGTTGGACAATCTCGACGTGCTTTCCCGAAAGGCAATCACGATATGAATTCAGAACCTGCTTTCCAGAAGCGCAATCTCGACGTAAATTCCAGAAAGGCAATGGCGACGTGCATTTCTGACGGACAATAAGACGTGCTTCCCAGAAGGGCAATCATGTCGTGCTTTCCAAATCATTTTGAAAGTTTGCCCACAAATAACGAAGTTGCTAGGTTTCCGAGTTTTACGTAAAAAATCGATTGATGACAGTAATACTATGGACAACCAATCAAATATTTGACATTTATCAAAAGTAAATGAATATAAATATGCATAGTTCCATAAGGTTGAAAAATGGAAATGTGAAATTTCAAAGTTTTCTCACAATCTCGATGTACATCCCTGACGAACAATCTCGTGCTTTTCCGAAGGGTAATCACGACGTGCTCTCCGGGAGAGGTTGTTTGACGCAGATAAGTTTGATAGTTTTCCAAAAAGATAACGAAATTGCTAGGTTTCTGAGGTTTACCTAAAAAATTGCTATGCACATCCAATCAAATATTTGATATTTATCAAAAGTAAATGAATATAAATATGCATAGTTCCATAAGGTTGAAAAATGAAAATGTGAAATTTCAAAGTTTTCTCACAATCTTTAAGAATCCCGTCAGACTTTTATCTTTAAATGGCGTGCATTCCTGAAAGACATTCTCGACGTGCATTCCAGAAGCGCAATCTCGACGAACATCCCTGACGAACAATCTCGTGCTTTTCCGAAGGATAATCACGACGTGCTCTCCGGGAGAGGTTGGTTGACGCAGATAAGTTTGATAGTTTTCCAAAAAGATAACGAAATTGCTAGGTTTCTGAGGTTTACGTAAAAAATTACTATGCACATCCAATCAAATATTTGATATTTATCAAAAGTAAATGAATATAAATATGCATAGTTCCATAAGGTTGAAAAATGGAAATGTGAAATTTCAAAGTTTTCTCACAATCTTTAAGTATCCCGTCAGACTTTTATCTTTAAATGGCGTGCATTCCTGAAAGACATTCTCGACGTGCATTCCAGAAGCGCAATCTCGACGAACATCCCTGACGAACAATTTCGTGCTTTTCCGAAGGATAATCACGACGTGCTCTCCGGGAGAGGCTGTTTGATGCAGATAAGTTTGATAGTTTTCCAAAAAGATAACGAAATTGCTAGGTTTCTGAGGTTTACGTAAAAAATTACTATGCACATCCAATCAAATATTTGATATTTATCAAAAGTAAATGAATATAAATATGCATAGTTCCATAAGGTTGAAAAATGGAAATGTGAAATTTCAAAGTTTTCTCACAATCTTTAAGTATCCCGTCAGACTTTTATCTTTAAATGGCGTGCATTCCTGAAAGACATTCTCGACGTGCATTCCAGAAGCGCAATCTCGACGAACATCCCTGACGAACAATTTCGTGCTTTTCCGAAGGATAATCACGACGTGCTCTCCGGGAGAGGCTGTTTGATGCAGATAAGTTTGATAGTTTTCCAAAAAGATAACGAAATTGCTAGGTTTCTGAGGTTTACGTAAAAAATTACTATGCACATCCAATCAAATATTTGATATATATATATATATATATATATATATATATATCAAAAAGTAAATGAATATAAATATGCATAGTTCCATAAGGTTGAAAAATGGAAATGTGAAATTTCAAAGTTTTCTCACAATCTCGACGTACATCCCTGACGAACAATCTCGTGCTTTTCCGAAGGATAATCACGTGCTCTCCGGGAGAGGTTGTTTGACGCAGATAAGTTTGATAGTTTTCCAAAAAGATAACGAAATTGCTAGGTTTCTGAGGTTTACGTAAAAAATTACTATGCACATCCAATCAAATATTTGATATTTATCAAAAGTAAATGAATATAAATATGCATAGTTCCATAAGGTTGAAAAATGGAAATGTGAAATTTCAAAGTTTTCTCACAATCTTTAAGAATCCCATCAGACTTTTATCTTTAAAGGGCGTGCATTCCTGAAAGACATTCTCGACGTGCATTCCAGAAGCGCAATCTCGACGAACATCCCTGACGAACAATTTCGTGCTTTTCCGAAGGATAATCACGACGTGCTCTCCGGGAGAGGCTGTTTGATGCAGATAAGTTTGATAGTTTTCCAAAAAGATAACGAAATTGCTAGGTTTCTGAGGTTTACGTAAAAAATTACTATGCACATCCAATCAAATATTTGATATTTATCAAAAGTAAATGAATATAAATATGCATAGTTCCATAAGGTTGAAAAATGGAAATGTGAAATTTCAAAGTTTTCTCACAATCTTTAAGAATCCCGTCAGACTTTTATCTTTAAATGGCGTGCATTCCTGAAAGACATTCTCGACGTGCTTTCCAGAAGGGCAATCTCGACGTACATCCCTGACGAACAGTCTCGTGCTTTTCCGAAGGATAATTACGACGTGCTCTCCGGGAGAGGCTGTTTGACGCAGATAAGTTTGATAGTTTTCCAAAAAGATAACGAAATTGCTAGGTTTCTGAGGTTTACGTGAAAAATTACTATGCACACCCAATCAAATATTTGATATTTATCAAAAGTAAATGAATATAAATATGCATAGTTCCATAAGGTTGAAAAATGGAAATGTGAAATTTCAAAGTTTTCTCACAATCTTTAAGAATCCCGTCAGACTTTTATCTTTAAATGGCGTGCATTCCTGAAAGACATTCTCGACGTGCATTCCAGAAGCGCAATCTCGACGAACATCCCTGACGAATAATTTCGTGCTTTTCCGAAGGATAATCACGATGTGCTCTCCGGGAGAGGCTGTTTGACGCAGATAAGTTTGACAGTTTTCCAAAAGAATAACGAAATTGCTAGGTTTCTGAGGTTTACGTAAAAAAATTAGAATGCACATCCAATCAAATATTTGATATTTATCAAAAGTTGAATATGGTTGAAAATTGAAAATGAGCAATTGCGCTCTCTATCAAATTGCTTTTAATAGTATCCAGAGTGAAATATCTGGATCCCCGACAATTTTTAAGAAACACGTCAGACTTGTCTTTAAATGGCGAGCATTTCTGACGGAGAATCACGACGTGTTTTGCCGAATATCAATCAGGGCGTACGTTCCCAAAAGGGCGTGCATTCCCGACGGATTGTCCTGGCTTTTGTGAACGTTTTCAGAAGGTTGATGCAAAATTCTTTTTCCTTTTAGTGTTTGTCCTGGAGGATAAGGAAGCTGTATTGCTACGTATGTTTGGGGACAAAAATTCTAAAAATCATTAATATCGCTTCCAAATATTTCTCAACTTTCTACGAGGGATGTCTTTTAAGTTTTGCATATACAAACATAGTAGGCCGCGCAGATCGAACGTCAGTACTGAATCTTAATCTTACCCTTTAGTAAACTTTATCGCAACAAGAATGCCTTGCCGAGTTACTGTCTGTTTTCGGCAACGAAGCGCCACATCAGTCGACAATTTCCCGTTGGTATAGAGAACTCAAACGTGGACGGGAAAATTTTGAAATGACGTTTAAGCCTTGTAAAATACAATAAAAACCTAGTTTTCTTCAAACTCTACGATATTTTTTTAAACGTTTTCCTTTATTTCCTTAGCAAGAACAGTTTCTCGCCAGAGACGACACACCCAGGAAAGATAAAATAAAACAATAACTTGAAATAGTGTTTATTTCCAATGAACATATACAAAAAAATTAAATTCAAATTGAATCGCATCTAGCGCTAGCCGATATACAAAAACAAAGAAAATGCATAAAACTACAAGTTTTAGCCAATCATGGTCCAGTAAAAGCCGATTTTAGGGGAAAATGAACGAGGTGACTTTCACGCAGAAAGTTTGACAAAAAGTTAAGAATTTAAATTTTACGTAAAAAATTCGATAGCTGATGATAAAATTATGCAATCAAATACTTGATACTTGTCAAAAGGAAATGAATATAAAAAATTGCTAGCTCCGCAAGATTGAACAGAAAATGTGGGATTCAGTTGCGCATTGTATCGAATAATTTTTAAAGAATTGTTGATTGAAATATTCCGGTGCGGAGAAAGGGGGCGCGGTGCCGTTGTCTCCTCAAGGCTTCAGGCTAGAGGAAAAGAAAAATGGAGAAAGCGTGATGCTGGATCTGCGGCTGGAAATACCTCCCACAATTTTCAAGAAATTCCCTTTACATTTACTTCAGAAAACCAAAAGTTTCACTGCCTTACATCAACATTCGAAAATCCACCTCAAATTCCCCTCAAAACACTCCTTTTTCCTGAACTACCATCCACGTATCTCCCTCTAATGCTCGATCTTGTTTCTCCTGATCACGTCCTGGTCTCCCTCCGAAACGAAACGTTTGCGTCCGCGCGACGGCAGCTTCTTCAGAATCGTCTCTGTCAAGAAGCCCAACTTATGACAGCGATCCACGAACCGATCGAGTATGATGTACGCTAACGGCACGTCCATCGAAATATCCGGGAGATCGTCGAAGACGCGCAAGAAACCGCGTTCCATTTGATCGGTCGTGATGAGCACCTGGTCCGAGAATGCTTTCAGGAGAGTGCAGAGCGTTTCTTCTTTTACGGCGCTGTTCGCTTCCAGAGCCATCACGATCGCTTCGTACACCTGGAAAAGGTAAATATACTAAGTGACATATAAATCCGAACACCCAGTTTAAATGGTTTTATTTTAATAAAAGTTGGTGAATGTATTTATCTTACTGTAAATAACAAGTGCAAAAATTTTCAGCCTTATCAGTTGGACATTCCGGTTTTTATACTGCGTTTTTTTTAATTCACTAACGCTCTAAAAATGAATATTTCAGCCGCAGCAAAGAATCAACGTTGGCGGATTTTGGTTCTTGACATCCTTTACGATCGGTTACGATGCCTAGAGTACGGAGACCTGTACGATTTCGTCAACTTAGTGAGTTTGATAGGGGCCGTATAGTGGGACTTCGGGAAGCTGGACTTTCCAGTTGCAGTTAGAGTGCAAAGAAGTGTAGACACTGTCGTTAGGTGTTGTCAGGCATGGCTTCGAGAAGGCCGTACGCAAAGAGCAAGGGCCACTGGACGCCGCCGTAGAACAACAGACCGTGAAGATCGCCGCCTAAGATTATTGGCCTTAAGGGACCGTTTCTCCACTACCAGGTCCATTGCAAATGAATGGTTTGCAGAACACGGAATACCTATTGGCATGCGAAGTGTTTACCGACGAATGAGAAGTTTTGGCTTGTTTTCATACCGGCCACACTAGGTCCTCCCTTTAACTCGAGAACACCGACGTAATCGCCTTGAGTGGTGCAGACAACGGTCACTCTGGGATCAGGAATGGAACAGTATTGTCTTTAGTAACGAGTCTCGATTTTGTTTAGGCATACACGATGGTCGTGCCAGGGTTAGAAGGCGACGTGGTGAAAGGAGGAATCCACAGTTTTTTGTTGAAAGACATGTTCATCACACTGTTGGAGTTATGGTTTGGGGTGCTATAGCTTATGGTTCCAGGTCACCTTTAATCTTCATCAGAGGTAACATGAACGCGCAGCGTTATATCCACGAAGTTCTAGAACCCCATCTTTTACCCTATCTTGACACCCTGGCAGATCCAACTTTCCAACAAGATAATGCCCGACCACATGTTGCAAGAGTCACAATAGACTTCTTTCAACATAATGATGTCACATTGTTACCATGGCCACGTGTGGGATATGATGGGTAGGAGATTGCTCAATTTGCAACGTCCTCCTCAGACTCTAGAAGCACTTCGAGAGGAGTTGGTGGTTGCCTGGAATGAGATACCACAGGGGGACATTGACCACCTGATCAGAAGCATGCCTAGGCGCGTTGGAGAATGCGTAGCACATCAGGGTGCATCCACACATTATTAAAGGTCAAAGGGCTTTAAAGCAGTGCAATCATTATGAAATGTTTATCATTTACTTATTATGCTTCATTAAGTACTTATACAAAATTTTATTAAAATAAAACCATTTAAACTGGGTGTTCGGATTTATATATCACTTAGTATATTTGGTTCTTATTTTTATATTTAAAATGAAAAATCATCTTTTGCCAAAACATTTAGAACACTACATAGAACTGAATAATCATTACAATTATGAATTATACAAGAGGAAATATAGATTTTCGTTTACAAAATTGCAATGATAATATAACTATTAAATCAATATTTCAGAAAGGATTACTCTAATTTAATAAACTAAATAATGATATAAAGTCAACTTGTAATTTAAAGATATTTAAAAGAAGATTAAAGGAATATTTCATGGACAATGAAAATTCTTAGAGATGCAAATTTCGTTTTTTTTTCTGAATGCATGTATGTTATGTAACTGTTTAGTTTTTCAGAAGAATGTAATTGTAGCAATCGTGCTAAATAAATCTTAAACAACAAAATACGCCTGTTTTTGCGCCTTGGATTTACCAAATAAAAATCAACGTACCAGCTCGTGATGGAAATGCGGCACCTCCAACAGCCTCAAGCACCTGCTCGCCTCCTCGATGTCGCTGGAGGACAAAAACTCCTGCAACAGCAGCGACATCTGCCTGGTGAGCGCTTTCACCGGCCTTAAGGCCCCGCCTACGCCCCAAACGTTGTGCAATCGCACCAGGCCGTGCTTCATGCTCAGCAAAGTGTCCGCGTGGATCAGCGCTTCCTGGAAGTCCTTCTGGTCGCTCTTCTCTTTCATCGTATGGATGAACTTCGGCGGGATGCAGTCGTCTGCTATGGCTCTGGAATAAAAGGAAGCATATTAGTACATTACACAATATTTTCCCTTTTGAAACAGCAAATATATTTTATAATTTTCGACTGTCCGTGCTACATAATCAATCACTCCTTAAGTTTATTTTACACCGCAGGCAGAAGCCTAAATGCCAGGGCAGTAGAACTGGTATTCAAGTTTGTGGATTAGGAGTTTGTGAGTTGACTGCAAAATGGGTATAAAAACATACCTGGCGATGAAATTTCCAATGACGGTGGGAGCGTCGGGCACGTCCAACATGAGATCGTTGATGTTGGCCAACAAACTTTCGAAGGCCTTGCTGATGTCCGCTTCGGAGATGACGTGCGGGAAGAGATCAGAGATGAGGACCGATGTCATCTCTCTATGGGATGGCTTGTGATCCAACGCGATTTCGATCACTTGCTCCACCAACGCGTCCCTGCGGTTCCACGGGATCTGCTCTTCGATGGAGAGGATCGCCTCCTGGGTATCGCCGTTTTCGAAGTACTCCAGCACTATTGGCTCCACCTGGAATCGTTTAGAGAGCCAACGATTAGTTTCAAAAGTGAAAAAAAAAACGGAGTCGAAGTACCGACTTGTTCAGTCCTTCCCGCGAATTACAATACAAAATTAAAACGCTTATCAGTGATTCTATTTTTTTTTTACTATGCTCTAAAATCAATTAAGACGCTGAGAAATGAATGGATACGACATTCAGGTTTTTTTGAGGTTTTCGTCCCCTAAATCATCGGTCACTGAAAAAACTATACAGCTTCTTCGCACACTGAAATAAAAAGGGATGTTACGTCATGTTGCGCATTTTAGTAAAAACATATAGAAAAGCCGGGATCAGCCCGTCGGGAATGCACGTCGGATAAATACGTCGTGAATGCCCATCGAGATGGCCCGTCCTGAATGCACATCGTGATTGCCTGTCGACAATGTGTCGTAATTTCCCGTCGGGACACAGCGTAATTGCCTATCGCCAGTGTTATTCGTGATTGCCTTTCGGAAATACACGTCGTCAATGCTTGTCCAGATTTTACGTAATTTATCGAATTTCATGAAAAATGGGCAGAAAAGCCGGGAAACTCCGTCGAGAACGCACGTCGTGATCGCCGGTCGCGAATGCCTGACGGCAATGCTAGTCGTAATTGCACGTCAGATATACATGTCGTGAATGCCCGTCGCGATTGCCCATCCACAATGCACGTCGTGACTGCCCGACGGGAATGCACTTTGTAAACGTCTGTCGGAAATACACGTCGTGAGTGCCTGTCCACGTTTTACGTGATTCACCGCAAAAATTGGCAGAAAAACCGAAAAATCCCGTCCGGAATGCACATCGTGATTAGCACGTGGGGAATATAAATCGGGAATGTCTTTCGCCAATGCTAGTTGTGATTGCACGACGTGAATGCCTTTTGACAATGTCCATCCTGATTGCCTGTCGTAAATACACGTCGTGAATGCCTGTCATTTACCGCATTTTATTAAAAATAAGCAAAAAAGGGAAAACCATCGGCAATAAGCGTCGTAATTGCCCGTCGGGAATGCACGCCGCGAATACCTGTCGTCAATGGTAATCGTGATTGCTCGTCGGACATACACGTCATGAATAACCGTCGCGATTTCACGTGCGAAATGAGCGGAATTAACTCAAGTTGGGATTTTGAGATGAAAACAAACTTGAAAGATTTTAGGTTTCAAACCATTACTTGGTCACAAACTTCTGTCACTTTAGGCCCGTATCGTCAGTCGTCCCTACAATTGTAGGGCGGCTTTATGGCCTCCTTGATTGTCATAGTTTTCTACTTCTCCGTGTCAGAACTCTATTTTGAGGTTATGTCACAAACATCTATTTGCATCAAATTGTGCTTGCTTTTGAGTTATATCATGTTTTATCAGCCTGAAATTTCCTACAATTTAAAAAGAAAACATATCTTCACAATAGGAGACCGCTGATACTGACACGCGACAAGTGTAATCTAGAAATTTTTGAAGGAAAGAAAGGAGTATGACAATCAAGGAGGCCATAAACGCGCCCTACAATTGAAACGGTGAGTGGAAAAACGATATAACTCCCAAAAAAGTCATTTTAAACCAAGATAGCCAAAATGTTCTTCAACACAGGATCCTTCTACTGAGCTAAAAAAGCGTACAATATTCACTACGTGCACGCTCCCACGAAGCGGTCAGATTTGGCATTGAGTGGAAGTGGAATAACGATATAACTCCCGTTTTTATACTGATTTTCCACTCAACCGAGCGCATGGCGCATGTCGCGCAGTCAGCTGATTTTGGACGGTTTGTCAGTAAGCATTCAGCTCGATCGTACCCTGTTTGCAGGTTATGTTAACATTTTCGCGTTTCCTCTTATATTTTACGTGATTAAAATGTCTAGCAGTGAAAGTTCGGATACGGAAATGATCGATCGTAAAAGAAAAAAAAGATGTTCTGAAACATGGAAGAGAAATGAAAGGAAGAAAGCTCGTCTTCTTGGAAGCCAATACACAACTAAAACTGGGAAAATAGTCAACAAAAGGGAGGTTAAAGCAGATTGCACATAAGCTTTATTACTATAAAATAACACAATCGTTTGTAACAATATTATATTGTTTTTTTAGATGTAAAAACAAATGCATGACTAAATTTACGATGGAGGAAAAAGAAGCTGTTTTGAGGGCATTATACGAGAAAGGTTCAAAAAACGAACAAGATGTCTATTTACATGGGTTAATGGAATGTAAACCAGTCGTTAGGAAGTGACCAAATAAAGAGGCCAGAGAAAAACTCAGGACAGCGAGTTTTTCTTATTACATACGAAAACCTTTAGAGAAACAACGTGTTTGCAAAACAGCCTTTCTTAATCTACATTCAATCTCGAACTCTAGACTACAACGACTAAATAGATTGTTCGTGTCTCAGAGTTCACCTAGAGATTTACGTGGTACGCATAATAATCGACCTCATACATTACAACCTCAGGTTACTTCCAAAATCCATCATCACATTGAATCGTTTCCACGAAGGACTTCTCACTACAGCTCTAAAGAAATTCACTATCTTGATTCAAATCTTAACGTTAAGACTATGTATAATCTCTTTGTAAAATTACACCCGGAATTAACAAAGATAGTTAAATATGAATTTTACTTAAAATTCTTTAAAGAGAATTTTGCATTAAAATTCGGGAGGCCTCAAGTAGATGTATGTGGACAATGCGAGGAATTAACAACAAAACTTAAGGATTCAAATTTAAACGACAACGCTAAGAGAGTTGCTGCTGCCGAATTAATGGTTCATAAGCGTCGAGCTAAAATATTTTACTCAAAGCTAAAGGAAGTCACTGATCTGTGCCGTGAACGAGAAGATGTTGGTGGAATAGTTTTTGACTATATTCAAAATATGCCTCTGCCTGTTATACCTGTCCAGGAAATGTTTTATTACAGGCAACTATGGCTATATGGGTTTGAAATACACGATTTAAAAAATAATACTGGACATTTTTATACATACCATGAGGGACAAGCCGCGAAGGGACCCAATGAGGTATGCACGTTTATCAATGATTATGTGCAGAAAATGCCAGCGGAGATTCAAGAGCTGCACATATTTTCGGATGGTTGCCCGGGCCAAAACCGGAATAATACCGTAATAAGATATTTATTAGCACTTGCAGCTTCAAAAAGATTTCGCAAAATTTATCACTACTTCCCATTGCGCGGTCACTCTTTTTTACCGTGCGACAGGGACTTCGGATGTCTTAAGAGAGTGATAAGAAAACATGATCGTATATCTTCCAGAAGATTATGAAAACATGATGCTCTCTTGCCGCAAAGTAAAGCCGTTTACTGTATCAACAATATGTTATAAAGATATAACTGATTACAAAACTTGGTGGCCCAAATATTACAAAAAAACTTGTCAATCTTCAGATGAAATAAAATCCAAATTTACACTATCAAATTACAGGCAGTTTACTTATGATAGTTCTACACCTGGATACCTCATCACTAGCGATTATATAGGAGGATTTGTGTCGCAATGTTTTAAATTAATCAAACCTAAAGCCATGCCAACTTTACCAACTAACCCTGCATATTCAAAGACATTACCAATAAATATAAAGAAAATTGATAATCTAAAAAAAGTCCTGCAATATATGTCGTCAGAAATATTGGAATTCTATTACCATATTACTTCATGGGAAACCACCAACGCTGAATGTGAGGCAACTGAGGCGGACTAATAAAACTATTTTTATTATATTATAGTATATCATAAATATGTTCTTTTCATCGTATCTAAGTGTATTTAGGTTAAATGTACATTAAATAATAAAAAGCATTCTAATTTGTAGTTTTATTTACTAATTAAATTCATGATTTGAGGCTTGTTTAAAGTTGGGCGGAAAAACCGTATAACTCCTAGTGACGTTTTGACATGTATATTATTTATTACAAAAAATAATTGATAATTCACTTTACATTCGTTCAGAGAACTTAATTGTCTACAAACTTGCAATGTATATATTTCTTGTATATTATATAGTTTTCAAACAAAACACTTTTTTGTGATTATCTCAAATTCGTATTTTTGGACTTATATCGTTATTACACTCACCGATTCAATTGTAGGGACGACTGACGATATGGGCCTTAGAGTATTTTGATAAAGAATTGATTCTAAAACTGCTTTATAGAATTTTACCAATCGTAATTTATTTAATAAATAGTATTTCATTCTTATTTATATCGTGTGAAAAGGCCAGCTATACCATATTAAAAGTTTTGAAGGAGAAAAGAGGTATAAAATGCTTCCCTGCACTCGCGCGCGATATCTTTTTAAGGTTAACGATTCCTTAATTCCTCAAGATCTGATTAAAAAAATTCCAGTTGCAAATATCTGAAAACTCCAAAAGTTAGAAAACTTTGAAGTACATGTAGAATTTTCAGTAATATTGTTTGATCACTGACTAGACAATGCTCTTTCATTGACTCTTTATGGCATATTTGTATTGTGTACATCAAAGTTAATAAGTGATCCTGATAGTTTTGACATATATCATGGAAAGAGCAGTAGGTATGTTGCCATAAAACATACATTGCAAGGATAATATCCTAAATAAAGATCACGATAAAAATAATTTATGTAACAAAACTGGAAAACACTATACTGTGTAATGTAAACACAGCTAACTTGTTGATGTTGATACACAAAACTTTTTTAAAATGGTATCCATTAGCTGATAGCACAGTCAAAAATGGTTATGATACAAAAAAGAAAATACAAACAACTGTAAAAAAGTCTGTCTGTATTTTGATATTTGCATTTGTAATAATTGAAAAAAGAAATAAATAAATAAGCACCTACTGATCCCAAATATCACTGACATTTGTAGAAGTTTCCAACAACATTCTAACAGCAGAAGAGTACTTTTAAAGCTTCAGACCAGGATTTTAGAGCTAAAATCACAACTCAAATCTGTAGAAAATTCCTCCAAAATGCTCAAAGTTTTTAGACTAAAATCGGCTTTAAAGTTTTGCAAATAAAAAAAAAATAGGCAATTAAATGAATTATCCATTAACTAAATTTGGTATGCAGGAATATTTAATTTGAATAACTACCTTTTTCTTAATTTCTTCATCTGATACCTCAGGCACCACAACTTTCAGCTCGATATCGCCATTGCTCATATTTTCATTGTCAAAATTAGGATCGTTAACATCCTCGTAAGTCTCCAGCAGCTCAGATCCAGGTTTTCCCCAAACACCTTTACCTCCAGCTCCACCTTTTTTGGGCAGTCCCCTTCCATATCCGTTCCTAGACCTACGACTGTTCTTCCATTGCCTGGGGCCCTGGACAAAACTGCTGGCCACCACATTGTCCTTGGAATTCTGTCTGTGCACCTTGCCCTTATGCTTGTTACGTCTTACTGCAGTCTCGGCAAGGGCAGCACTTTCCTTTGATATCCCTGTGGCTAGTTCTTCATCAACTTCCTTATCGATATCATCGATCGGGTGATCAATGCTGCTTCGCTCTGAAGCCATTTCGCTCTGGATGAATACCGCCGATTCGTGGAATGAATCCTTCGATTGTCTCCACTTGAACACCTAGAAGAAACCGCGTTGGGGAAATCTTAAAATAAATTCTTTAATAGAGGTGTTCTGTTACACGTCATAGTAGGGTTACGTGACAAAGATAAAAACGTGGTTTGCAGTCGGTATGCGAGGAAAGGTACAATAAAAGGGTACGTATTTCTCCAAAAAAGCATCGTTTTGTGAATATTGTCGATGAAACGATTCGAACATGCGGTAAAATATCGAGCATTCTAGAAGCGGTAGAGAACTGCACGCAAGAAGTAAACAATCGCCCAGCTGGCCATCATGGCAAGGCTGTTATCCGATATTCACGTTTGAAATTCCACTCCAGAAACTTTAAATTCACGTTTAAATAACCTACCTGTGACTTCTCAGAAACGAGTCGTCCCGAATATCTCGGTAAAAGCGGCTAGAACCTGAAAAAACAATTTTTTGCGCAACACACCTCACCGACTTCCATCAACACAATATTGGCCAATGTTTTCCTCGGGACTGTAGCTTTGTTATTGTAGCGCTGTCCTTGTTTGATTCGCGGCAGAATCCAATTGGAAAGACGAAGACGAAAAATAGGGACGGGCTGTGAGAGGAATGAGGAAATCGGTGATAGGCCAGGTATTTTAGATCTAGGAATTTCAAATTATTTACACAGTTGTGTTGCAGTGAATAGTAGTTACATCAAGAGAAGATACTTCGAGGAAGTGTCTTCAATGGCCCCTTGGGTTTTTTCTGCATTATAGTAGTAAAAGACTTGACCTTGGAGGTCATCTACTTTGTAGTAGGGAAGCCGATCGTAATTTTCTGTTACTTAGCATACTGATAATAAAAACTAGTCACATCCAAATTTGCCGTTTAGCACAAACAACGTACGATTTGACTGGTTTTTAACATAACGTATCAGTACGCGACGCGATACAACCCAAACTACGGCTGACCTTTAGACTCATACTGGTGTACAAAATCAGCGATCTATGAGCGGACCGACCTTGGTTTGGCGATTCGCTTATAGATGACTATGACTCGACATTCTGCCACGGCGGTGTTTCAAGCTGACGTAAAATCCTTAGAAAACGCTACACTCATACCAAGCTGGATAAAGTTCAGTTCAGGATTATCTGTCAGGCAGCATCGCAACGCTTTAAAATAAGAACAGCACGTGTTTAGACGTCATCAAAGCTCTATTACTAGTTTACGTCTCTTGGTAGAACTACTCAATGCTATTTAATCTATTGCATTCCTTCCACACGGGTATCATGTAAAAAACCTACAAAACGTCAAAAAAAACCTATATGATGTCAACTTGCAGACTAGCTGGTTTTTAGGGCGCAGCCATTCCACGTTTGCTCACTAGGATCGTTGTGAACGTCCATCTATGAAGGAATCACTCAACTAAAACACGCATTATTGGTTGCATAGTTTTGTGAGGCTGAGTGGTCCGTGTCTGTAGTTTTTGTCTCTGAGAAGAAAGTTGGTTGAATAACAAGATCGCAACTGGATGATTATGTGTATTGGTTTGCATGTGTATAAAATCAGTGATATTTGCTGGGTGATAAAATCATTACTGAATATGACGGGTTATTTATATGTTGGGCTTTCTGAAGAGAGGTTATGTTCAACGTTATAAATTACGAAAAACTGATGAGAATTACGGGAAATCATCACCGCGCCCGCGTTGTGTGTAATCACCGTTAGCATGTATAATATGGCTTGTAATTCGACTGTGTACAGTGAATATAATCATTTCTTATCTCTCTCATTTTTTAAATTTAGAAAATTTGTATATGTAATGTCCAGAATGGATAAGAAAAAGTGGATGCGGAACTAATTTCTAGCTTTGAATCTCAATTAAGTGTATTTGAGACAAGAACCCAATGTAATTATCATCAACATATATAACTTACACCTTAAACCTCCAGTAATGCCATCTCAGAAGCAGATTTTATATCACATCAGAGCCAAAGATTGATAACAAGCCTCATGACGTTTAGGCAACACGTACAACTAAGTGCTAAGTCAACGTCTTGGCGAAAAACCTACATAATGTCAAAAAAAAACAGCATAATGTCAAAAAAAATCGGCCTAATGTCACTTTTCAAGATACGTGATACCCGTGCCTGTCAGTAGAGTGAATAGAAAATAGACAGTCAATCTTTTCTCTAGTACTTTATTATGACGTGACGATCGTTCGTCCTCCTTTATCGATATCAGAAGCAGAATAAGGGATACCTTGCTTTGTAAGGTTATTTTTTCCTTGTTCAACGCTGTGCTGGAAAAGTTTCAATTTATAAAAACGTATACCCTATTTCACGAGTATGCATCACGCTTTGACGTCTACTGAGGTGAACAGCTGATCAGCAAGTGACAATTGTAGTGTTATTCTGCAACGTTGGCAGTAATGAATTGGGTGTAAATCTAGTCACATTTGTTTGTAGCGTTTTATTTCTTGTATGCAAATAGTCTTTTCTAAAGAAAAGAGCTGTTAATAAGTACAAAATGAATCTCAAGCTTACTAAAAACCAAAATAACATTCGGCCCTGTCTACCTGGCGTTGACGGATCCGTCAGAATTATGTGTCCAGTGCCGATATGGGGAATTTTGTGATATTACTAGATAATCCGTTCTCATTCTACCCCGATGGATACTCGTGAAATAGGGTATATGATTGGGGGGTCAATGCTGTCAAACGTAAATGGGAAAACGCAGATTTGGTAGAAAGATAAGCTATTTTTCACGTGTCGTCGAACATTTTCATGAAAAAATATACAAAATTTTGGGGTTAGCTTCACATCAAAATAAAAAAATTAATCATATTTCACGAGTATCTTTGTATTAGTATGTAACGTCGGGTGTAAAATACGGATCTGTCTACTTGGTGTTGACGGATCCGTCAGAATTATGTGCTATTTGTCAATGAGAATTTTGAAATATTACTAGATAATCAGCTGTTATTCTACCGTAATATCTCCTTACCAACATACAGGATATTGAAATTGTTATATCGAAAAAAAATAAGACAAATTTAAATGATAACAATACTTATAAAATATAAAAAACTTTATTGATCATACAGTTAAATAAAATTAGTTTTCCAAATCATAACACAGTGATCTGCACCAACCGAAACGAAATGTGAACCATCCAAACTAAATTTGCACGCAGTCACTGGCCCCTCATGTCCGATCAAAGTATATAATGGCCTTCCCTCGACGACATCAATAATACTGATTTTTCCATCATCTCCACAACTTAACAGATAGTTCGCGTCAGGATGCCAGGACACATAATTTGCATTCCCTTCATGTATGATGTATCTCTGCTGTAATTTGCCATTTCGAATATCGTAAATATTCACTCGACCTGATTCAGTCGCTGCTGCCACTATCGTTCCATTTTTATGTACCGCGATATGTACTGGATTGTATTTACTAGTAAGGGTCTGCTCACACTTGCAACTGCTTGGATCCCAGATCTTGACAGAGTGGTCATCAGCACAAGATGCTATAAAAGTGCCTTCAGTCGAGTATTTCGCACATTTTACCCAGTTATTATGACCAGTGTAACTGCAGAGAAACTGTCGAGTAGCTGTACACCATGCTTTTATATTCTTGTCATTGGCAGCGGTTATCAAGCTGCTACTATCCGGTGCAAAATTGACGCTATTGACGGTGGTTAAGTGTGCCTTGAAGCTATTCGAGTTGCCTTTGATGGTCGGTGTCCATAATCTCACATGTTGGTCTTTGGAGCAGGTTGCCATTATGCTCCCATCGCACGAAAAATCTACGCCAGTCACACTGTCTGAATGGCCACTGAAGTTGAAGCTACGTGTGTTTGTGTCCAAATTCCATAACATTACAGTTTTGTCTTTGCTACTAGTAGCAACTTGATTCTTTTCAGGTCGAAAAGCGATGTCTGTTATCGACTGCTGGTGCCCTTTTAACGTACTTAGCAAACAGGGGTCATCGGAGGACGAACTCGGGTCGTAATTACTTTCAGACATTTTTTCGAATAAGCTACAAAGTACGAAGTAAAAACAGTTTTTACAATGTTTTGAATCGCTTGAATAACCGTTGCTAGGAATTGACAGTGACAATTGAAGATTTGAAAATCTGTCAAATGTCAATGTCACTCTTGTTAGCGATGGGAAAACGGTCACACATTCCAGTTAAGTCACTGGTGGGGTGTCCAACAAAGAAATACGAAATACTATTTCAATTGTGATATCAGCCTTTCATTTTTTTCGAAAAATTCAGCGTATTTTGTATTCTCAATTAAAAGATGGGTTTAGCAAGCAATGATGATTCATAAAAAGAGCTATTCAAGTAACAACCAATCATAACCTACAAATATCGAATGTCACTTGCCCGATCTCTATTCTGTAGTTTCTTCTGTCCACGTTTCTTCTTTGATTTTCTTCACTTTCACATCCTCCTTTTCTTTGTTGTCATTTGAAGATTTTTAGGTTAGAGTTTTATTTATAAACAAAAACGTTTTATAAAGATCTGTGCATGTGTTCAGACTGGAAATAATGTCTGCCCACATAATTTGTGTAACAGGCAGCGGTCTACCACTGTTAAGCAGGAAAAAGGGCAATTCTGAAAGCGTAGGAACAGAAATAAAAAATAAATATATTTGTATTGAATTTTCAACATTTCAGCTTCCGTTTGCGACAATAGGCTCTTTAAACGGCTTGTACATGTTTGGAAAACCGTTCAACGTGAAACTCCTCAACTGCAGCACAAACGATTATGTTTCTTGCTGGAGAGAATTTGAAGATAGGTAAGATGAGGTTCTTAATAAAGATAACTCAATAAATATTATATATCAGTAGAAAGTCGATTAATTTCACCCTGATTTTGTTTTATAATTGTGAATTTATTTACAACAATAAATTCATGAATAAATTGCCAGATTAGAGCTGGTTCTTATTTTTCGTCAATTGTTTGGGGGAAGCTAGTTGTTTCCGGTTCTTTTCCTAGATACTATTATTTGACGCGTTCACGTTTCGTGATTTTTAAGATCAAATTTATAATCCTTACAGTTTGGCTTACCATTTTAATTTTAATATAGGATTTAATATTCCATCAAAAATAATATTAGTAAACCCTATTTCTCGATTATCCATCATGTTTTGGAGTCTACTGAGGTGAACAGCTGATCAGCAAGTGACATTTTTGTATTAGTCTGCAATGTTGGCAATAAAAAAAACTTGATTTTGTAGCAGTTTTCTGTATGCAAAGGAACATTACTAAATAAAAGAGTTGTTAGCAAGTGTAGTGTAGAAAAAACCAAATAAAAATACGGCTATGTCTATACCCTATTCCACGAGTATCGATCACGGCAGAATGACAGCTGATTATCTTGTAATATCTCAAAATTTCCCACATCGGCACAGGACACATAATTCTGACGGATCCGTCAACGTCAGAAATCAACAAACTTCATCGATTTGTTTGACGTCAAATTCCTTTTTTACACTTTTGATATTTGGCCATGAAGAAATCCGTGAATTATTTGTCCCAAATATTTGCTCAATAACATGTGTAATTTTGAAACTCCAAAATTGCTTTGTATCAATGTATTAACTTTGCATAATAGCCGTATGAATAACGGATTTATTTTTCCTAACAACGTAGCATTTACAAGGTTTTGTGAATTATCCCAACTGAAATCACCATCAATACGATAGACTGGATTTCCAACGATATAATCGAAATCACGATAGATGACGATTACGACATCATTTTAGTCTGTAGTAAAGACAAACGACAGCGATTTGTGAATATTTTTAATGAAGTTTCAGATATGTTAGACAGAGACAAACATAATTTTATTGTCTAAACATAATGTATTGCTAATTTGCATGTATCCGACAAAGATAGACGATGCTTTCATGTTGTATGATCGATCATATTTGAAAGATGAATAGTTAGGTTATGTTAAAGCAGATTAGGTTGTTTTCGAATAATACTTTGTTCTTTGGTGTTCCTGCCTCCAGGTATTCTACTCATAACTGTTTTTTTAAAACAAAAACTCCCCACTAAAATTATTATTATGGTATCACTCAAAACCATGAAATAAAATGAAAATAAAAATAATCAGTGAAATAACCTAACTTCGCAAAATCATATAAATTCATGACATCGTGATTTTATCAACGATTACTTCAGTACAATATATGGTATGACGTAATAGTCATCTTTCGTGATTTTGACAATACACTCGACAGCGTTACAAGGCAACGCCAACTCTGCGATTTGAAGGAAAATATTCGCTACTATTCAAAAAAACGCGGCCAATGTAGGAGACTGCACCACAAAATCAATTGATAGGGTCAATAATCGCGTGACAGTCTGCGCATTGTGAACCTTAACATCTGCTGATAAACGTTTTTAATCTATTTCAGCATCGTGATCATTGGAATTGCGAGTGGTTGTTCTTTGGATGTCCTCAATTCGCTTCTGGACATCATTTTCGATGCTATCGTTCTTATCGTTGGAATTGACGAAGTAAAACAACAGAGAAATGTTGAGAGACTCAAGAGAGAATTTAGGGTAATCCTTACTAATATTATAAATGAGAAAGTGTGGATGTCTGTTACTCAATCACCCTAAAATTGCTAAATGGATCTGGATGAGATTTGCTGCAGAGATAGTTTTCGGATATAATTTTTACCATGTTTATATAAGGACTTCTTATTATTTTTAGCATTATGTCACTTTTCAAAATGTAAAAAATGCGTATACAAAAAAATATCGAAGTATTAAGTTCTTTGATTTCTAAATTTGCATCACTATAAAACTATAGCAATATTTTTCAAAATTTCAGGTGATTTACCCGGTGATCGACAGGTTGTTGGATTCTCTGGACTGTGGAGAAACTGGTAACAAGCATGCTTCAGACATCTTGGGCTACTCTGAAGTTATATCATGCCCAGAAAACAACATGATAAAGGTTTATACATTTTCACAACTTTTTTATATTTTGAAATACTGGATCTATTATTTTACTGATTTTTCTAGATCGTCCTGGACTCCTATACAAAATGTGTGGACTCAATGTACAGTTGCGTCATCATCTCTGAAAAAATAGCAGTGGCAACAGAAAGTTGGTGGTCGCTTCATCCCAATGAAATAAAGCTTTTAACATTGCTTGCAGTCGCAGATAATCTCACAACTGCGAAAGATGTTCCTGTATTTCTACCATACAAAAGCGCAAAGGTAACAAAAGCTAGAATCGTTGTACGAGGGTACAGAGAACTATCATCTGACAACGCCGATTTCAGTTTAAAAATGAGGTCAATTTGTAGCAATGTGTATAACATATTGGCAACGCGGCAAATTGCCACGTCAGCGTCAAGTCGTCAAACAAATTTGGTATTACCTGTATGATCTTTTTGAATTAATTTTTTTAGGTCGCATTCCGATTTGTGGTCTGTACATTGATGCCAGACGTGATGCTGTGTTGTTTATGTGGTTCAACGCCGGCTTTGAACGACATAAAACATTTTGCTATGCAGTGCTTCAGAAACTCAACGTCGATGCTCGGCGCTGTAGTAAATTCGAGTCCGCGGAGTTTTCCTTCGAGTTGGAACATAGGAAGCAGCATATTGAGGTATGAAAAAACCAGGGTTGATGCATATGCTTGGCGGACCCACTTGCTATGAAACTACATTCAATTTATATTTTGTTCATTTTCAGACATTGTCTTAAGATGATGAACATTTTAGGTTGACCTTTTCTTTGAAATCTCCAACAAAGGAGTAGGTAGTCTAGAGTCACACTCCTTGACGCCATTTTTTTTTTCAGTTTGTTGCTGGTGAATATACCGTCCAAGAAGTACACAATACAATATCCCCAACAAAACTGCAAGAAAACCACGGCCAGCTCGCACAGATTGGAAATTCTGCGGTCTTTTTTATACAGAACTGTCGACCAGTACATGGTGAAGCTGTCTGAAAATTCAAAAGATGGAAATGCGAACGACGATAACGAAAACTTGAACACTGCGTTTGAATCCTATTGGTGTTCGGAATATCACAAATGTTACGCGATCAAGTTTAACGATCATATTCTGTGTATTTTGTTCAACGCTTCTCCTACAACTCATGTGATGAGATTGACAGTTCAGAAGTGTTTTAAGACCATTTTTTCTGATAAACAGTTGTGTTGGTGATAAATCTTCGCTCAAATACAGCATACTGTTGAGCACCTTCATGAACAATATGTTAATAAACGATAAAATTTTCTATTTTATACATATTTTTTATATCCATATTTTATTTCCAGTGTATATTGATGATGAATAAAGTTCATATTTTATTATTTATAATAAAAGTATCTGTTCAAACCTTCATGGGTGATTAAGATCCGTATCGTCAGTCGTTCCTACAATTGTAGGACGTCTTTATGGCCTCCTTGATTTTCACAGTATTTTATCTCCTTCAGAAAGGCTGGGGTATTTCTATATTTCACCTGTTCCGTGTCAGCGCCCTCCTATTGTTAGGTTATTTTTTCTTTTTGAATTAGACGAAATATGAGGCTGATAAAACAGATAAATCAAAAGCATGAACAATTTGATGCAAATAATATTTGTAACATAACCTCAAAATAGAGCGCTGAAACGGAGCAGTAGAAAACTATGAGAACCAAAGAGGCCATAAAGGCGTCCATCAGTGGTCTAGAAATTGGTAAATCTTGACCCCTACAGGAAAAAAGAAAATATTTTCCCCGCCAAGGACTTTTTTCAAACATCTTTTGTATTTTCGAATAAGGCATACAATTTTATCGCCTCTCCTGAGAAAAGGTTACTTCTGTTGGAGAAAAATAGGTTTGAATATTTGAGGTAACGAATCGCTATGAAAAAATGTCTGCCCAATCTACTTGAAAATAAGCTTGAAGACTGTATGCAGATTATTAGAGTAATTTTTAACTAAATCCAGTTATGGAGATTCTATTTTTAAAACGTGAACGTTGGAAAAAATATAACCAACTCAGCAAAAAGATTCACTTGAAAATCCCATCCCTATTGTTTTGAAATGTGTCAATGTCAAAATCAGGATATTTGAAAACCAAGTGAAATCCAAAATTTAACTAATCTTGTATTTACAAGCACTTTGATCCTTCCAAATCTACTAAAGTAAAGTGATGCTCATGGTTAGATTTGTATAACAATACAAAAAAATGGTATACAAACGAGGCCCCTATAAAAAGCACAGCAACTTGAAGCTGTACTGCTTCCTTTTGGTAGCTGCTGTGCTGATATGTACGGTGTATTTCATCTGGAAGCAACCTGCAGACAATGTCATTGAAAAATCTGCATTGGAAAGAGGCAGTTTTATGCCTCAAGAATTCATTCCGAAGACTGAACCCAACAATAAACCACATCCAATTGTTAGAGAGAAGATTGTGCATTTGGATTTGAAAGGAGCACCACCAAAGGTAATTCAGAAAAATGTTTGAGGCTGAGCATATTTGCTATAAAAAGATTTAAAAAATTGTACCTTGAGTTGTAACTTCTCACATAGTTTAATATTGGTCAAGACAAGAACCACAGAGCCAAACTACTTGACATTCCAATTTTAATTTTTTTTTCTATATTGTAGGTTTTCTATTATGACCATTTCTTCAATTTGATATCAAAATTAGGAGCAACAGGTGTTTTGGTTGAATATGAAGATATGTTTCCATACCAAGATGAGTTAACAAACATATCGGCTTTGAATGCATATTCCTTGAGTGAGATACAGACCATCAATGACTTGGCAGCAAAATACAGTCTGAAAATTATACCTCTGATACAGGTAACATACCTCTTCCAATGAGCTTTGTAGAAATAACCAACCAGCCAATAATGTTTTCTCCTTGTGCCTTCCTCACGAGCTCTGCCATATTTTTGTGTCAGGCTGTCCTGTCGTGAATTCCGGACGAGTTTTCCCATTGTGCTTTACTAAGATTTCTCATCGTTTTTTCCAGACGTGATTCTTTCTTGTTGTGCTTGTTGATTTTTAATGACGATCTTTCTCGTCATTCCTTATTGACGAATTTTCTCATCGTGCTTTCCTGACCGAGCTTTATCGTCATTATTTCCTGACGGATTTCCAGGTCGCTTTTCACGACGAGCTCTCTCGTCGTTCTTTCCCAACGATCTTCCTTGTGCTAACCGAACGTGCTTTCTGGACGAGTTATCTCTCTGAGACTCCCTGATGGTTTTTTAACGAGCATCCCGCTTTTCTGGACAATTTTTCCTTTTGTGCTTTCTGGAAGAGTTTCCCTGATGAGCTTTCTTTTCATTAAGCTTCTTCGTAGATGTTTCCTGACGATCATTCTCGTCATTCTTTATTAACGTATTTTCTCATCGTGCTTTCCTGAGCAGCTTTCTGGCCGAGCTTTCTCGTCGTTATTCCCCGACGAACTTCCAGCTTTTCAGCTGAGCTTTTTCGACGAGTTCCTTCTAGCTGAGCTTCTCTTCGTGCTTTCTGCTATCTCGCTATCGTCCATGATGGTTTTTTGACGAGCATACGATTTTTTGCTGGACGATTTTTCCTTTTGTGCTTTCTGGAAAAGCTTACCTGATGAGCTTTCTTTCCAATTAGCTTTCTTGTCGATTTTTCCTGACGATCTTGCCCGTCATTCTTTATTGACGAATTTTCTCATCGTGCTTTCCTGACCAGATTTCTGGTCGAGCTTGCTCGTCGTTATTTCCGAACTAACTTTCTCGTCGTTTTCTCCGACGAGCTTTCTCGTCATTCTTTCCCGACGATCTTCCTTGTGCTATCGGTACGTGCTTTCCAGCTGAGCTTTTTCGACAAGTTTCGTCGTCGTTCTTTTCAGACGATCTCTTCCTCGTTCTTTCTAGACGAGCTTTCTCGTCGTGCTTTCTGGATGAGTTATCTCGCTGACCGTCCCTGATGTTTTTTAACGAGCATCCCATTTTCTTCTGTACGATTTTTCTTTTAGAGCTGTCTGGAAGAGCTCACCTGACGAGCTTTCTTTTCAATTAGCTTCCTTGTCGATTTTTCCTGACGATGTTTCCCGTCATTCTTTATTGACGAATTTTCTTATCGGGCTTTCCTGACCAGGTTTCTGATCGAGCTTTCTCGTCGTTATTTCCTAACGAACTTTCTCGTCGTTTTTTCCTACGAGCTTTCTCGTCGTTCTTTCCAGACGATCTTTTTCTCGTTCTTCCTAGACGAGCTTTCCTGTTGTGCTTTCTGGACGAGCTATCTCGCCGAGTTTCCCTGATGGTTTTTTGACGAGCATCCCGTTTTTTTCTGATGATTTTTTCTTTTGTGCTTTCTGGAAGAGCTTCCCTGATGAGCTTTGTTTTCAATAAGCTTCCTCGTCGATCTTTGTCGTCATTCTTTATTGACGGATTTTCTCATCGTGCTTCCTTGACCAGCTTTCTGGTCGAGCTGTCTCATCGTTAATTCCTGACGAACTTCCTCGTCGTTCTTTTCCGACGAACTTCCAGCTTTTTCGACGAGTTTCCTCGTCGATCTTTCCTGACGGGATTTTTCATCGTTCTTTCTGGACGATCTTGCTCGTGGTGTTTGCCTGACTACTTCCTTTCCTAATGAGCTTTCAGTACATGTTCCTTTCCCGATGATGAACTATCGAGGGAACACACTTGCCTACTATTTGTGAGAAAGATACCCTGAGAATCATTTCACATTCACGCTTCTAGAGCATTTTTTATTATTTTATTTTAGACATTTGGACATATGGAGTTTATCTTGAAGCTAGCCGATTACAAGAAATTCCGCGAAGAACCCTCAACGCCCCAGACAATATGTCCCACCTTCAGTGAAACTTTGCACTTGATTGAAACTATGGTGAAACAAATCATTATGGCACATCCAAAATCGGAGACGGTACACATTGGAGCTGACGAAGTATACTATTTAGGTAAAAACTAACAAAAAAAAAATACAAACTTATCATTATAATGAACTCTTTTTTTTTAGGAAACTGTAACAGATGCAAAGACTTTATGCGTGAAAAAAACTTCTCCAAAAATGAACTTTACCTAGAACACGTGAACAGTGTTGCAAAGATTATCAATAAGGTGAAACCAGACATGAGAATCCTGATGTGGGATGATGAGTTAAGGACGTTCAGTAGCACAGATTTAAGGAGTCCTCACACAGTTTTGAACAAACAACTAGAGCCAGTCGTGTGGAAGTACTCGAGGGAGGTTTATGACGAACTTGGACCTGGATTGTGGGTCGATTATGCGGGAATATTTGATAAAGTTTGGGCTGCCAGCGCTTTCAAGGGAGCTACTGGTATGTTAACAAAAATTGATTAAATACATCGGGTGTTTTTTTAACGAAATAAAACATCTTTTCGTCGAGGATAATAATTAATATTCTTCAAACCGACTGGTGAACCGTAAGCTTTTAATTACAGGTTTTTTCTTATGGTTTGTCTTTGGAGATTATATCCTTCAGACAATGAAGCATATTAAGCAGTTTTTTCTTGTTAGGTAGCAGCGAAATCGTGTCCCAAGTGACCCACTATCTTCAGAACAACCGGGGTTGGCTGAGTTTGATCAAAGAACACGAACATAGAGTGCACTTCGCAGGAATCATCATCACCGGTTGGCAACGTTACGATCACTTTTCTGTCCTTTGCGAATTGCTGCCCGTCGGTGTTCCCACATTGGCGATGGTTTTGAGACTCGTATCGGGTGAGATCAGAAACGTTAATAACGCTTATGGATAGGCTTTGTTTTAATTTGTTTTTAGGTATTGACGATTCTCCGATGACTCCGCCGTTAGAAGTGGCGAGATTGTTGAATTGTTCGCAGCCGTATGGTTTAATTGGTAAGCTTCGAAAAAAATATATTACATACCTAGGTTGGAAAATGCATACACGAGCGTTCTTTCCTGATGTTCAATTACACCATTCTTTCCTGTCAAGAAAACTCGTTGTTTCGGCAATAAATGAACGGCAATCTTTCCGCCGGGATTGTTAACTTGTCAACTTGACACTAGTGTGTAACGAATGACATTTTTTAGGCATTCGCCAATGCGAATATCTGCTATCGATATTCTAGAATACGAATACGAATATTCAGTTTTTCATCTCTATACATCACATCAAAATATACTTCGATCAAGGCTGTCGAGTATTCCCGTCAGACAAATCCATCGGGCAATTTCCTTAGGCAAGTCTATCGGGTAAGCTTGACGGATAAGTCTGTCACAAAATCACGTCGAGGAAGTCCGTTGTGTAAGTCTGTTGACTAAGACCGACGATCAAGTCTGTCGAGTATTCCCGTCGGACGAATCCATCAGGCAATTTCCTTAGGCAAGCCTATCGGGTAAGCTTGTCGGATAAGTCTGTCGGAAAGTCACGTTGAGTAAGTCCGTCGCGTAAGTCTGTTGAGTAAGCTCGAAGATCAAGTCTGTCAAGTATTCACATCGGGCAAGCCCATCAGGTAGCTGTGACAGGAAATAATGCCCTGATTGATTGTCTGGAAAAAACGCTCGTCTGTAGGCTGATCTATTTTTTCCATCAGGTTCTGCATTTGGCAGCCCGCGTTGCTCGTATCTTGGCGGAAATCTGCTAGAATCAGCTTTGGCATTGAATCAATTGAAACAAGAGTTGACATCGTTGAAGGAAGATTCTAGAGTGAAAGGGTGGATGAACTCGGGGTATAACGTCAAGTATCAGTTTTCAAATGTACGACATATGGAAGCTATCAAAGCTGTGCTGATGAGGTTGCAGGCCGAGTTGAATGATTTGCAGGTAGAAATTGGTGAGTACAATAAAAAAATGTCAAAATTCGATCGAAATTCGTGTTTTATACTTCTGGAAAGCTCATGTAAATCCTCGAGAACTAGCACAAGAATGTATCGAATATGTTATATTTAGTCCTGATCCTGATGCTTTAGATTTTTACCTGTATTTTTATTTCATATGGATAGAATGAGCCGTTTTCAAGAAAAACAAGAACCAATTTTTAATTTTATATTCTATTATGAGATTTCATATGTTTTTTCTGATGATTAGGTACATCACTCTCCGAAATCTATGACGAACATACAGTCAAGGAGTGGCAGAGTACGCACGTTCAACCTTTTGCGAAGGAAGTTGAAACTCTCTTGGCAACTTGTGACAAACTATTGGCTAAGGATACTTGGCCTAGGAGACCACTGGATAGAGATGAACTGTGATTAGTTGTTTTTACATTGCCTAAATTTGTTAAGCGCTCTCTACAAAATAACTCGAATGGCTTACTGGTCGAACTTACCTGACGGACTTATCCTTCGATCTTACCCGACAGACTTGCCTAAGAAAATTACCCGATGGATTTGCCCTACGGGAATACTCGACAGACTTGAGCGTCGAGCTTACTCAAGAGACTTACCAGACGGACTTACTCGACGTGATGTTCTGACAGACTTATCCGACCAGCTTCCCGATGGACTTGCCCGACGGGAATACTCGACAGACTTACTCCACTCATCCGACAAGCTTACCTGATATACTTGCCTAAGGACAGATGGACTTGCCCGATGGGAATAGTCGACTGAATTGATCGTCGAGCTTACTCAGCAGACTTACCCGATGGACTTACTCGACGTGATGTTCTGACAGACTTATCCGAAAAACTTATCGGATAGACTTGTCCGACGGGAATACTCGCAGAGTTGATGGTCGAACTTACTCAACAGACTTACCCGACGGACTTACTCTACTCATCCGACAAGCTTACCCGATATACTTGCCTAAGGACAACACCTGATGGATTTGCCCAATGGGAATAGTCGACCGAATTGATCGTCGAGCTTACTCAGTAGACTTACCCGATGGACTTACTCGACGTGATTTTCTGACACACTCATCCGACAAGCTTACCCGATAGACTTACCTAAGGAAATTACCCGATGGGAATAGTAGAGCAACTTGATCGTCGAGCTCACTCAACAGACTTACCCGACTGACTTTCTCGACGTCATTTTTTGACACACTCATCCGACAAGTTTACCCAACAGACTTACATAAGGGAATTACCCGATGGGAATAGCCGACTTGATCGTTGAGTTTACTCAACAGACTTACCCGACGTGATTTTCTGACACACTCATCCGACAAGCAGACCCGATAGACTTACCTAAGGAAATTCCCGATGGACTTGCCCTATGGGAATAATCAAGCGACTTGATCGTCAAGCTTACTCAACAGACTTACCGGTGTGACTTACTCGACGTGATTTTTCGGCGGACTCATCCGACAAGCTTACCCGATGTACTTGCCTAAGGAAACTACCCGAAGGACTTGCCCGATGGGAATAGTCGACCAACTTGATCGTCGAGCTTACTCAGCCGACTTACCACAAAGACTCATCCGACGTAGATTTTCTGACACACTCATCCAACAAGCTTACCCGATTACTTGCCTATAAAAATTACCCGATGGATTTGCGCGACGGGAATACTCGACAGACTTGATGGACGAACTTACTCAACAGACTTACCCGACGGAGTTACTCCACTCATCCGACAAGCTTACCCGATATACTTGCCTAAGGAAACTACCCGAAAGACTTGCCCGATGGGAATAGTCGACCAACTTGATCGTCGAGCTTACCCGACAGACTCATCCGACGTAGATTTTCTGACACACTCATCCAACAAGCTTACCCGATTACTTGCCTATAAAAATTACCCGATGGATTTGCGCGACGGGAATACTCGACAGACTTGATCGCCGAGCTCACTCAACAGACTTACTCGACGCGATTTTCTGGCAGACGTATTCTACAAGCGTACCTGATAGACTTGCTTAAGAAAATTACCCGATGGACTTGCCCGACGGACTTACTCGATAACCGACCTGCTTTCCTAACAGTCTTATACGTCAAGCTTACCTGACAACCTTAATCCTAGAGTTTCACGATGAGCTTGCCATACGGACTTACCCGACAGGTTTATCCGACGGACTTACATAGTGGCGGAGGTTGATATTAATCCCTTATGAAGTGGTACCAGTGATTCAATTTTAATAATATTTTACGATGATATTTGTTTGCTACGATCAGATCAGTTTTTAACAATAATACGCCTAAGATCGAGGTCTGTTAAAAATTGTAATAACCTTACCATCGAGAAATTGCACCAAGAGAGTACATTATTGTAATTATTTACAAGAGTTTCCGTTATATTCGTCTTATATAATATATACGTGGCGTGTACGCTTTTAAAAATCTCTTAACACAACTGAAGATCTCAGTTTGTCGGGTAGTAAGCGATGCATATGTTTAATAAAAAAAAAATCTAGAATCATAGAATATAACTTGAACAATCGTTAAAGGACCAGATTTTAAAATTACACATACTTGAGTACAAAAACTGTAGGAATTGAATATTTCAGTAAATACTTCTCCGTTTGATAAAAAGCCAAGCAATAAATTGACTACTTATATTAAACAGTGTTCGAATTTAAAAATGTTTAAGGTAAATACCCAAAATTCATAGTGATGTAATTTTACTAGACAAGAATGTAAAATTACAGAAAATTGTATCAAAATTATACTTCTACCTAGTTCGAATTCTTTAGCCAAAAAGTAGCATTTGAGTAGGGACTAGTGTCCAACACTTCTTTTTACAGATCTGAATGAAGTATATCCTTTTTGCATAGATTCATCTATCTCTTGAATTATGATGTGATATGAACATGACATTGGAAAATGTGTGATACAAATTATCATGATTTAGAAGTAGGAGCAGTGTTGTGCTCGAAGCTTTTTAAAGTTAGATCTTTCCTGACATGCACTTCTAGGGAAAAATTTGCTCAAATATATTTATTTTTGTAAACGACTGAGGTACAATTTTATGTATATTTTTAGTTTATAGTTCCTTGTTTTGTTTATATATCGAAGAATAAAGAAGTTTGCAACAATTTGTGTCGAGAATTATTTAGCCAAATGAGAATTGCAAACTATCGTAGCGCAGAACTCGGGAAGGTAGACAATGATTTATCTGTAAAGAGCTTCAAGACAATATTCGACGAGAAATAATAATGTTTAGTGCCTAAACTATAAACAGATAACTAGAAATGACATATTTTAGAACAATAAACATGGAAGAAACCCCGCAGAAGCCTATACTTAAACCAGAAATAAAAAGACATACGTTAAATAAGATTTTAAAATACATTATCTGGCAAAAATATTTTGATAGTAATAAATATTTTCTTTCCATTAAGTTTGTATCTTTTTTCTTAAATCAAAAAGTGAGCGTTCCCACTGGACACCCGAAATTGAAGCATAATCCTAAAAAACTTATGAAATGGCGAGTTTCAAGAAAAATTATCGGTAATTTTGAAGGACTTGTGTAATTACTTCCGAATATAATCTTTTATGAACAGATGACGGTGTTGCATAGTCAACCTACTCGACGCTATTTTTCATCTACTGACTGGACCGCGCGCTAACAAAATAATTGTTGAATGAATAACTTCAATAAGACGACCCCGAACCGCGTACCTCGATTTCCAATTCAAAGTGTTAACAGATAAAGTTCGAGTATCTTTTCATATCAGTGTCCGTATTCTGATATCAATGCGATATACGGCCTTGCCTTAGATATTATACATCAAACATCGACATTTTTTAACGCTAAGGTACACAACATTGTTGACATGCTGCCGGTGTATAAGCAGATTAACATATACGATTCGACTTAATCGTTAATTGCACCCATTCTTGTACAATCTCTCGTTGAGATAAAACGAGTTTTTTTTCATGAAGTGAATCGGTAATGTGTCGATCGAATCTTTGAAGGATTGGAGAGGTGTCAAGGTGAGGATATATTTTGCTTCTGTATTTCTGGATAATGTGCGTGTCAGAAATCTAACCAGAAGATTGATCAGCTCTACTTTTTTGAATACGAGCCCCTTCCCACTTCAGTTGGCCCACTTCAAGATTTGTACCAAAATATGTCTTTATAAACTAAACATGACGAAACTATTTACTTCTAAAACAATTTATTTTCTCAAAAACATTTTAGATACACTCTAGTCGTAAAAAATACATATTTGAAATTACTTTGACCTATAACTATTAGAACATCTGAACTAAATGCGCTAAGTTAACAAAGCAACAATTGACAGATTACCATTGGGTAACATCACCTTTATTTTTTATCACAGCTGAAATTCTTTGGGGCATAGTGTTAACCAAGTTTTGGCAAAAATTTGGTGTAAAACAATCCCATATTTCTTGAAGCTTTTGTCTCAGTTCGATGATTGTACGAGCAGGATGTTGTCGTAGAAACTTTTTCATCTCGTGCCACAAAGTTTCAATAGGTGACAGATCTGGACTGCTAGAAACTCATTTCAAAAGTGGTACATTATTTTCTTCTATCCATTTTATAGCCTTTTTTGAGGTATGGCGCGCTGCACCATCTTGCTGAAACACAAAATCTTGGCCGGATATCAAACATTCTTCCATCAATGGTAAAAGCGATTCTTCTAAAATTGCCAAATATTTGTTTGTATCCACATTTCCATCAATAAAATGAAGCTTTCCTACTCCTTTTGATGACATACTGCCCCAGACCATAATGGATGCTGGAAATTTCACTTTCCTCTTTAGACAGTCAACATGGAGTGCTTCATTTTTTTGCGAATAACTCTACTGCGACTGTCACCAACACAAACTTCGAATCAGGCCTCATCACTCCATTGTATTGCACACCATTGTTGAGGTGTCCATTGTATATGTTCTTTAGCCCATCTAAGCCGATTTTTCTTTTGCAGTGGAGTTAATAGTGGCTTTTCTTTGGCCTATAAACAAGTTGTGCAACTTTAAGGTTTTTACTTCACTTTTTTTATAAGAAAACTTACCTTGCAAGTGCTAAATCCCAGTTTGTGGGCCTCTCTATGAGTTGTGGACCTCGAAATTCTCCTTCCAACAGCGTCACTCCACACAGCACTTAATTGTAAATAATTGGCACGCCTGTTTTTCACGATTATTCTTCTTAATGCTCTTCGGTCGGCATTTGTGATATTACTTTTTTCGCATATCGTGGCTTAATATTAACTGAACCAGTTATGTTAAATCTTCTACCAATATTTCTCATACTGTACCGCGATAAGTCTAACAAAGTTGCAATTTCTTAGTTTGATTTCCCAGAATTAAAAAATTTCCTTCCTTTCCTTTTATTATTTGTGTTTGATAAGAAAAAAACTAAGATTTCAATAGTTGGGCTAACTGAAATGGGAAGGGGCTCGTAGTCACAATTTTACAGGGTGTAATTTAATTGATGGCTGAAAATACAGGATATGATTCCTCAGCTCATTTTAGGAAGAAAAGTTTATATAAACATATCTCCTATACCTCTTAACTTTTGAGCTGCAGGGTGTTAAAATTTTAAGAAAAGATTCGTTTTCTTATCTTAACTTTAATACTGTTCTAGATATTTTCATGAAATTTGACCCTTTTTTGATGTAGAATATTTTTTAATATTTCTATCAGTGGCCTATACTGGAGATTTAAAAAAAATATTTCTGAAATCCTCATTCATTTTGCAATGAATTTGACCTCTTGACTTTTTTCCGACCGATGCACCGTTGTCGCGTAAAAAAATAAAATCCATATTCATGCATTTGTGCTATAACAAAATTCTTTTGAACTAAACCGTGTTCGTAGTCCATTTACGCCCCGACACAACAAAGATGCACCTCGGCAAAGTTTCCTCTTCAGTGATGTCTCCTCCCCGAAAACGTGACAAGAACGGACATTTGAATATTCAAGCAAAAGAAATTGTCTTTAACGTTTATAAACACGAAATTTCACAACATTGTGAAAGAATATAAAAAAATTGTCTCCACCACACAAGAGGCTGCACTATACGAAGCTGTTGGATACAGTTGATAACTTTGATTGGAGTGCCATCAAACGCAAAGTCCATTCATTTTTTGAAAGGCAGTAACCTCCCACCATAGACAAAGTATTACAGCAGGTTAATCGTGATGAAGACTTACCTACTTTTAAACGGACCACATTCTATAGTTCACTCAAAGAACTTTATTTTGAGTATAGGAAATTCAAATTGAACCTGTAATAATTAATATTAACCACCCGGACCATGATTCAGGTACTTTCAGCTAATAAAGAATTGTGAAAAGTATGTGTAATTATTTCTATAAAAATGATCATTTATTCTGTTAGATTATTCCAAGACCATTGAGGAAAATACGGACCTGTACAACCTCGCTTTTGGGCTTGTTGTGTTTTGTTTGGGCGTAAATGGACTACGAATGAGGTATAGCAGGCTGGTGCCCTATTTTGTTTTTTGATTTCGTTGCGATCTTGTTTTGACAACTATTCATAAACGTGATAGTTTCTTTAATCAACAGTAAAGAGATAATAAGTAAAGTGTGCCAAGATGTACACATTCCGAGTTAGCAGATATATGCAAAATCTACATGTTCGTAACTAACCTAAAAAAACTAAATCGGAAGCAAAAAATGTTTTTGTAATTTAATAAAAAATTATTGTTTGTTCAATCCCCAGAACAGGTTGAGATATGTCCGGCTTCGACAACATAATCCTAGCCCACCATCACCATGGAGCAGGGGGCAACATAACGGACGACGAAGAAGAACAAGGCAACATCTACGTAGCAAAAGGCACTGCCATGGTCACGTTGTTCATGTGTTCCTTTTGCCTTGGCTGTCTGCCCATCAAGCTCTCTGATTGGTTCAAGTGGAAACAGCAAAGTACGGCAGCCAAGGAGAACGGATACGTCAAGGTCTTCCTTGGCTTCGGAGGGGGAGTTTTGCTGTGCACCACGTTCCTACATTTGTTGCCGGAGGTGAACGAGAGTTTTGAAGAGGTGAGTATCGACTCCAAGAAAGCTAACCTTATAGTGTACGAGAGTAAGTTGAAAAGTTCTCGACCTGACAGGATTTCCGTCGACTCCAACACACTTCTGGTTCAACTAACTCTCCAACATTGGGATTTCTTCTCGGAAATGTCTGAAAGCATAGGCATCCGCAGTAGGGTGAAATTGGGGCTATGGTTCCTCCAGGGAATCTGCATATTTAGCACGAATTTGTGTACAATAATTAATACATTAATTCGAGGATAATCTGAACCTTTTTTGTTTGACAATTTTCGATGTATCTCTCTGTATTGTTATTAGCATGGCTTACTTACCTTTCAGCAATATTTTGTGATATTTTCAAAAATGGTGATTTTATTCTGATAAATAAAAAGGAATTCCAGAAAAATTATTTAAAAAAAAATTAAAAGTTTCGTATAACATTTTTTAGAAGTATAATAGAATTGTCGATACGAGGGATTCCTAATAACCGGTATTTCATCAACTATACAGGTTGCTTATCATGAAAGATATTCTTTTTACTTGGAAAACGAGTGATGAATATCCGAGAAATCGAACAATAAAAAATAGTAACGCTTTAAAGAAACAAAACAAACAACAAGATTGGCGATATTATTGCTAGATGATAATAAAATTGTAGATAACCAATTTGCAATTGAAAGCTTTTATCACTTATCGAGTGCCATACTTCCTATTCAACTTCAGTTCTTGTTTAAATATAGTATACGTACATATTTTATATCGACTTGATCCCCGTTCTAAGGACGGAAAAATTATAATAAATAGTGCATATCATGTCAGTCAAAGTTGATGTAGAGAGTAGGTTAAAAGGAAGACAAACGTGTCGATCCTACATTTGCGTATACTTGACACGGAATAAAAACATCCAACTGCAAAAATACTCGAGTCTAATCAATGTCTTATCGTGCACGGGGCACCTACTTTAAACGTGTATCGACATTGATTGACTACAAATTAGCATCCTACATTATCAAAAGTAGGACAAATGTAAAGAAAAAAGTTGGACAAACCTATCGAAAACCTGGGATAAACCTAACGGAGTAGTGGGACCAACCTAACGAAAAAAGTATGACAAACCTAACGAAAAACAGTGGGACAAACCTAACGATAGAAAGTCAGTCAAACCTAACGAAAAAAGTAGGACAAATGTAAAGAAAAAAAGTGGGATAAACCTAACGAAAAAAGTAGGACAAACGTAAAGAAAAAAATTGGGAAAACCTAACGAATAAAAGTGGGACAAGCCTAACAAAAAAAAGAGGGACAAACCTAACCAAAAAAGGAGGACAAACCCAACAGAAAAAGTGGGACAAACAACGAAAAAAGATGAGACAAACCTAGCGAAAAAAAATCACGAGGAGATGAAGAAGTTCGTGTCAACTACTGACTGCAGGCCAGGCAAAAGACAGACACTCAAGAAAGCTGAACATCCAGAAGTGGAAGAAGCTTTGTACATGTGGTTTCTTCAGGAAAGAAATAGGCATGCACCAATTTCAGGACCCACGTTGGCCATGAAAGCTAAGTTTTTGTATAAGGAAATAACAAAAACAGATGATTTTGTGGCCACCAAATGATGGCTAGAACGTGTTAAAAGTCGTCATGGCATACGTTTAATGACTATTACAGGAGAGAAACTTTCTAACGGTGCCACCTGCATAGAGCACTTTAAATTAAGATTTTTGCAAAAGGTGAACGATTTAAATCTTGACCCGTCACAGGTGTACAATGCAGACGAATCAGGGCTTTTTTGGCGTGTGATGAGTAACAAAACTTTCGTTTCTTGTAACGAAAAATCCGTACCTGGACGAAAAGTAAGTAAAGAGCATGTAACCTTACTACCATTTACATACAAACATTGATTTACCTGTACACTATTACGGACAAAAAAGTGCATGGATGACAAAAGACCTTTTCAAAAAGTGGTTTGATAAATGCTTCGTACCTGAAGTTAGAAAATGGTTAAGAGATCATAATTTTCCTCAAAACGCGTTGTTGCTCCCGGTCATCCGTCTGAAGAAGAACTAACAACTGAGGATGAATGCATCACTACGATGTTTCTTCCGCCAAATTGCACTGCACTGATTCAACCAATGGACCAGAATATCATTCAGTTTGTCAAGCAAGACTATAAGAAAAACCTACTTCTGAGAGCCGTATCAAAAGACCAACCAATAGAAAAAACTTTAAAAGAATTTAATATGAAAGACTCGGTTTTTGCTCTTTGTCAGTCGTGGAATGCGTTACCGTCATCAACTTTTAAATCGTCTTGGAAAAAGTTATGGCCAGATATACTCACCACTCCTAGCAACGTTCCACAAATCAGTGTTACGTCGGAAGTTATAGAACAAGTCGCTACTGAAACACAGATAAGATTGGGAAATCTGGTGCCGTGGAATGGATAAAGAGGAAAATGTTTTTCATGAAATGTCTGACGAAGAGATTATAAAAGAAGTTTCTAATTATACAACAAACAATCAGGAAAATAACGACAACGTGATTGCAACTGCTCCACAAGTCACAGCACAAGTCGCAATTAACGCCTTTGAGCTAGGTTTACAGTGGGCTGATAGACTGGTATATCCTACAACGAACTTTTACTTTTGAGAAGACTGAGAGACAAAGCTCTGATCTCACGTTATAACAACCTTAAACAAAAAAAAATTGATGAATATTTCCAAGCTTCATAATTTGATAAATTCATTAATGATTTTCATTAATAATTCTTGATTATTTTGGTACATATGTATGTGCATTTATGCTTGATTTTATAATAAAACGTAAACTCTCTATTGTTATATAATTTACTAAATTCGACATACATAAACTATGTATGATTTGTACTTCAAAGTACATACATATACATAACATATATAATCTTAGCATTGGTTTTGTAATTTGTAAAAAATTCCGAACTATAGGGGGTCTTAGGCAGTGCTCTATAATCCGACAAATTCGATAGTCCGACACTGCCCTGCATAATGTTTGTCGTATTACCGGAGGTCCACTGTATTATTATCATTATGTTTTGATAGGTAGATCCAACCCCAGACATTGAGATCCACTATGCGGAGTTGCTGATGTGTACTGGTTTCTTCATAATGTACTTCATTGAAGAATGCGTTCACGTTTACCTCGCAAAGAAGGAGAAACTCACGCCGATCAGACGAAGTCTCAGCATCAGGTATTCGCGCCAAAAACCGTGAAAATACCTATACCTACTTTTGATGTTTCTCTCGATAGACGAGGCAGTATGAAATTGGACCTTACATTGATGGACTTGAATCGCAGTAGCGCTGTAAATGGCAATGGTCATCCGATTCATCACCATAGCCACCACCATCACAATCATCACCAACCGCACCATCACAGTGGGACAGCTGTAGTTGTCAGGGGCCTGCTGGTTGTTATGGCCCTTTCTATCCATGAACTGTTTGAGGGGCTGGCTGTCGGACTCGAACATTCGCCCAAAGCAGTGAGTATAATTATATAAGAATTACGTATTCTGATCTTCTAAAACGGATCGCTTTATGCGGTAACCTTGACCAGGGACGCTCAAGGTCAAAATAATTTTAACCTACAGACATACCTGAACGTTAAATTTTCCACGATATACGTTTCTGGTACCATTCAAGAAAATATCTTGACCTTGACGGGTCATGGTTAAGGCCAGTTACAAGGTCACCACACTTAAAGTCACATCTAAATATAAAATTATCGCCACTATACGTTTCCGATACCATCTAAAAATTGTATTGACCTTGACTAATCCGTTAGGGTTATCTTTATATTTTCAAAAGACGGCTCTTTCCGGTGACCTTGACCAGGACGTTCTAGGTCAAATTAATTTCAACCTAAGGTTAAATGTGAACGTAAAATTTTTCGATATACAAATTTAGGGTAACATCCAAGAAAACTGTCTTGACCTTGGCTATATCGTCAGGGTCATGGTTAAGGCCAACTTCAAGGTCACCGCTCAATAGCCAGAAGAAAATTCAAATCTTTGCAGTCTTTCTACGGTAACCTTGAATAGGTACGCTCAAGTCCAACATAATTTTAACCTAAAGCCATACCTGAACGTGAAATTTTCCACGATATACATTTCTGGTACCATCCAAGAAAACATATTGACCTTGACGGGTCTTGGTTAAGGCCAGTTACAAGGTCACCACACTTAAAATGTTCTCAGACGTGGGTTTTCACGGTATCTTGACAATGGATGGATGATTTTAACCTAAAGTCACATCTAAATATAAAATGTTCGCCACTATACGTTTCCGTTACCATCTAAAAATTGTATTGACCTTAACTAATCCGTTAGGGTTATCTTTATATTTTCATTTTCAAAAGACGGCTCTTTCCGGTGACCTTGACCAGGACGTTCTAGGTCAAATTAATTTCAACCTAAGGTTAAATGTGAACATAAAATTTTTCGATATACAAATTTAGGGTAACAACCAAGAAAACTGTCGTGACCTTGGATATATCGTCAGGGTCATGGTTAAGGTCAGCTCGAAGGTCACCACTGAATAGCCAGAAGAAAGTTAAGGCCTTATCTTCATAGAAATCTTTTCAGACAACGTCTTTTTACGGTGAGCTTGAAGAGGCGCTTACAAAGTAAAATTAAATTTAACCTAAAGTCACATCTAAACGTAAAACTTTCCGCGCTATCATTTCCGCTACCACCCAAGCGAATTGTCTTGACCTTGCTGTGACCGTCAAGGTCATGGTCAATGCGAGCTTCAAGGTCAGCATTGAATAGTCAGGGGAAAATTGAAGCTCTGCGGTCTTTGTATCCTCACTGCCTTATCTTTATAAACTCTGAAATCTTTGCAGTCTTTCTACGGTAACCTTGAACAGGGACGTTCAAGGTCAAAATAATTTTTAACCGAGAGTAAAATTTTCCTCGCGATCCATTTCCGGCATGATTCAAGAAAATTGTCTTCACCTTGATTAGCCGGCAAGGTCATGATCAAAGTTAGTTTCAAGGTAGTCAGTAAATATCCAAGCGAAAATTGAAGCCCGTAAAATATTCAGAGATATACATTTTCGGGAACATCCAAGAAAATTGTCTTGACCTTGGCTAGATCGCCAGGGCATGGTTAAGGCCAGCTTCAAGGTCATCACTGAATAGCCAGTGAATCCGCTGCTGACTGCTGAGCGGAGTTGCTCGAGGTCAAAATAATTTTATCTCAAAGTACAAAGTTAAAGCTGAACGTAAAATTTTCCGCGCTATACATTTCCGGTAGCAGAATAGAAAATTGTATTGACCTTGACCAAACCATCAGGATCATGGTTGAGGCCAGCTTCAAGGTCACCACTGAATAGCCAGAGAAAAATTAAAGATCCTATTGTATTTGGATCATTAAGGCCTAGAAATATTTCCAAACAACTTCTTTCAACGTTGGTCTTGACCAGGAATTTTCAAGGTCAAAATAATGTTAACCTACAGACATATTTGAACGTAATACTTTTCGCGGCATTTCCAGTACCCTCCAAAAAATTGTTTTGACCTTGACTAAACCATCAGGGTCATGGTTGCGGCCACCTTGAAGGTCACCACTGAATTGCCAAGGAAATTGATGTCCATACTGCCTTTGGCTCTTTAATGCCTCATTTTTATAGAAATATCTCTGAAGTCTTCTCAAACAACGTCTTTTTACGGCGACCTTGATCAGGGACGCTCAAGGTCATAATAATTTTGACCCTGACGTAAAATTTTCCGCACAATCATTCAAGTAAATTGTCTTGACCGTGATTAGCCTTCAAAATCATGGTCAAGGTCAGTTTCAGTGTCAACTAATAGAAAATTGGAGCTCCTGCTGTCTTTTGATACTTATTACTGATACTTGACCTGGACGTTCAAGGTCAAAATAATTTCAAGGGTAAACGTGAACGTAAAATATTCAGATATACATTTTCGGGAACATCCAAGAAAATTGTCTTGACCTTGGCTAGATCGCCAGGGCATGGTTAAGGCCAGCTTCAAGGTCATCACTGAATAGCCAGTGAATCCGCTGCTGACTGCTGAGCGGAGTTGCTCAAGGTCAAAATAATTTTATCTCAAAGTACAAAGTCACACCTGAACGTAAAATTTTCCGTGCTATACATTTCCGGTAGCATCCAAGCAAATTGTATTGACCTTAACCAAACCATCAGGATCATGGTTGAGGCCAGCTTCAAGGTCACCACTGAATAGCCACAGAAAAATTAAAGCTCCTATTGTATTTGGATCATTAAGGCCTAGAAATATTTCCAAACAACTTCTTTCAACGTTGGTCTTGACCAGGAGTTTTCAAGGTCAAAATAATGTTAACCTATAGTCATATTTGAACGTAATACTTTCCGCGGCATACATTTCCAGTACCCTCCAAAAAAATTGTTTTGACCTTGACTAAACCATCAGGGTTATGGTTGAAGCCACCTTGAAGGTCACCACTGAATTGCCAAGGAAATTGAAGTCCATATTGCCTTTGGCTCTTTAATGCCTCATTTTTATAGAAATATCTCTAAAGTCTTCTCAAACAACGTCTTTTTACGGCGACCTTGATCAGGCACGCTCAAGGTCATAATAATTTTGACCCTGACGTAAAATTTTCCGCACAATCATTCAAGTAAATTATCTTGACCGTGATTAGCCTTCAAAATCATGGTCAAGGTCAGTTTCAATGTCAACTAATAGAAAATTGGAGCTCCTGCTGTCTTTTGATACTTATTACTGATACTTGCCTGGACGTTCAAGGTCAAAATAATTTCAAGGTTAAACGTGAACGTAAAATATTCAGATATACATTTTCGGGAACATCCAAGAAAATTGTCTTGACCTTGGCTAGATCGCCAGGGCATGGTTAAGGCCAGCTTCAAGGTCATCACTGAATAGCCAGTGAATCCGCTGCTGACTGCTGAGCGGAGTTGCTCAAGGTCAAAATAATTTTATCTCAAAGTACAAAGTTAAAGCTGAACGTAAACTTTTCCGTGCTATACATTTCCGGTAGCATCCAAGCAAATTGTATTGATCTTAACCAAACCATCAGGATCATGGTTGAGGCCAGCTTCAAGGACACCACTGAATAGCCACAGAAAAATTGAAGCTCCTATTTTATTTGGATCATTAATGCCTAGAAATATCTCTGAAATATTTCCAAACAACGTCTTTCAACGTTGGTCTTGACCAGGAACGTTCAAGGTCAAAACAATGTTAACCTATAGTCATATTTGAACGTAATACTTTCCGCGGCATACATTTCCAGTACCCTACAAAAAAATTGTTTTGACCTTGACTAAACCACCAGGGTCATGATTGAGGCCACCTTGAAGGTCACCACTGAATTGCCAAGAGGGAATTGAAGTCCATACTGCCTTTGGCTCTTTAATGCCTCATCTTTATAGAAATATCTCTAAAATCTTCTCAGACAACGTCTTTTTACGGCGACCTTGATCAGGGACGCTCAAGGTCAAAATAGTTTTGACCCTGACGTAAAATTTTCCGCGCAATCATTCAAGTAAATTGTCTTGACCTTGATTAGCCGTCAAAATCATGGTCAAGGTCAGTTTCAATGTCGCCATTGACTAGCCAATGGAAATTAAGTCCCTACTATCTTAATATTCAGAAAGATCGCTGGTATCGTTTCAAACGACTTTTTTCAGTGACCTTGACCAAGGACGTTCAAGGTCGAAATGATTCCACGCAAGCTCATACGTTAACGTGAAATTCTAAATTGTTAATTGACTCAATCTTTTTTTCATCAACAGGTATGGTACATGTTCGGTGCCATTTCAATCCACAAATTCGTGATAGCGTTTTGCATCGGGATGGAGCTGGTGACGTCAGGACTAAGGAGGCTCATCGTGGCCGTCTACGTCTTCACGTTCGCAGTAGTCAGCCCTATAGGGATAGGTTTAGGCATCATAGTTACTTACTTAGAGAGCAACTCGTTCACGATAATGTCGGTGGTACTGCAAGGTTTGGCGTCGGGTACTTTGTTGTACATTGTGTTTTTCGAAATATTACAGGCGGATAAGAAGTCCGGGTTGAAGCAGTATTTTTCCGTTCTCGTAGGGTTTGGCATTATGTTTGCGATAACATTGTTGGGATGATAGAGTAATGGACCAAGAGGTAAGGAGATTTTTAATGAGAAAATCCTACAAGTTTGCGACACGAACTTGAAAATTTGCAGACGATCGATGACAATACAATAATTTCAGAAAAAAAATCAAATATGAAAATAAAAAGAATTTTGAAATTTTGTAAAAAATTTTGAAGATTTGGATAAAAAATGTTTTATATTTCGAAATTTGAAACAATATACCAAAAATAAAAACCAAGATCTTGATTGCTTGTTTTTAGACTGAGAATTCAGGAAACAAAATATAATTTAAAAAAAATAAAAAAAAAACGCTTTAATAGCTCATCAACCTAAAAAATAGAAAATAATTTTCAAGTACGTATATATGAGTGTACGCAATAAAAAATCAAAAACAATTATGCCTAATTAATATAGAATAAGATCAATATAAAAATTGGAACATTAACAAAAAATTCAATCATACTAAAAAGCGTGGGTGCAATTATTAATTTTTGAAAAAAAATGTTTTAATCATTAAATTTTGAATAAAATGGATTTGAAAATTGGAAATTCGTAAAATAATTCGATATGAATATTTTGAATAAAATTTAGAAATTTAAAAAATGTTGAAAATTTCTGAATTTGAAAAATTATACCAAAAATCGAAGCTCTTGATTTTAAGTACTAAAAATTCAGAAAATATATTATAGTTAAAAAAACTAAAAAACACGCTTTAATAGCAAATCTAACTAAAAAGTAGAAAATATTTTCAATTTACTGCAATAGAAAGTCAAAAAAGCAAATATGCATAATTAATTTGGAAGAACAATAAAAAACTAAAATATCAACAAAAAATTAATCATATTAAAGCGTGGTTGCAATTAATAAATATATTTTCATAAAAACACAAGACAATACCACAATCTTAGAAAGAAATCTGAATTTGAAAATTGGAAAATTCGGAAATTTGAAGATATGGATATTTTGAAAAAAAAGTTGAAACTTTTGAAAAATGTTGAAAATTTCTGAATTTGAAAAATAAAACAGAAATCGATTATAAGTATTTTTGTTGTCGTTATGTGACTAAAAATTTAGAAAATTAAATGTAGTTTGAAAAAACTAAAAAACACGTTTTAATAGCAAATCTAACTAAAAAGTAGAAAATGATTTTCAATTATAGGAGATTATAATTTACTGCAATAGGAAGTCAAAAAATCAAGTGAGCATAATTAATCTGGAATAAGGTCAATATGTATAAAAAAATATATTAACAAAAAATTAAATTCTTGTAAAAAAGCGTGAAATTAGCAACTAAACTTTCATAAAAACTTGAATTTTACAACTAAACGAAAAATATAACATTTAATATCAAGCATCACACGAATTTTTATTATAATTGAATTTCTTGTTACTATCTCAATTTTTATATTATTTACAATAATTTATTTGAACGTTTATTTCATATTTTAAAAAAGTACCTCTAAGGCCCGGTTTCACTATTGACTCGTGGATCAATAGTAAAATCGGGCATAAGAGAATCACCCGTTACTTATCTTATTAATTTCGAATAGTCGAATGGAAGTTTATGATGAAACTTCCACATTCCGAGCTTTGAACCCTGAAGAATTTCGAGCAATTAAAAAAAATTAAGTTTAGAAACGCTTTTCTTTTTTTATATGCCATTAAAAACTTATTTTGTACCATTTCAACATTGACCCATTCTCACCGAAAAACCCGTATTTGCCATTACATATTGTTTTTATTGTATTCTTAGAATGTTTATTTGTACGTTATTTTATTCAATGTCGTGATGCTCGTCACTACTTGTATTTAATGTGTATTTTTATATTAAAAATGTTTCACAGTATAATAAATATTTATTTAGTCTTGCTACAGAATATTTTACGATTGGAAATGCAACAAGACATGTCCGGTCCTTCAATTCTTAACGTCCTTGTCGTAGAACTTTCACCAGATTCATCTTTTTGGACACAACTTTCAATAACACCACCGTCACTCACCACTTTACGCTTTGAAAAATTTGACGGTTCAGCATTAGAAACAACAGCTGGTTGGACATTTTTTAAGTACTCGAACGGAACGTTTTTCCCTGTCGTGCTTATATTGATTTTGTAAACGTCGTTTTCTGATTTTGACTCTCCTGCGATATCAGAATCTTTATCAAAATTCTCACTCCTATAAGTCTCTGAAGAGAATTTGTCCTTTCTGTGGCTTTCACATTTCTTACAATACCGAATATGCATCTTAGCAACAGTATCTTTCTCTAAAGGTTTTCCGATGCAAAATTGGCAACACTCGCACTTGACACAATTGCAACAATTGTGATCTCTGTGAAATTTCTGAGCCATGTGAGTATTTTCAGACCCAGAAACTTTTGTAGGTTGAGTCTTTGGATTTTCCACATCATCTTCATCTACAGTTTCAGTACTGGTCGATTCGAAAATCTGTTTCAAATTCGACGACCCTTTTCTCAATGTCGCAGAACTTGGTCTCCGATCTTCATCCCTCACGTTCATGATGTCAGATCGCGCAGCTTGTCCACTTGACGGCTGAAGTGTGTTAGTACTAGCTGACATATACTGAGACTCGCGAGGTTGAGCTGTAGCCGTAGCCGAATTAAAAATCTGTTTTAAAATAGAAGGTCTTTTCTTCAGATTAGTCGGACTTTTTATCAAGGATTCCTTAGATTTTCTAATATCTGTTCTACCGCCTTGTTTGCTGGTGATTTGGAGGGTTTGAGTGCTAGGAGGAGCACTTTGAAACTCTTCCACCTGTACAAAATCTGAGATCAGAATGCTTGATCTATCTCTTGGGTGCGTTTGGTCAGTTTGAGGCGTCACAATTTGTGGATGTTTTACGTTTCTTTGAGAGGATAAAGTTCTTGTTGTTTTAGGAAGTTGGTGTTCGTCAGCTAATTCTGCAGCTAAGGACTCTCGGGTAAGGATACTTTGGGTAGGTTGGGGTATATTGGCAAGATTTCTGAAATAAATTGAGAATGTTTCAATGTATATATTTGCACACTTCGGTAAAAAAGGCTACGTCAAAAGGTAAAATCATTGATTAACAAATTCTCCAAGAAGCCCAACCGTATGCTATATTTGGACGTCAACATGCAATGCTCATCTTTACTATATATTATACATATGTGTATTTAGCTGATCGCCAGCCAACAAACAACGAAATCCATCAATAACACACCAAAAACAGATTAATTTCCGTTTAAAGAAAACTAATAAGAACTGCACAATGAGTTCGCATCCTCAGAATTTCTCAATAACGAAAAACAAAACTTGACAGGTGGCGCCTAAAGACGGTGGTCAACACGTACATATATAGTTGTAAGCATGCTTATTTTCTCACAGGCATTTGGGCATCTCATGGTGGAATATGTTAATCAATATTAAAATCAATAAAAAAATCAGTCACACATTCAAATTTGATTATAGAGATGGATATCTCTTATTGTCTTCTTCTCTGGACCTAAAAAAGCGCTCATTTGCAATTTCTCTACGCAGCTGCTTGTTTTGTTGGCTATATTCTAACGCCTTTTCCTGATACAAGTCTAACTGTTCGGAAGTAATGTTTCTAAAAGAAAAAAAAATCTTTGAAATGCGATATTCGTAGGTAGGTTTATTCATTTTTTATATTACAAAAGTACTGGCATTTTTAATTGAGTACAAATCCTGATCTGACGCTAAAAAGAATGACCCTGCCACAAGTATCACACATTGATACTAGCATCCCATTTTTACAGCTTAGATAGGCAAGAGTAGAAAAAAAATCGAATTTGAAAATTTATAAAAAATTTGAATTTTGAGAAAAATTGGATTTGAAAATTCGAAAAATGCGGAAATTTGAAAGAGGATTGAAGATTTGGATATTATGAAAAAAATGTAATTTTTGAAAAAATCGAAATATTTGAAAAAAATTAAATGTTTTAAAAAAATTTAAATACATATCTGAAAAACACTGACATTTTTAAAAATAATTTTAAATTCTAAATTTGAAAAAATGTACCAAAAATCGAAGCTCTTGATTATAAGTACTTTAGTTGTTTGAAAAAAGATCGTAATTTTTGAAAAAATTGAAAATTTGAAAAATAATTGGAAATTTCGAAATTTGAAAAATATACAAAAAATCAAAGCTCTTGATCATAAGTACTTTAGTTGTTTGAAAAGAGATTGCAGATTTGTAAATTTTTGAAAAAAATGAAATTTTTGAAAAAAATTTGAAATTTTTGAAAAAATCGCAATTTTTGAAAGAATTTGAAATTTTTGAAAAAATAGCAATTTTTAAAAAAACAAATTTTTTAAAATTGAAAATTTAGAAATTTGAAAATATCTACCAAAAATCGAAGCTCTTGATCATAAGTACTTTAGCTGTTTGAAAGAGATTGAAGATCTGTAAATTTAAAAAATAATGAAATTTTTGAAAATAATTGGAAATTTCGAAATTTGAAAAAATATACCAAAAATCGAAGCTCTTGATTATAAGCACTTCAATTATTTGAAAAAATAAAGATTTGTAAGTTTTTGAAAAAATCGTAATTTTTGAAAATAATTTGAAATTTCGAAATTTGAAAAAATATACCAAAAATCGAAGCTCTTGATCATAAGTACTTTAGTTGCTTGAGAAGAGATTGAGGATTTGTAAATTTTTGAAAAAAAATGAAATCTTTAAAAGAATTTGAATTTTTTTAAAAAATCGCGATTTTTAAAAAAACTGAAATTTTTGAAAATAATTAGAAATTTCGAAATTTGAAAATATCTACCAAAAATCGAAGCTCTTGATCATAAGTCCTTTAGTTGTTTGAAAAGAGATTGAAGATCTGTAAATTTAAAAAATAATGAAGTTTTTGAAAATAATTGGAAATTTCGAAATTTGAAAAAATATAACCAAAAATCGAAGCTCTTGATTATAAGCACTTCAATTGTTTGAAAAAATAAAGATTTGTAAGTTTTTGAAAAAAATCGTAATTTTTGAAAATAATTAGAAATTTCGAAATTTGAAAAAAATTACCAAAAATCGAAGCTCTTGATCATAAGTACTTTAGTTGCTTGAGAAGAGATTGAGGATTTGTAAATTTTTGAAAAAAAAAATGAAATCTTTAAAAGAATTTGAAATTTTTGAAAAAATCGCAATTTTTAAAAAACTGAAATTTTTGAAAATAATTAGAAATTTCGAAATTTGAAAATATCTACCAAAAATCGAAGCTCTTGATCATAAGTACTTTAGTTGTTTGAAAAGAGACTGAAGTCTGTAAATTTAAAAAATAATGAAGTTTTTGAAAATAATTGGAAATTTCGAAATTTGAAAAAATATACCAAAAATCGAAGCTCTTGATTATAAGCACTTTAATTGTTTGAAAAAAGAAAGATTTGTAAGTTTTTGAAAAAAATCGTAATTTACGAAAATTTGAAAAAATATACCAAAAATCGAAGCTCTTGATCATAAGTACTTTAGTTGTTTGAGAAGAGATTGTAGATTTGTAAATTTTTGAAAAAAAATGAAATCTAAAAATTTGAAATTTTTGAAAAAATCGCAATTTTTAAAAAAACTGAAATTTTTTAAAATATTTGAAAATTTTGAAATTTGAAAATATCTACCAAAAATCGAAGCTCTTGATCATAAGTACTTTAGTTGTTTGAAAAGAGACTGAAGTCTGTAAATTTAAAAAATAATGAAGTTTTTGAAAATATGTAATTGGAAATTTCGAAATTTGAAAAAATATACCAAAAATCGAAGCTCTTGATTATAAGCACTTTAATTGTTTGAAAAAAGAAAGATTTGTAAGTTTTTGAAAAAAATCGAAATTTTTGAAAATAATACCTATGAAAGAAAGTCAATAAATCAAGTATGCATAATTAATTTGCAATAAGATCAATATAAAAATTAAGATACGAGGGTTGTCTCAAAAATATGGCTCCCACATTTTTTTCAGGCACAGGGAATTTTTTATTTGAAAAAACGAATGGATCATTGAAAACGCTATTTTTCTACATAGTCGCGATGGACGGAATCCACTTTTTCACTCCAGCCTTGGTAACTGCCTTTTGCAACTCATCATCTGTCTCGTCTGAACTGGTTTTTTGCCGCACCAAATTAGAATTAAAAATGCTAAGAGCTCGTTTTTCGATGTATGCTTTAGTAACTATAAATTGTAAGCTGTGACGTAAAATATTTTAGGGATTGTAGTTTAACTATAACTTTCTAGTCGACTTGTAGATGGTCTTCTGGTTAAAGTTGACTAGCGTTTTAGGACAAATCTGACGTCGTAAAAACGCATGTGAGCCTGAAAAGTCATCAAAAAACTCAAACGATCACTTACAGCCTCTCTTGCACTTCTTCTAGCCTCGTTTTCATCCGAGTCAGTTCACTTTGGAGATCTTGATTGATCAGTTTCTGTTCAATCACCTCTTGTCTGGCGTCGTTCAGGAGTTTTTCCAAACCTTCGACGTTGTTTCTGTCTTTCGCAACAGATCTTTTCAAATCGTCGTTTTCTCTGGATAACATCTCAATATTGCGCTGAGTCTAGAAATATCCGTTTGTATTAAACACTTTTGAAGATCATTTAGCATTAACTTAGGAATTATATTGACTGATATTTAGCACTTCACTGAAAAATAATTAAAATACAATAATTGAAGAGCAAGGGGGAAGTAGTAAGACTTTTTTTAATCTTCGTTTCACATTCTACGCACTAGATTTGCGAAGGTAATCTTTTACCTAAAAAAGCTTAAAATATGAGATTTGTAGTAGGGAAATATTTCCATTTTCGACAGGCGTTGTTACAGATAAATAGAACTTCGTACTCTTTTCTTGGGCGCTGAATTCCAATATGATCGTTAAAAGATTGTGAAGATTTGCGGGGACAACTTTAAAGTGAGATAATGACTCGCTTGACGAGACTAACTAGACAGTTTTATCATCAATCTCACCATTCCAGTGCGATCCTCTCTATTCTGAAATTCTCTTCTTAACTCGTCTTTTTCACGATCTAATTGAACGCACAAATCTTTCATTTGTCTCAACTCATCCTCCATTTTTTCGTATTGCGCGTTTCTCTGTTTTAACTGAATTTCTAACGTAGCCACCTGACTCGACAAATCAGCAATCTAAAAAGTTATTCAACATTGACTTCCAAATTCACGTAAATGTTTATTGATTCTCTTCAAAGGTCATTATAGACTCAGGAAAGCATCAAAAATAGCAAATTCTCAAAACAATGAGCCCTTCATACACTCAGGTTCAAAATAAATGCAGCAAGCAAAATTGTGGCAAAACAGTGGCGAATAAAATGAATATATTTTGACTTAATTTAAGAACACCAACAATTTTGCTTCTTCTTTTCATATCTTTTTTTTTAATTCCCCTACGAAGTCAAAAAGTTTTTGATCAATTTGTACAGAAATCTATTCCCTTTCTGTGGTAGATTTACAATTTTTTATATCTTGATTGCCTTCGTTTATCTACAGTGGCGAAGAAAATGAAAACGTTTGACTTAATTTAGGAACACCACCAATTTTGCTTCTTCTTTTCATATCTTTTTTTAATTCCCCTACTAAGTCAAACAGTTTTTCATCAATTTATAAAGAAATCTATTGCCTTTCTGTGCTAGGTTCACAATTTTTTATATCGTCATCGCCTCCGTTTATTTACAGTGACGAAGAAAATGAATATCTTTTGACTTAATATAGGAACAGCACCAATTTTGCTTCTTTTTTTCATAACGTTTTTAATTCCCCTACGAAGTCAAAAAGTTTTTGATCAATTTGTACAGAAATCTATTCCCTTTCTGTGGTAGATTTACAATTTTTTATATCTTGATTGCCTCCGTTTATCTACAGTGGCGAAGAAAATGAAAACGTTTGACTTAATTTAGGAACACCACCAATTTTGCTTCTTCTTTTCATATCTTTTTTTAATTCCCCTACTAAGTCAGTTTTTCATCAATTTATAAAGAAATCTATTGCCTTTCTGTGCTAGGTTCATAATTTTTTATATAGTCATTGCTTCCGTTTATCTACAGTGGCGAAGAGAATGAAAACTTTTGACTTAATTTAAAAAAACACCAATTTTGCTGCTTCTGTTCATAACTTTTTTAATTCCCGTACGAAGTCAAAAAGTTTTTCACCAATTTGTACAGAAATCCATTGCCTTCATGTGCTAGGTTCACAATTTTTTATATCGTCATTGCTTTCGTTTATCTACAGTGGCGAAGAAAATGAAAACTTTTGACTTAATTTAACAACAAGCTGTATAATAATTTCACGCTCTACCGTTTTGAAATACGGTGTCAGGGCAATAACCATATCTTCATCCTCCTCTAATTTTGGGTACATGAAAATTCGACCGAGTATTGTTCTTTTGGAGCAGAATGAACACAACAAAGTTTTCATTTTCTTCGCCACTGTTGATAAACGGAAGAAATAACGATATAAAACAATGTGAACACACAGGCGATATATTTCTGTACAATTTGGTGCAAAACTTTTTGACTTCGAACGGGAATTAAAAAGGTTATGAAAGGAGGAAGGAAAATTGGCGGTCTCTAAAACGTCAACTACTATACAGGGTGTCCCAGAAGTCGACGTCAAGCCGAAACCGGGTGATAGGCAAAGTCATAACAGCTATCATAAAAATATTTAAAAAAATTTTATGTATGTGTTTTGAAAATTATAGGTCTTTGAAAAAAATATAGAAATTTCACACCCTACGGCAGTCTGTCAACTCCTGTTACTACAAATATTAACTTTTTTGGATTTTATTTTTACAATGTAATGATGAATAATGCATCTTCAAACTGGTGTCTCAAGCTTACTGCCAACTTTTCTCGTTCAGGAAAAATTGCCACTTATTTCCCAACCAAGTATTCCAAAGTAAAACTTTGCTCAACTTTAACTGGCTGTACTGGAAAAAAATGTACTACGAGAGTTTGGCGAGTAACCTTAAAAGTTGGCGTATTTAATAACGATTCCAAAATGGTACAACACTTAGAAGATTACTCGTTAACTTATGCACAATTTTTATTTGAAAAAAAAACTGATGAAATTTTCTCAAAATTTCCTAATTAAACAGCGATTATGAAAACGCACAAGGACCCTTAAGGATAACTGTTTGCACAACAGTGGGCGTCAAAATGCTGCTGATGATGATCCATACCACATACAGCATGTTCAACCTCTCCTGCCCCGGGATTATGAGCCCCGAGTTGCTTTTTGTCGCACAATGTTAGAAAGACACAGGAAAGATCCACAGTTCTTTGAAAAAAATTTATGGTCGGATGAGACCACATTTAAGAAAGATGGGTACATGAACCTGCACAACTTACACGAGTGGCACGTAGCAAACCCACATTTGATGAGAGAAAATAAATCTCAATATCGCTTCAAGATAAACCATTGGACAGGAATTTTAAATGGTAAAATAATCGGTCCGTTTGAGTTCCCAGAGACTTTGACTGCTGAAGTTTATTTGGATTTTTGAAAAATCATGTACAAAATTTATTGGTGGTCAAAACTTTCCAGGCAGATGGATAAGGCGGTCTGGTACAATACCGTGGCCAGCCCGATCACCTGATTTGAATCCTTTAGATTTTTTTACTGGGGCACTGTAAAAGAAAAAGTGTATTTCAAGCCGATTCAAAATGTAGCTGAGCTACGGCAAAGACTATTGGAAGCAGCTGAGTTTGTTAATAACCGTGGATTCGCTCGTTTAATAACCCGATCTTTTTTAAGAAGATGTCGAGCGTGTATTGCGACTGAAGGAAAACAGTTTGAGCATTTGCTGTAAAGGTAAATCATCATCAGCAGCATTTTGACGCCCACTGTTGTGCAAACAGTTATCCTTAAGGGTCCTTGTGCGTTTTCATAATCGCTGTTTAATTAGGAAATTTTGAAAAATTTTCATCAGTTTTTTTTCAAATAAAAATTGTGCATAAGTTAACGAGTAATCTTCTAAGTCTCATACCATTTTGGAATCGTTATTAAATGCGCCAACTTTTAAGGTTACTTGCCAAACTCTCGTAGTACATTTTTTTCCAGTACAGCCAGTTAAAGTTGAGCAAAGTTTTACTTTGGAATACTTGGTTGGGAAATAAGTGGCAATTTTTCCTGAACGAGAAAAGTTGGCAGTAAGGTTGAGACACCAGTTTGAAGATGCATTATTCATCATTACATTGTAAAAATAAAATCCAAAAAAGTTAATATTTGTAGTAACAGGAGTTGACAGACTGCCGTAGGGTGTGAAATTTCTATATCTTTTTCAAAGACCTATAATTTTCAAAACACATACATAAAATTTTTTTAAATATTTTTCTGATAGCTGTTATGACTTTGCTATCACCCGGTTTCGGCTTGACGTCGACTTCTGGGACACCCTGTATATATTTATATATAGACGTGAATAAAAAACAGATTATAGAGAACATGTGTTTCTTGATAATGGAATGCATTGCAGTCTAATTGGCAACTGTATTCACACCACAGAGTGATTCAAAGTTGAGCTAATGAAACATCATTTCGATTTAACCTGTAAAACAAGTCAAACCGTGGCAACAACCAAATTACACAATAAAGCCAATGAGTGTACCTTCCACCTGCTGAAAACATCAATAAAATCGTGGTAAAAGTAAAAAAGTTATGACGTTCCGAATTTTCACCAGCATTGCTCGTTGCGTTCATTTTGAATCTGAGTGTAATTTTTTTTACTATGCACGGACCAGAAATTTGAAAAAGCGGATTTCGTGAAAAAAAGTAAGTAGATATTTTTTTTACTTTTGAGCTTACTTGCTTCTCGTAGCTACGAATGATAGCATCTTTATTTTCGAGCTTCCTCTCCAAATCCGACGCATGGTCCAAAGCTACAGACAGTTGAACTTTGGACTGCGCAGCCTCGTTTTCAAGAGTGTGGTTTGTTGTTTCTAAACTGACCGCTTCCGCTGATAGGCTCTTGAATTGGTCCAAAATTTCGGCGCGTTCCAGCTCCTGCAACAAAAATAATCGCCGAAAATAACATAAAATGGCAGACTAAAAAAAACATCCATATTCAGTCAGTTTCTAGCACGTCTTTACCTTCTGCGAAATCTGATCCTCGAATCTTTTCACCTCGGCGACGTAATGTTGCAGTTGTCTTTTCACATCCTCGATTTGTCTTTTGGATATTTCCAATTCTCGCCTAGCATCTTTACAATCCGCTGCAACGCTAGCTAGGTCATCTTGTAAACGCCTACAAAGAATTTTTTTGTCGATAGTACGTAATAATTCTGAAGCACTGATCATACCTATTTTCTTGCAAAGCCGCATCTCTAGTGCGAACCACGCTGTCATAGTCTTTTTGCAAAGCATTTAGTTCTTGTTTCGCACCTTTTAGCTCAAGCTGACATCCATCATTTTCTTCTGAGAATTTACTGAAACATTCTCTTTGTTAGGCCAAGTATAGGTACATGATTTTTTTCACGCAAAATGCACAAACTGCGGTAGGAAAATTGCATAATAGCTTGTGGCTCAGTTTTTTTTCGTGCGAATTTTATCTACATTTTTGGTGCAACTCTGTACGAGGTTTGTCCAGAAGATACGTATAATAACTTTATTTTAAAATTGTTCAGGTATTTCAATATGGTCTCCTTCAAAGCAGGGGTGGCTGGCCCATAAGTTCTGCAGAGCTGCAGAACTGCCAATACTTTTGTCTTAAGAGAAAAAAACAGTAGTATTGTATATTCAGATAAGAGATAGACCGGATGTAAACAAAAGGTTCGGGTGATTTTCACGCTAACGCCGCCGTCTCGACGTAAAACAGGAGCCCTCATTGGTCAATTCGCAATTAAATGCCTATGCCGAGCGGCAGAGCAGTCGTATCAAGGCAGAGTCACATTCAGGTTCAGACGTGTTACGTATGTCGTGTTTGATATTTCTTTGGACGTTTTCGTTTGTTATCTTATTAAGTTGTTGAGTTTGTCGTTGTTATTGTTATACCTTGTTATTGATTGTTATTGTTATCAACTGCTTGCGCAAAATGCCCAGTAGTACAGATACTGCCGATGAAGTTGTAAACTCCTGTAGTCCACCTAGGAAACGCTCTAAAAAAAGACACCTGAATGCAGAAATGAAAGAGGTCATTTTGAATATATATAAGATCGAGCGCGAGGAGAACGAGGCATCAACCATCAAAGAAATTGTTGTGAAGGTTTCTCACAAAGTTGGGGTGTGTCGCGCATCAGTGTTTAATGTGTTAAGACAATACACAAAAAATCACACCTTTTCTGAGCCAATGACCAGTAAACATCGCAAAAGTATTGTTAAATCATTGGATGAAGCTGATAAGCATGCGATTAGGAGGAAAGTGCATGAATTCTTCTTTAGGAATGAAATACCTACTATAGATAAAGTACTGCAGGAGGTAAATGGAGATACAACGTTGCCAAATTTCAAACGATCAACTTTCCATGCGTTACTGAAGCATTTAAATTTCAAATGGAAAAAACGGGGTCGTAATAGTTTACTACTGGATAGAGAAGAAATTGTGCTATGGAGGAGGGATTATTTAACAAAAATTGGGAAATATAGAAATCAAAACAGGAAGATTTATTACCTTGATGAAACGTAGGTAAACGCAGGACAGACTACAAGTAAAGTATGGGTTGATGATTCTGTAACTTCATCCAGGAGGGCCTTTCTAGATGAACTGTCCACCGGATTAAAAAATCCAGCAGGTAAATACGAGTAATAGACAACAATCGGATGTTTTTCAAACCTTGGGAACAAGGTTCTAAACATTAATTCCAGGGGGCAGATAAAACATATTACAAGTAACAAAACTTTTATAACTTTCGATAAAATGCGTGGATGTTTTATTGTCATTTTCATTTGTTAGAACTTTTTTAAGCCATGTTTTTATGTGTTTTCGATATTTCAATAATTTTTTAATATAATCTTAAAATATGTCGAATATTATAAACTTAAAAAAAGTTACTAAGTTTTATATTGTGTACCGTTCCTAATATTTCTAATCATTTTAATTCATACTTTAAGCTTTATAAAGTTATAATTTGTTAATATTAATATTTGCGCGTATTTCAGGTTCCTGATCATTCATTTTTTAAAGGTTTATAACTTTAAATTGAATTGTGAAGCGCTGAGTAATCATACGACGTTCAATATTCTTTCTTTCAATACGACTAAATAATCCCAATTATAGCAATCTGATACTCATGTCTCAATATTTTTTCGCTGAATGTGATGAAAACATTTGAAAAAGGTTCGCTTATTGAAATAAATCTACACCAGTTAGTACTTCGATTTCCAGGTAAAGGGAAAAGGCTCATTATCTGCCATATTGGCAGTGAGGATGGATTTGTTGTTGACGGTCTGTGGTGCTTTGAGTCTAAGAAAACTGGAGATTACCACGAGGAAATGAATGGCGAATCGTTTGAACAGTGGTTTTCAAAAATTTTACCGAACTTAGAGGAAAACGCAGTAATTGTGTTGGATAATGCGCCTTATCATTCTCGAAGAATGGAGAAGGTCCCAACAACGGCTTCAAGGAAAGTTGATGTTCAAAATTGGCTCCGCTCGAAAAATATCAACTTTGAAGAAGCAATGCTGAAAGTACAATTATAAAGAATTGTCAAGGATCACAAGGCGGAATATCAAAAATACGCCATTGACGAAATGGCAGCAAGTCAAAATAAAACTGTGCTCCGTTTACCTCCATACCATTGCGAGCTCAATCCCATTGAGCTCATATGGGCAGAGGTTAAAAATTATATAGCTAAGCACAATACAACTTTTAAATTTTGTGACCTCAAAGGACTTTTCAAAGAAGCACTAGAATTAATAACAGCGCAAAAATGGGAAAACTGTATTAAGCACGTGAAAGTCAAAGTTGAAAAGAGATTGTGGGAACTGGACAATATTTTAGAGGAACAAGTCGAGCCATTCATTATTGACGTTGGTGCTTCAGGCAGTAGCGATGATGAAAGCTCATCAAGCTCATCTTTCCAATAAAAGATGTCGTTCATCAAATTCGGTAAGTTATAAGTAATTATAAAGCTACTGTATTTTTTAATTAATTATTGACATTTTTGAACCCATTTTGGCAAAACCTATTCAAGAATCTACTTTCTGACAATGTTCAACCATGCACATTTTTTTACGTTTTGAACGTTTTAATTTGGTTACATACATATTTACCTAGAAATCAAAAAATATACTAATCAATATTCTAAAAGCAATTTTAAGAGATATACGATTATTTTTAATTTAGGCTAATTTAAACGCCATTTTGAGATTATATTCGACTGTATTTCACCAAACATCAGGCGGCATCCGAAGCTGGAAATCGAAGCGAAAATTTTGAAACCCTTATGTATATTTACATCATTATATATTTCTTACCCCACCCCCACATGATCCTATATCCATCACCAATCGTATACACATCGAATTGTGCTAATTTACTACAAAGTTACGCAAAGCAGCATCTACTATCTAAAATATGTACTGCGTGACTCTTAATACGTCCCTGCCGAATGTTACAGCGTTCGATGATCACATGGTCTTGTTTATGTCCGGTCTATCTCTTATCTGAATATACTTTAATTTGATCATGTTGGACAAGTTGGAAACTACCTGCTTGGCTTATCCCGAATTAGAAAAAAATCGTTTAAAGACAGAGTGGTCTGTTTTTTATGCACAGAATGATTGCCGAGATTTACATGGAACTCTGTCTCTTTCGAATCAAGACATTTCTTCGAAATACTATGACCCAGGATCGCCTTACAGCGTTGTCGATGCTGTCCACTAAAAAGGAATTTATTTCGACCATGGAAAATTTCAACGGGAAAGCGATCGACAAATGTGCTGCCAAGAAGGAGCGCAGGATCTAACTGACTAAAAAATAGGTAAGTTCGGATTTGCAGTACACCTCTTTTATTTTCCCACGAGCAACCACTGCTTCAAAGTACTCCCTCCAAGACAAGATGCACTTCTGCCAACGCCATTTCCACTGTTGATACGATCGCTGAAAGTCTTCAATTGCGAGGCTGTGCATTTGCCGTGTCGTTTCGTTGGGAACAGGAAGAAGTCGCAAGTGGCCAAGTCGGGTGAATAAGGCGGTGATTGAGCTTCGGGTCAAAAATTCACGACCATTCTTGCCTTGCTTTGCAAGAAACTTGACGTTGATGCTCTGTCCCTCGATCAGACGACGGCAGGTAAAAATAGGGTTACTTTCAACAAGCACACCGCTCGAACTGAGGGAACTGAGGAGATTGCATACAGAGGGGGAACCACCGGGCCCCGTATCTTTTACACGTATTTTCCTGACAAACCTCGTATATTACGCATATTACAAGCAACAAGAAACATATACTAACCGTGAGTTCCAAAGAAAATTGGAAGAAGCTTAGAAAAAAAGTGGTGTTAGAAAAACGAATTTGAAAGCTGATGTGCAAACTTGAAATCGATACACAATATAAATGCATACCTTAATTTTCGTTTCAAATCCTTCATCTCACTTTCCAACGTGCTAATCACATTTTTCTTTTCTCTCAGCTGTTCCTCGAGACTGTCAATTTTTTCAGTCTTCTCGTCCAGAACGTTCTGAATGAAGTTAAAAATGAAAAAAAAGAATAATAATAATAATACAAATAATATCCCCAAATTTTAACAGAATGGAGTAAATATTTTTTAAATTAATCACCCTGTATCTTTAAAACTCTGCATTTCCGGTCCCATGTATATAGGAACTGTTTTTCATATTTTATAACAAGGAACCACTCTCTTCTAAAATATCTCCGTCTACTTTTCGAACACCCTGTATACTCCACTGCGTTATTCAACGATTGTTTTGGGTATCTTGTGCTGGAATATGTTGATCAAAGCCAGTGCACACACCGGATTCTTACCAATAAATCGTCTTTTTCTTTATCCAATTTTGTCAAGTGTTTCTTCATAACCTCAATGTCATTTTGTAAACGAGTGACTTCCCTCTCCTGCCCAGCAGTCTCTCTGTGGCTGTTGCTGATTTTCGACTGTATTGCTTGTAGCTCTCTTTCAGTACCGGCTAACTGGTTTCTAGATTCTGAGAGAGCAAAGTTTGCTTGCTCATGAAGATTCCTGAAAAAAAAAAAACAGAAAAAAGCACTTCCAAATCATATTCGCCAGGAGCGAAGTGCATAGTGGGAATAACTTATAATTCCTTATTTACAAAGGGTACAAAAGTCTTGTCTATTGATTTAGTTGTTGATTCGTATTGACCGTGTAAAGTGCGGGCTATGGCATAGTGGACACGTAGTGAGATAAGGGCAGTTTTACGGTATAACAAGCAGAAATACGTATTGCTCGGGTGATCTACTTTCTACTGGATCCGCTTTCCTTCTTTTTGCAGATTTTCTTCATTATTTTTCTATTTGTTATATATTACTATATATAGTTAGAAAGACGATAAAAGCAAAGAGGAGGAAGCGTGTCTGTTTGAACTGGAATATTTTCCGTAATAAACTTACTTTAATTGGTCGTAGCTTGCCTTCTGACTATTCAGTTCGTTCTGTGTAGCTCTGAGTTTATCCCTCAATGTGTTACATTCCTCCTCGAGATGAGTCAAGTTGGTCCTACTGGTTAGTTGATTCACGACCAAATCCCTTCTTTCATCCTCCAGCTTGCGAATGTGTTCTTCCATATCTTGAAAAGCCTTTTTCATCCGTTCTTGGTCGAAAATCGTAGATTGATTCAGCTCCTGAAAATACGAAACGTAAAGCACCACACCACACCACCTTGCGCAAATCACACTTCCGTTAAGTTGGTCGAATTTATGATGTGTTTCAAATCTTCGTAGTTTAAATGTACCTTAGAGTAGTTCAAGTGTAACATGCATTAGTTCAAATACATGTAGCGGTTCAAATGAGGCGTATAGTAGCTCAAATGTCACATTTTAGGTCAAATATAACAGAGTTGTATACCTAACAACACTGAAACATGAAAAGTATTGAAAACAAACCTACTTTTTAATAAAATCCAAATGTAACATGCAGTAGTTCAAATGTACCATGGAGTAGTTCGAATATACCAATTAGTAGTTCAAATGTATCATGGAGTAGTTCAAATGTAGCAGAAGTAGTTCAACTGTACCTTAAGGTAGTTCAAATGTATAATGAAGTAGTTCAAATGAGCCACATAATAGTTCAAATGTACCACGAAGTAGTTCAAATGTATCACGGTGTAATTCAAATGTACCAGGTCAAATGTACTTTAGACTAGTTCAAATATACCGAGCAGTTCAAATGTACCATGTAGTTCAAATGAACCATGTAGTAGTTCGAATGTACCATGGAGTAGTTCAAATGTACCACGGAGTAATTCAAACGTATCATGAAGTAGTTCAAGTGTACCACGGAGTAGTTCAAATGTATCATAAAGTAGTCCAAATGTATCATGAAGTGGTTCAAATGTACCTAGGAGTAGTTCAAATGTACCTTATTGTAGTTCAAATGTACCATAGAGTAGTTCAAGTGTAAGATGAAGTCCTGAACAAATGTCTCAAGGTCACAACTTCCTAAGGGCTGTGGGATACAAATAGTTGAAGTTGAATTATCTTGAGGTTTTAGGAAAAATTGCGTACTGAATTTAGTTCCCAATTTGTTTACCAATTACAGTCCTGTCTGACACGCAAAGAAATGTTTGTAATAAATTTCGGACGAAATCATTAACTAGGATTAAGTCTATGTTAGAATAACTACAGCGGTTATTTAGTTCTCATTTTCATATTCAAATTAAAAAACCATTCAATACCACCACATTCAGAAAACTTGACAAAATTAAATCGTCATTGTCATAAGTACGAAACTAGAGACAGTTATAGCTTTTTATCTGCAAAATTGTAACAGTAGCATAACTAGCAAATCAGTACTATAAACGGGAGCATTTTCATTTAGTAAATTGAATAATGATATTAAACTTGTAGCATTAATGCTAAATAACAAACAAAAGATAAAGAGCGATACTATTCTACTCTATAAACAGTCTGACCTGTATCCTATTTTTCAACGAATCATTCTCTCTTTGCAACTGTTTTACTTCATCACGATGTAGCTCCAATTCTCGTTGTTTTCTCTTACAGCACGTCTGAAAAATACCAAAATTATAACACTTCATCAATTTTATTCAGATTTTTACCTTTTGACAGGTATCTCCATTTTCAAATTCATCTCTCCGAGAAGAACCGTATTTGTTGCCGGTTAATAATTTAATTTCTTTCTGAAGATCTACTATTGTTTGGTTTCTCTCTTCGATCTTCTTAAGGAGTTCATCGTACTGTCGTTGAATCTATTAGTAGAAATAAAGAGAGATTCGATTAATTTAAACAAAATCAATAGGACTTATTCTTTAAAGAACGTACTCTATTGTAAGTCTCTATGTCAGGTCCACTTCTGAGCTCATCAGCAATTTTATGGTATTCCTTCATATAGTATTCTTTTTCTTGTTTCAGACTCTCCATTTGCTGACTTGCCTGCAAAATTATACAACGTAGTTTTATTTATGAATTTTTAAAGTGTTTTTTGCAAGCTAATCCATAACCGGAATTTGTATGATCCTCAAAGTCGTTTTTTGTCAAATGAAATTTTTGTTAGATGCTTCTGAGTTTCCCCATATGTAATGTGACCTTGGAACATGCTGGGAACTCACAACCTGTCAGAGAAAACAGTATTATGGTATGTCTTGTTGACGAAAAACAATCTTTTGGCTTGTTCCAGACTATCTACACCCGGGTTTTGGTCAGGTGTAGGCAGCAAGTAGGATTCGTTATCTATACTAGAAATTAGAAATACCAATGGGCCAAGTACTGATCCCCGCGGTACGCCGTTGCAAATAGGTAAAAGGTCAGAGGCGGTGCCCTACTACATGTGTTTCGATTCGCCCAGAGAATCATGGGGGGTTAGAAATCTTACTTGTTCTTGTCGATATTCCATTTCTTTGTTCAACAATTCAATCATCCGTTTAACACATCCACCGGCTTCACAGCAACATTTTGTGACTTTAGAATGCCCGGCTTCCGTCTTAGACACCTCTTTCAAAGTAGATTTCTTTGTAGATTTTTTCGATGGTCCCGATTTTTTTGTTCTATTCGGCGATCTGTCCGCCCTATCCTCTGTCTACAAAGTAAAAAACATTCACGATTCCGTTGAAGTTTGGCAACATTATCTGTTGTATTAAGACGCTAATTCAGCCCTAAATCGATTAAAATTATTAGGTTCAGCGGGGCACCTTGGCGGATATTATTGGCAGAAAATGTACGCCACTGCCGTTTTTGTAACTTTAATATTTATTGTTTGATTAAGGATCTAAAAATACAACTCCTTTGCCTCTCATATTTTTTTCGTATATCTGTTTTCGAGAAGAAAAAAATAAAAACCGTTTTATTGCATGTTACTGGACAAAATTGGTCTATTAATTTTCGATAAAAAAATCTCATGTGCCTTGGAAAACAAATAATCCAAAAAAAATATAGGAAAGAGTGTTAATGCAACTTTTACAATCGGTGCCATGTCATAGGGTATACAAAAATTAAGAAAATCGTAAATACTATTAAGTACGAAAAACTTGAACGAGAACTTGCTGGCTGCTATTGGAATTTTGGTGAGAATATGGAAAAAATATATGACAACATAATAGGAAATATAAAAACTTGTTTAGATCTTGCAACTGATAAAAAAGTGATTTGCTCGACAAAAAATACACCCTGGTATAACAAGAATATTAAGGCAGCTCAAACTTTGAGAGACAAACAATACAATAAATGTATATTCACAAAATCAAATGATGATTGGGAGGTATATAAAACTCTTAGGAAAAAATGTCTATATGTAATTAGAGAAGAAAAAAGGAAATTCTACGATAAACAAATCGATAATAACAAGTGCGACAGTGTAAAGATGTGGAAGACTTTAAAAAGACTGATCAATTCGAAGCCGCATGATTGTGTAAATCAAGTTCAATTCGAAAACGGTGCCGAAACAAATTCTTTGGTGATTGCAAACAAACTAAATGAATATTTTGTGCTGCCAATGCTGGACTTGACTATATGAAAATCAGTTTCCAGGGGGAAACGTTGCATACACTTTCAAAATTTCACAGCGTATCATTGAATTGTCTAAGAAAAAAAGTAAACAGTTTAAAATCAAATAACAACTGCCCCGAAATCACTACTAAAAACGTGCTGAAAAACTGTTTCGAAATTTTGGGATATCATGTATTAAATTGGATCAATTGTTCACTGAGAAGCAGTTCTTTTCCTGAAAATTTGAAATGCTCTACAATAACACCAGTTCCCAAAATAAAGAATTCTAAAAGATGCAGCGATATGAGACCAGTAAATGTGTTACCAGACATTGAAAAATTATTAGAGTCCAGAGTGCATGACCAATTAATGCATTTTATAGAAGAAAACAAAATTTTAGTGGAGGCGCAGGCTTTCGAAAAAAATATTCCACAGAAACAGCTTTCCAGTTGGTTACTGAGAATTGGAGAAGAGCCATAGACTCAGAAGAAGTTGTCATAGCAGTATTTTTGGATTTGAAGGGGGCCTTTGAAACGATTGATAGAGATATTTTGTTAGGTAAATTGAAGGCATATGTTATAACAGGAAGTGTTTTAGATTGGTTTAGAAATTATTTGCCTAAAAGGATGCAAGTTACAAAAGTTAATAACACTATTTCATCAAAAATTGAAAATACGTTGGGTGTTCCACAGGGCAGTATCCTGGGACCACTTCTTTTTATTTTATACATAAATGATTTACCTGCCATAGTCAAAAAATGCAAAATTCAGATTTTAGCCGATGACACTATGATTTATATAAGTACTAAAAATATTCAGTCTGGTATCTCTTATATAAATGAAGACTTGAAGCTTGTCTCAAAATGGTTAGCATCTAACAGACTAAAATTAAATGCAAGTAAAACGAAAGCCTTGTTAATTGGAAAAAAACAATGTACAAATGTTCAACTGAATATTGATGGTGAAGATATTGAATTCGTAGAAAATTTTAAATACCTGGGGGTTTTTGTTGACTCTCGATTAATTTTTGATATTCATTATGAAAAAGTTATAAATAAGATTAGTAGTAAAGTGGGATATTTATCGAGAGTTTCTGGATGTCTGAGTTCATATAGCAGAAAAATTATCTATAATACACCATCATTCTTCCAAATTTCTTGTACTGTTCGACTATTCTATATTTAGCAAATAATTCCATTTTTGAAAGACTGCAAATTTTACAAAATAAGTGCATGAGAATAATACTAAATAAAGATAAATATACTCCAATTAGGCAAATTCTTAGCAAATTAAAATGGCTCAATGTAAAAAATTTTATCAAATATCTTGTAATGATATTCATTTATAAAGTAAAAAATAATATATTTCCATCCAGTCTAACTAATTTAACATCATCAAATGTCGACCATCATTTATATAATACCAGAAATAAAGATGACTTCCATTTAATGACCAAAAAGTATAACATGTGCTACAAATCTGTATTCCATCAAGGGTTGATTGAATATAATAAATTATACTCGGAGATAAAAGATCAGAAAACTTTGACAAAATTTAAAGTAAAATTGAGAAATCACTTGTTAAATGTACAATTATAGGTTGCCCAGCATTTAAATCATACACCATATGGCTTGAATTTACTAGTTCTAAGTTGTTTACAATTATTCTGTTTATGTAGCCAAATGTGCTAAATAAATCTTTCTACTACTACTATAAAGCACACTTGTACAAATGTTGGAAATGTCCATCCATTTCGGTACACCTTCTCAATCGACGAATCATTGAACGACGAACTCGAGCTAAAATTCGAGGTCTATCTCTTATTTCTTCGTAAGCATTTACGATTTTATTCCTTAAGGTGTCTCCATAAATAAAAATCTATTGGATTTAAGTCAGGTAAGCGAGGTGGCGAGGTAATTGGTCTAGGGATACTAAAATGATGAGGAGATCCATCGTGTTTAAAAGTTATTTGGTTATGTACATTTGGAGGAACTTCTAGCAACACGTTCAATTCTTGTTGAAGAAACTCCAAGATTCGCCGTTTAATCTTAAGGGTAAAAAGAAAGGACCAACTAAATTGTCACCAACAATAGAAATCTACACAATTAAAGAAAATTGTTCTTGGTGGCGACATTTCGTTATTCCATGCATGAGTGTTATGGTAACAATACCATCCCGCCAAAATCCTGCTTCGTCCGTAAAAAGTATCGTTTTATTTAAATTGCTATTATTAACCTTTTGGCAATACCATTGGCAAAACTGTAAACTTGGAAGAAAATCTCTATTACCCCCTGATCTAGTCCTGGTACTGATACCGAGATTTTGTTCCACGGCACGTAAAAGTGCCTCGTCAAACTCAGGCGTTCTTACGGGTCTCTTCCTAAATAACATTGTCAAAAACATCACGAAAAAAAAATAAGAAAATGTACCTCTTCCAAGTAATCTACGGTCTACGCTTTCAAAGGTTTTATTATCTAGAACTTGTCGATGGGGAAACGCTTCTGCATACAGGCGCCTCGCTGCATAACAGTCACTATAAGCACGTGCTTACGATACATGCACGTCTGTCATTTCCTCAAACGTGTAATTTTCCATCACAAAAACCGAGACGAACACTTTTTAAAGAAAATTACGTGAATAATTATTTTATAGAAGGCAGGCATTTCCATCTGCAAAATTGTAATAGTAGTTTAACTAGTAAATCTATATTTCAAAAGGGAGTATTTGAATGAATGAAAGTTTTTAAAGAATTGTAACGATTGGCGCAATAATTTTTTTTAAATCGACTCAGTCCTATTACTTTCCGGACAAACCCTGTATTATGTGTTATGGATATTGTAGCATTAATGCTAAATAAATCTAAAACAAACAAATAAATTTTCTCCAGTGACATGCAATGAAACGGTTTTTATTTGTTTATAGAAACTTTTTTTCATATCTAAAATATCTCGGTCTACACAATACGAAATTCAAAAAAATACCTCTACACCCCTCGTATGCTTCTTAGAGACTTCCAATTCGGCTATTTTCAATTTCTGCTCACCCGTCAGTCTCACCAACCTATCTATCTCCATATTTAAGTCATGCTCTGAAACAGAAACAATCCGGATATTCGGAAAATCATCGAGACACTACCGCATTTTTTCAGTCTTACCTATTATTGTGAGATTGTTAATACGATCTGTAAGCCTCTTTTTATCTTCAGTTTCAGATTCCAAGGCGGTCTGTAAATGTCTCTTTTCTAATTTTAAAGCATCCAAGTCAGCTTGAAGGCTCATTTTTTCTTGTTTTAACTTGGCAACGTCCCTCTCTAAGGACTCTGTTTTCATCATAGACTCGTTCAGCTTATCTTGCAACCTAAATTTAAGCAATGTTTACGACTCTCCGGTTCAAATGTAAATAGATAAATATACTTTATTTTCTGAATCATTCTTTATGACAAAGCTAACTTAAAACTTCCCACCACGGATTTATCGAAAATCACTCGTCAAAAGATTTGTCAAGGGTGGCAACTTTCTAACCAAAAATTACTTCACCCCCTTTTGAAAATCAGCAAAAATACCTGTGGACTTTTTCAGAATTATTTCTGACAGTATTGTTACACTCGGCCTCAACTTGCAATGCAATCTGATCGATATCCTTCATCTCCTTCTCTAGTCGCTTATTTCTTTCAGCAAGATGGAGAGCTCTCCTCATTGCTTCATGCTGTTTTGCTAAAGCTTCTAAAATATTGAAGAAAAAAATATGACGAACAATATTTACACAAGACAGCACAAAACGCCATCTATTATTCTTTAGTGAGAGGCAATTGGTGATAAGAAAAATGTCATACACATTCCAAAGGTACGGCCTTAATTACCTCATTGCACTTTGCTCAGAGTTATGAACACTTTAGAGAATTAGAAAATAGTAGAAAAATACATAAGAAATACGTGAGCAAATGGTAAAAATAACCGGCAAGGCAATTTGTTACCTTTTAGCTGAGCATCTAGCACGGATTTTTCAGCTTTCAATGCACGAATTTCATCTTGTAGAGCCCCTATTTTATTATCTATATTTTTATAACAGCAATCTTTAGCCAGAGGTTTTTGCGGCCTGCCACCTTCCAATAAAGTTGACAGCCTTTGTATCTCTTGATTTCGATTGTCCAACTAAAAGATATTTAAATCATACATATAATGAAAATTGGTTTAGAAAGCATGTCCGAAAGAAAATCCTTAAATTTCTCTTTAACATTGGGTACAGTAATCCTTTTTATATCCAAATCATTTTTCTACATCTATCAACTAAAAATATTCAGTCTGGTATCTCTTATATAAATGAAGACTTGAAGCTTGTCTCAATATGGTTAGCATCTAACAGACTAAAATTAAATGCAAGTAAAACGAAAGCCTTGTTAATCGGAAAAAAACAATGTACAAATGTTCAACTGAATATTGATGGTGAAGATATTGAATTCGTAGAAAATTTTAAATACCTGGGGGTTTTTGTTGACTCTCGATTAATTTTTGATATTCATTATGAAAAAGTTATAAATAAGATTAGTAGTAAAGTGGGATATTTATCGAGAGTTTCTACATTTAGCAAATAATTCCATTTTTGAAAGACTACAAATTTTACAAAATAAATGCATGAGAATAATACTAAATAAAGATAAATATACTCCAATTAGGCAAATGCTTAGCAAATTAAAATGGCTCAATGTAAACATTTTTATCAAATACCTTGTAATAATATTCATTTATAAAGTAAAAAAATAATATATTTCCATCAGGTCTAACTAATTTAGCATCATCAAATGTCGACCATCATTTACAAAATACCAGAAATACAGATGACTTCCATTTAATGACCAAAAAGTATAACATATGCTACAAATCTGTATTCCATCAAGGGTTGATTAAATATAATAAATTATACTCAGAGATAAAAGACCAGAAAACTTTGACAAATTTTAAAGTAAAATTGAGAAATCACTTGTTAAATCTACAATTATAGGTTGCCCAGCATTTACATCATACACCATATGGCTTGAATTTACTAAGTTCTAAGTTGTTTACAATTGTTCTGTTTATGTAGCCAAATGTGCTAAATAAATCTTTCTACTACTATCTAGCAAAGATTATATATACAGGGTGATTCACAAGTCGTGATCAAAAATGAAACATCATGCACATGATTGCAGGTTAATTTTAAGTAATATCTTTGGAATGTGAACAATACTTAGGTAAATAAACATACCAAATTTTCGTTCATTCCAGTTGATAGTTTGGAAGATATTAAAAAAAATGTTTTTTTACTTTTAAACTTGCTCACCCCGTATCTTTCTAATGAGGCCCTAGAGGAAAAATTGTTACCTAGAAAACCTCCCTTAAAAAGCAGTCCTGTTTCATTTTTGATCAGGACTTGTGAATCACCCTGTATAATATAACACCCAACATGCATAGTGATATAATTTTAATGGAAAAGAATGTAAAATTACAGAAAATGGATTCAAAAAAATGTGTAAACAAATAATTATAAAAAATTGACATTGTAGCATTAATGCTGCATAAAACTTAAAAAAAAGCTCAATATGCGTCATATAAATCAATGTCATTAGCATTAAGCTTTTGAATAACTAGAAATATTAATATTGATGTAAACAATCTACTTGAAAAGAAAATTCACAATTACAGGAAACTGTAATCTACCAGCGTTTCTGCTAAAAATGTTACCTGCGATTTCAAGAACTCATTGTTTTTGGCCATTTCAATTTGATTCTCCTTGAGTTTCCTCATTTCTTTCTGAAGCGTAGAAATCCTTTCATCAGCACATGACATTGTACTTTCTATCATAAATTCCTTAGTCGATTTCCCTAGTGATGACTTTGGAATCCTATTAACTAAAAAATAATACAAATAACATCACATGTGATCTGTGTTGACGAAGCGGACTTACAATTTTTCAAATTTGACTTAAAATCTGCCTTTAACTTTTTAATCTGTTGCCTCAAGTTTTCTTTTTCAGTTTCACACTCTGCAACACGATCTTCTAATATAGCATTTTGCATTCTCAGATCTGTAAAGTATCGGAATATAGGACATTATTTTCATCTAATTATTCGATTTTAATACCTCTTTGCACTTTTTCATGTTGCTCTTTGAAATGGATAAAAGCCAAATGCAGGTCATTGCATTCTTTTATCAATTTAGCATTATCGCATTTGTAAGGCTCTGCGCATAATTCTAAATTATTGATTTCCTGCAAATTGAAAAAACTTATAAGCAGATGATAACTACCATAGTTTGGGAAAACATTGAAAAGATTACTAAGCAATTTTTGAAAGAAGATAACTAAATAGTCCCTCTTCTGGATGAATGAATAAATACATCTTATAATATTAGCAAGCTTGGATTTATTATTTTGTATCTTACCACAATAGTTTAAACCACTACAAAGTGTCAAATAATTCTTTAAGAAAACCTCTTGATTGAAAACAAAAATGTCAAATTTTTAACCTCTATTAAAGAATAAACATTTGAATGAAACTTCACTTACATCCAAAGCATTCTTTGATATCGTCATGTACTTTTGAAGATTCTCTGTTGTAGTTTTCAAGTCTGATAGCAGTTTGCTCACCAATGGAAGGCATTCTATTTTCAAAGTCTGTTTGTAGCCCAGTTCGTCCAATTCCTTCCGTAAATTCATAAATTGGCTAGCCATTTTCAAAGAATCAGCTTTTCTACACTTTGCATTATACAGAAATTTTAACTGATAAACGATATAAAAATCATGGCAAGCTTTGCTTCATTGTTATTTTCGATTTTATCCCTTGCGTTCAATTTTCAGTAGACTGCGGGAGGATCCTAAACACTGCCACCATCCAATGCATCCTTTTTTGTTTGTATTTATTTTATAAATTTTATATTAGGTTTGTATATATTCAAATGTTTATTTTCTTTCCGTCCCTGTCACCCACAAAACATATACAGCGTAAAACCACCACGGAACATAAAATATCATGCAACGGCAAGATAAGTCAACCACAGATCCACCATGCATTGAACAGTAATTTCATAGACAGACATCAACAATTGTATAATCTAGGCCCAATAAGACTATCCACAGCGAAATTCTACTTGAAATCGTTGCACAAAAAATGTGATTAAAATTACAAAATTGACGCCATGTCATTCGAAATGACTCCGTTGGTCTGTTGGTCACCGGGCTAGACATCAATCTTTACAGCTCTGGACTCTGACCTTGTCTTTTTTGTTTACCTTAATTGCCATGTTACCAGCTCATCGAATGTGTTTGGCTACCTTTGCGTTTTTGCCAAAACCTGGTAAAAAGCTTGGAATGAGATATGAACAAATATTAATGGCGATAATACATAAGACGATGTTTTCTAAATAGTTAAAGGTGATTCCAATCAATATTCACATTGTAGCTACGTGCAAGAGCCTACAATCTACAGAAGGCGGTTTTTTGTTTTCAGCAAATCTGTATTCTCAGCACTTTTTTTATCATTTGTATTTCATGTCCACAATTTGTACATAGGTATGTAAACACATAAAAAATTGTATTGCAGGTTTCAGATTTTCTACAGGGTGTCCCATAAGTAAGTAGCTAATCAGATTCCTTTTTAAAGAAATATTGCGATTAAGTTAAATTTTCCTAGTCTGAAAGTCAAAGGCAACCAAGATACACAGTGATAAACTTCAGAAACCAGGAAGAATAATTTTGAGCAAGTGCGTAATTATTCCCAAATTGCTTAGGACTTTCTGTATAATACTATATTTGATGATGATGTACGATTCTCTGGTAGCAAAATGCATTCCAACTCGATATCTTAAGTACGTATTAAAAATAGAAGAATTTTTGTAGAAACGTTTCGATTTGCAGGACTGAAAATGGCACACAAAAATTCATTTCTTTCGCATTGCTCTTCTGTGTCAAATGTTTTGACGAATTTGTGTTCCATAGGCAGTAGTGACATCTCTCATGTGTCATGTGTGTCATTTTGATTTACTTGTTGTATGATAGACATCCATGAGACATCCGGCATTTTTTCTTCATTTTCCTGCCAGATTGTCCAAAGCGTTTGCAAAAAAGTTAAAACCCAGAGGAAAAAACATTTAATTTTTTGTGGGTAAGTGCTTTCTTTCACTCTATAGAAACGTGACTGCACGTTACTTACAACTGATCTATTTTAATACAAAAATACTAGCGAGTACAGTGGTTTTAATAAATCGATATTCCAATGAGTCTGGTTAAAAGAATGCCAAAGGAGAATTATTTCCGGTAAAGATCATTTGTATTAATACCTATAAACGTATTCATTCAACTCATAGATGTTTCTTTTTTTTTTACAGCATAGATAACTTTTTCCACAAAATGACTGACTTAGAATCGCCCAAAAGAAATAATGATTGTTACTTCTACTACTATTCCACATGTGCTAAGGTAAATTACTTTATGAAAACCCAATATTAAGCCAAAAAATACAACTGCTTCAGAGAAGTAGTCCATTTTGTCTCGAGACTGTGCTGCTGATGAATCAAACAGATAAAACTAAACGTCTTTCAAACTAGTAGTATATCTTGCGTTTCATCAGCATGGTCTCTGGTAGGACAATGAGTGTAAGCTGAATAATTATCCTCTATCCAGGTTAAAAGGTTTATCAAAATAAGACAGGTGCTGCTCATTTCAATAAACCCAATAATCTGATTTTATATTCTATTTTTTTTTTTTTAGGGAGATAGCTGTGGGTTTCGCCATGAACCATCAGCGTTAGGATGTGAAACTATGTGCTCTTTTTGGAAAGAAGGAAAGTGTATGAATGTACATTGCAACTTTAGGCATATGGAATTGAGGAAAAACCGCAAAGCAATACCGTGTTACTGGGAGACACAACCTGTCGGTTGCCTGAAAGCCCATTGCCCTTTCATGCACCAAAAACCAAAACCAGATGACTTGGAGAAAATTTCAGGTAAATTTTATGTAGTAGATATTGATACAAAGATAATTAATATACAGGTGAATATATGGTATTTGTGTTTACGATGTTCTACCAAAAAAATAATTCGACGAATTGAGGAAACAAACCATCTATATAATTTAAAATATGCTTTTGTTGGAACATAAGATGAAATAAGTAACTGTTAAGATTCATCACAATATGCTTGAAAATTAACAAAATGTTTACTCGCTAGGCAAGCTCTATTCCTGACTTTACCAAATTGAAGGTAAAATTCAAAAAAATTAGGGTTTCGAAAAAAAAAACAGCGGCAAATTTTAGATCATTGCAGTTGATGGTTTTGAAGATATTAAAAAAAATTGTTTTTTATTTTTAAACTTCAACACCCCATATCCTTTTAATGGAGCCCTCAACAAAAAAAATGTTACATAGAAGACCCCCCATCCTGCATATGATGTTTCATTTTTGGTCACGACTTGTGAATCACCCTGTATAAGATTCCATTCCATGTTTATGGTCCACTTTGCTATCGAATTCAGAATTACAACTACAGTTTCAAACTGGTTCTGAAATAGTAATGTAAATATTTTGTAATAATTAGTTTTTTTTTTACTTACTAGCAGAATTGACTGCTGTAAAAGTCATTGATACCCATAAAATTGTTGTATGAATCTTTTTTATCTATTAATTTTTTGATTCAGAAAACTCAAGGCCTGATAATAACAATGTGCTCAACGATCAGCGGAAAGTAACAGCAGTGGACAGTCTGGTTGTAAACTTCGAAGAAGGTATGCAACTTGTTCAATAATTCGAACTGAAAAAAGGTTAAACACAAGCTCAGTTTTTTCCTAAAACAGAGAGGGATGTTTTGTTAAGTTTTGTGCGTTTTGACAATGTTAATATGTTACGATGCTTTATTTTAATTATTTATAGACTGGTTGTTACATTTGAATTGATGAAGATATATTTATGGGATTCGTAGCGTAGCGTTTTATTCTTTGATATTAAGGAATGTAGATCATTCTTAATTTGCTGTGCAAATATATGAATTTCTTTTTTAATTGAAATTGCTGGACTGGAAATTGAAAGTACAATTCAGAGACACAAAACCAATATTCAAGAATCTAGAGAATAATGCAAAATATAGATGTATCTTTAAACTGGGGCTATGGCTTCCTTTTTTGGTGAAGTTCTTTAGAAGATTTTAAAATTGGGAAAGATGTGTTTTGTGTCAACCTTGGTCACTGTACTTTTAATTTTCTTGATAAAATTTTGCATTCAAGACAAACTGATACAGATATTTTGCATATAAGCCAGTTTCTCTTGACACATTGTGAAATTTTGAATTCCAAATCCATATATACTTTTTATATCTAGTTACAAATTATATAATATAGTCAATTATATATTAATACTTATGGAGAAGCAATTGTGTTACCATCTTTATCAAGCTATATTTAATTCTAATCACAGTATTGGCCCTATATATAGCCTACAACAATAGAAACTACGGTTCTATTCTTTCAAAATCCAATTAATCACCCTTCTAGATTTAATTAGGCTGTATCTGATACAAATAGCAGAGTTGACTAATAATACATGGTGAGTTTGTTACGCATGGTATTGAAAAAAAGTTTATTACAAAAATTGCTGCTTACTTGAAAAATACTTCCATTTCTACCCATACTTTTTTTTTAAAAATCAGCAATTTGATTTAAATATAGGGTTTTGTTTCTGACTTGCTGAGCTGTGGAACTATCTATAAAAAAAAACACCCTCTGCAACTGAGCTAAACTACTGACTTTTTCGCCAGAATAATTCTACGATCAGGAATTTTCTTGCAAATTACTCACTGTTTCAGCTTTTCACATTCAAATGGAACATCCTGCATATATTTACACTTATTGAGTCCCATATTTACAAGCTTTTTTTGATATGAAGTTTATCAAAAATTGTACGAATGGTTTTTGAGTTATGGTTAACCTATTTTGTGAATGGGATATCAAGGCAAATAAAAAATATTATAATACCTTCAAAGATAAAAATAGCAGTAGATGGTAAAATTGGTATATTTTGATCATAAATTAAATCTATCTAACCTTGTACAATAAAGTCGGAAAGTCAAGGAGGCGTCCTTGTGTTTTAAGTAACTCAGAAACAGTCGTAAGAACCCTCAAAAACTTTAAATCAGAAAAGAGCCAGTGAAAATATACAGGATGTTCGATTTGCAAATTTTGACCATCAGTAGATATAGATAAAATATGGGATCATAAAATTCTTCCGGTAAAAAAGTCAGTTTTCTAGCTGTAACAGTTGCAGAAATTTAAATTCATGTTTGATTTATGAATCACCTTGTACAGAGTTATCGAGCCCACACGAAAAACTCACCCTGTATATAGAAAAGGTCAGCTCTTTCAGTAAAGAAGAGTCTTTGAATAATATTTTTTTCTATAAAATCGCCTCCAAGATACTATTAAATGCGAGATCATCACTTATTTTACTGTTGTTTTTTTCTTGAAATAATCTGCATGACCCGAAATATTGACATAAAATCCGATCTATCACTGAAGAAAAATAAGTTATATAGCTCTTTACTAATTTTAAACAAGGACTTCCATATTAGGTAATGTATTTTATGAAGCTTATTTTTTATTCAACCAAAATAATATCATTAATACACTACCGTTCAAAAGCATTTGAACACCCAGACAACAAGGAAACTGACGGACGTTACTAAAGAAAACATTACAATATCAATATCATATTTTGTTAATTCTTAACAACATACAATTATTTATAATCATATTTTTGACTCATCAATATGTCCTCCTTGACTTTTAATTAGAGCCTGGCAAATGATGAATAAACGCGCAACTCATTTTTCTAAAGTAGATGGGGTTATTTTTGCCATTGGTCTTGCAATATTCTCCATAAGTGTTCTTGAGATGTAGGGCAACATTTCCTTGGTTGTCTGTCCAGTTGATCCCACAGCAACTCTATCGGATTCAAATCTTGGGATTGGGGAGGCCATTGCATGACTTTCAAAATATTTTATTCTTTTGCTTACAAAAATTGTGTACAGAGCTTGGATGTGCGTTTGGGGTCCTTATCATACTAAAAGACAAACCCTGGACCAATAAGACGGGTCCCAGAAGGCAAAACATGATTTTGTAGTATGACTTTGTAACCTTCTTTAGTCAGTATTCCCTGTACTCACAATACACCCCAGAGCGGAACCACCAAAACAGCCCCAAATCATTATAGAGCTTCCAACTTCAAATTTCGATCCATTACTGCAGTCAACAACTGTCCAATTTTTAAGTTTGGCCCTAATTCAGTCTCTTTCTTTTTGTTGGTAGCCCTGAGGAGTGGTTTCAATACAGCTTTGACTAACAGTAATCACACTTACAGGTTTACCACGGCGCGCATTCAAGTCCGCTGCTATTTCGGGGGCAGTCAAGCGTCTATTGCGTGTATTTTTCACTGTTACGCTTAAGTCTGCAGCGGAAGTTGTAACTCTGGGTCTGCCTGAAGGACGGCTATTGGATGTTGTGCCTTGAGCCTTAAATTTTTCTTTTATACTCCAACTACCACGAAGGCCTAAGGCAGAAACACCCATTGGGCACCGTGGGGCTATAGGGGGATACAGGGGAAAGGGGGCGCCACACGGACTCTGGCGAGGGAACACGTGTGCATGCAACATGCACACATTCTGGCTCCGCCTACGAGATCCGCCGGGTGGTACCTCCACGTGTACAGATGACAGTGGTACCTTCTGAAGTTTAGAAATATCGCGAATACTTTTGCCGGACTTATGAAGACCAATAATAACTCCTTCGATCTCATCGGAATATTCTTTAGTTTTACCCATTTTGTACAGAAAAAAATAAACGAAAACGCACTTTTTGAACAATCTTGAACTACAAGCTATTGAAGCACGGTTAGTTTATTAAATGAGACAAAATAACTGAAGTAAAACTGTGTTTTGGGTTTACGTACAACAGAAATTCAAAGAAATAATCGAAAAACAAATAATGAGAAAGACTAATACAAAAACATAACAATATTCTAATAATGGGGTGAGCAAAATTTTGATTTCAATGACCTTTTAGTGATGCTTGAGAAATAAAGAAAAATAAATACGTACTGAATAGTTTCTTTTTGTTTATTATGATTTTAAATGGAAATATGCAGGTGTTCAAATACTTTTGAACGGTAGTGTACATATTAGGTGTACCAAAAAGATTTTTTGCTTTCTTTATTGGTGTGACTCATAAATACTTCTAGTCGAGAGCGTTCTTAAACTTGTTATTCAATTCCGAAATTGATACTTCTGATTTTTTTATTCTAAATACACCATTTAAAAATATGGTTGAATTGCATCTTGATTCCACATATCCAGGTGTCTCTTGGATATTTTATAAATATCCTTAAGTTTCTATACATCCGTTTCTCAACATCATAAGGAAGAGTGAAAGTCGGGACTTGAAAATCGAAAATCCTCAATATTTTTATTTCATAGTACGCAGTTTTTGACATGCCATTTTCTCTGAGAGATTGTTCATTGGCATTGAAGTAATTGCAGAATATTTTTGGACAGATTTTGCTGGTGGATAGTTTTAAAATTATTTAATGGAATGCTTGATTTTCAAAGGTGATATGACGTGTAGTTAGAATGTGGTTTTTAGTCGAGATATATTGATATGTTACTCAAGTCACTATAGCATTTGTTTGTAGTTTTCGGGTGATGAATCAGAATTGTCTTTTCTAGATTCTCTGCTGATATTGACATTGCAAAGACAACTGCTATGGTGACTTATCAGAAAGGTACATTCTTGTTATATACAATTTTCATTGAGGTGATTTTGTTAAGTTCATTGATAATTTTTGGAAAACAAAAAGCTCTGAAATGAACCTAAGAATTTCACCTTCGATCAGGTTTTTTTGATATTGTTAGACTAACAATTTTAACTGTTATTTGTACATGTACCAAAAGCATTCTTCGATTTTTTGATATGTGTACAAACTTTTCAATGTTGGAACATTGTTGAATATTCTTTTTATTTATTGGGATTTAATATTGTATACTTACTGATTCTTCGGTTTGCTATTAATATTTGGTATAGTGTATTTATTGGGGTATTAAATTCTTTTTCATGCTACAGTTGTGTTTTCTTTCATGTGTACTGCAAGGATGTGCCTTTTTTGTGAGAATACAGGGTTTGTCAGGAAAGTGATAGGACTGAGTCGATTTAGAAAAATTTATTGAGTCAATCGTTACAATTCTTTAAAAACTTTCAAAATAGGCTCCTGCGTCGATGCAGAGCTGCCGCCTTGAGGGCCGCGGTGCATGCTGCTTGGATCCCCTCTGTCGTCTCAAAATCGGCCTTTTCAGGCGAGGAAACAAAAAAGTCCGGGGGGGGGCACATCTGGGCTGTAGGGCGGCTGCGGAAGCCTTGGTCAGGTAGCTGTTCACAAGAAAGGCGGTGTGAGCCGGGGCGTTGTCGTGGTGCAACTCCGAAGTACAGTCATGGCGGAAGAAAATGAGTCCTATTACTTTCCGGACAAACCCTGTACGTTGATTGAGCTGCCAAATCTGAGATTCTATAAAACTTAGTGTTTTGACTATACATGGTGGCACCGCACCGCTAATGTGACTCTCTTGGTATATTTGGAAAAAACGCTCCGACACGTCAATTTTGATTCCAAGGGGGACGTATTGTTATCTATAGCCGTACAATACAGGGTGATCCAAATATAAAATATTGCGTTACGCTTTAGATTTTCAAAAGGAAACCCTCATTTTTTAAGTTTTTAGTAACTTCTGTATAATAAAGTGTGTACCCATCTTCATCGTTGTAAAGCTATTCGGGTGTATAATAAAATTCTAGAAGTTGTGACAAGGCATTATATCGTAAAAATAATAATATAGTGGGAGAGTTCACGTTTTGATTTAAGAAAAAAAGTACAAACGTGATGAAAAGAAAATATTTATTACTATCAAAATATTCGTAAATTCGGCAGGTTTTATTTCTTAAATATCATTCCGTCCAAATGTTTGCCGTCTCTTCGGACACACTCTCCTAATCGCGCGCGCAAATTTTGTAGCACTCTTCAAAATTCAGAATTCCGGAGTGATGTTTATTTTTCGTCAAATGTTAACTATAGATAACGCCGCAAAAAATAATCGCATGGCGTGCGGTCGGGTGACCCGCGAGGCCAGTGAATGTCTCCAAACTTCGATATAACTTTTTGAGGAAAAAGTGCTTTGACCGAGTCCATCGATTCTCTGTAAGTATGGGCAGTGGCTCCATCCTGTTGAAACCCTGGGTTTCTGTTAAATCGACGTTCTGTTCTTACGATACGAGCAAAAAAGTGTCGCCCGGAATTGACTGTCAATGCACATTTTACACGCACATCGAAGTTGAAGTAAAAATTAATTTGCTATGAAGAGGTAGGTCATTGTGTTAAGTGCTGAAAGTGGTGTCCATTTACCTCCAAGCAATGACAAAGATCTTTTCGAATTTATTCCTCACATTTTCAAACATTCCTCGACTTATTTGTCTACATTCAGCCGTAAGCCGCTGACGAAGATCTTGAATCGAATCTGTCTTCGTACTAAAAACTTTACTTTTAAAATGCCAGCAAAGAAAGTACAGTAATGGACAAAAGTATATAGACAAATTAATATTCCTTTTTAACTTGTTTTATTAATACACCAACCTGTATAGCATAATACTCACTTATACATTAGACTCCCTTCAATAAAAAATTCATTGAAAAACACTGGAACTATGAAGGACAAAATTCATTTCTAACTGGTCGGTTTTCTCGATGGCGGTTCCTTCAAATATTCTCATCAACTTACCGTTAATATTTTTGGCGGTTTCTATTCAAAAATCAAAAGTGTAACGCAATATCTTATTTTTGGATCACCCTGTATTGTACGGCTATAGATGAAAATCACAATTGACGTATCCGAGCGTTTTTCCCAAAATATACCTTTTCGATGGTCCACCCTATAAAGCATTATGGGGTGATTGAATGGCATATACGCTCTATAGTGTGTTGTAGCCAGAATACGAGGGATGTCTTTTAAGTTTTGCATATAGAAGCATAGTAGGCCTCGCGGATGGAACGTCAGTACTGAATCTTAACCTCACTATTTAGTAAACTTAAATTCGACGTTTCACAACAATACGTGCAGTGTCTCACTACAGTGAATTTTTAAGTGCACCAAGTCATTAGAAAAATGGAACTCAACCGAGAACATTTTCGCGCCATAATTTATTACAACTTTCAGAGACAATTATCGCAACGAAGTGCCACATCAGTCGACAATTTCCCGTTGGTATGAAGAATTCGAACGTGGACGGGTGAGTCTTAGCGACGATCCCAGGGTGGGTGCACCAAAAACGGCAGTCACCCAGGAAAACGTCGATGCTGTGCGCAAACTCATCATTGAAGATAGACATGTGACATATCGCGAGATTGAGGCGTCCTTGAAGATCTCAAAGACGTCAATTCAAAAAATTTTACATGAAGAATTAGGAGTAAGAAAATTAGTTTCTCGTTGGATACCCCACCTGTTGACTGAAGAGCAGAAAGCAGCCAGGGTTAATTTATGTCAAAAAACGCTTGACCGTATCAATTCCGAAAGTCAAAATACATGTACAGCGTTGAAAGTGGTGATGAATCGTGGATTTACTGTTATGAACCAGAAAATAAACGACAGTCGGCTGCTTGGGTGTTCCAAGGTGAAGAAAAGCCAACAAAAGTCATTCGTTCTCGAAGTGTTTCGAAGAAGATGGTCGCGACATTTGTGTCATATTGTAACAATTCCTCTTAATGTGCAAAGAACTGTTACTGCGGATTGGTATACCACCATTTGTTTGCCAAAAGTCATCACCGAGCTTCGAAAAATCAACCCCGAAAGAAGAATCATCCTCCACCAAGACAATGCAAGCTCGCACACAGCCCAAAAAACAAGGCAGTATTTCACGGAAGAAAACGTGGAATTATTGGACCATCCTCCATATAGTCCCGATCTAAGTCCTATCGTTTTCTTTACTTCCCCGAAAATTAAAAACAGACTGCGTGGTCAACAGAAGAAGCAGTTGGTTGGAAAATTGGTTCGAGCGCATGCAGATGTGTATTAATCTTCGTGGAGAATACTTCGAAGAACAATAAAGTCATTTAAAACTACCTACCGTGTTGTTTTATTGCCATACGCAAAACTTAAAAGACATCCTTCGTATTAGCTCTTATAAAATGAGGTGTTTGGTAAATGTTGAATCTTGGAGCGTGATATTCATAAACCAGTGTCTTCCTTCTAGAGTCTGATAACGAGTCGATGCCTTCCTTTTCACCTACAAAATCCTCAAATCGTGTCGTGACAGTGAAAACGCTCGAAGAAATCAGATTAGAAAAAATCCAAGCTGAATCTGCAGCATTGTACAGTAAGTTGATACGATGGAATTGATTAGAACAAGATGCCTAACTCTATGTTGTATTTGGATTTGTTTGTTGAAGATTTATTTAGCATTAATGCTACAATGTCAATTTTGTATAATTATTCATTTACACTTTTTTTAATCAATTTTCTGTAATTAATTTGCTATGCATTTTGGGCATTATTTAAGTGATTTTTAATTTTACCTTAAACATTTATTGTTTGAAATCATTCATCAAATGAGAAAAATGAGAACTAAATAACATACATTTTTTTACATTTCAATCACTGTAGCTCTTCTAACATAGACTTAATCTCAGCATGTTTGTCTCTATTTAAAATGATTCAAATATCTTTATTTTGTAAAATTTTTATTTTTTTTTCATTTGCTATAACCATAAAACATCAATTAAATATGACATACAACATAATTATTATTAGCAACGTTTCATTGAAGATACGGAAAGTTCGCGCTTATGTATTTTTGTTTTCAGATTATTCTCCAGAAGAAGATCTTTTAAGAAGTCGAATAGAACAAAGAATGCAAAACGCAGAGAGAAAAGTCAGCCTTGAACCGTTAGAACGGCAGAAATATAAAAATGCATTTAGGCCAGAAAAAAGATTGAGCGATGATCAAATAGCATCCATATTAGGTATTATATTGTTTTGTCCTAATGCAGTTTTTGTCATTTCCGTTCGTAAAAAATTGTTTTCTAAATCGTAAGTACCGCCAAAAATTTACCAGAACGTCGATTTATTACATGGTTTCAACAGCATGGGGCCACTGCACATACTTCCAGAGAATCGATGGACACGGTGAAAGCACTTTTTCCTCAAAAAGTTATATCGAAGTTTGGCATTCACTGCCGCCTAGGTCACCCGACCTCGCGCCATGCGATTATTTTTTGTGGATTTATCCAAAGTCAAAAGTGTATTCCAATAATCCACGAACACTGGATGAGCTCAAAGACGACATTTGACGAGAAATAAACATCACTTCGGAACTCTGCAAGAGAATGTTTCAGAATTTGCGCGCGCGATTAGAAGAGTGTGTCATTAAGTTTGTATTTTGTTTTCGTAAATTAAAAAAGTGAACTTTCCCTCTGGACACCCTAGTATATGTCTGTTTTTGAAATCTCATACGATTAAAACGACTGCGAGTTCAAAACGTTGGAGAATGAACTCGAGAAAACGAAAAAACAGTAGACAAATATCAACCCATTGTAGCGAACTGGCCGTCTGAAAAATTAGGCAAAATAGTAATAGTAGTAGAAAGATTTATTTAGCATATTTGGTTACTTAAACAGAATAATTGTAAACAACTTAGAACTAGTAAATTCAAGCCATATGGTGTATGATGTAAATGCTGGGCAACCTATAATTGTAGATTTAACAAGTGATTTCTCAATTTTACTTTAAATTTTGTCAGTTTTCTGGTCTTTTATCTCCGAGTATAATTTATTATATTCAATCAACCCTTGATGGAATACAGATTTGTAGCATATATGTTATACTTTTTGGTCATTAAATGGAAGTCATCTTTATTTCTCGTATTATGTAAATGATGGTCGACATTTGATGATGTTAAATTAGTTAGACTTGATGGAAATATATTATTTTTTACTTTATAAATGAATATCATTACAAGATATTTGATAAATTTTTTTACATTGAGCCATTTTAATTTGCTAAGCATTTGCCTAATTGGAGTATATTTATCTTTATTTAGTATTATTCTCATGCATTTATTTTGTAAAATTTGTAGTCTTTCAAAAATGGAATTATTTGCTAAATGTAGAAACTCTCGATAAATATCCCACTTTACTACTAATCTTATTTATAACTTTTTCATAATGAATATCAAAAATTAATCGAGAGTCAACAAAAATCCCCAGGTATTTAAAATTTTCTACGAATTCAATATCTTCACCATCAATATTCAGTTGAACATTTGTACATTGTTTTTTTCCAATTAACAAGGCTTTCGTTTTACTTGCATTTAATTTTAGTCTGTTAGATGCTAACCATTTTGAGATAAGCTTCAAGTCTTCATTTATATAAGAGATACCAGACTGAATATTTTTAGTACTTATATAAATCATAGTGTCATCGGCGAAAATCTGAATTTTGCATTTTTTGACTATGGCAGGTAAATCATTTATGTATAAAATAAAAAGAAGAGGTCCCAGGATACTGCCCTGTGGAACACCCAACGTATTTTCAATTTTTGATGAAATAGTGTCATTAACTTTTGTAACTTGCATCCTTTTAGACAAATAATTTCTAAACCAATCTAAAACACTTCCTGTTATACCATATGCCTTCAATTTACCTAACAAAATATATCTCTATCAATCGTTTCAAATGCCCTCTTCAAATCCAAAAATACTGCTATGACAACTTCTTCTGAGTCTATGGCTCTTCTACAATTCCCAATTACCAACTGGAAAGCCGTTTCTGCGGAATATTTTTTTCGAAAGCCTGCTTGCGCCTCCACTAAAATTTTGTTTTCTTCTATATACTGCATTAATTGGTCATGCATTATGGACTCTAATAATTTTTCAATGTCTGGTAACACATTTACTGGTCTCATATCGCTGCATCTTTTAGAATTTTTTGTTTTGGGAGAGAGCATTTCAAATTTTCAGGAAAAGAACTGCTTCTCAGTGAACAATTGATCCAATTTAATACAGGATATCCCAAAATTTCGAAACAGTTTTTCAGCACGTTTTTAGTAGTGATTTCGGCACAGTTGTTATTTGATTTTAAACTGTTTACTTTTTTTCTTAGATAATTCAATGATACGCTGTGACATTTTGAAAGTGTATGCAACCTTTCCCCCTGGAAACTGATTTTCATATAGTCAGGTGCAGCATTGGCAGTACCCACAATATCAACAATACTTTCCACAAAATATTCATTTAGTTTGTTTGCAATCACCAAAGAATTTGTTTCGGTACCGTTTTCGAATTGGAACTTGATTTACACAATCATGCGGCTTCGAATTGATCAGTCTTTTTAAAGTCTTCCACATCTTTACACTGTCGCACTTGTTATTATCGATTTGTTTATCGTAGAATTTCCTTTTTTCTTCTCTAATTACATATACACACTTATTCCTAAGAGTTTTATATACCTCCCAATCATCATTTGATTTTGTGAATATACATTTATTGTATTTTTTGTCTCTCAAATTTTGAGCTGCCTTAATATTCTTGTTATACCAGGGTGTATTTTTTGTCGAGCAAATCACTTTTTTATCAGTTGCAAGATCTAAACAAGTTTTTATATTTCCTATTATGTTGTCATATATTTTTTCCATATTCTCACCAAAATTCCAATAGCAGCCAGCAAGTTCTCGTTCAAGTTTTTCGTACTTAATAGTATTTACGATTTTCTTAATTTTTGTATCAGAAAAATGCCCTACCAAGGGCAGCATTGTCCAACTGTGATCGCTAACTTTAGGTGTATGTACAGCTTTAATCCCTGCACATTCGAAATTTACAATAACAAGATCTAACAAAGTCTCTGATAATGATGTTATTCTGGTACCCTCTTCAATTTTTTGCTTGAACCCATAGTTGCTTATGGTTTCTTTCAATTTTCTTGTTTTCATGCTTTTACCATAATAATTTAAATGCTCGGCTATTCCAAGCTTTTGTTGATAGTGGAACCTCATCGACATCAGAATCTTCGGAAAGTTCTTGTATTTCAACTAGATTTTCAATTTCTTGGCATGAATCTGGATCTTCAACATACAAACTTTCATCTAAGTTAAAAAGATCCTAAAGGTTTTCTTTATCAATCAATTTCAATAAATCCTTAGTTTTTGAGGATATCTGAAATTTCGCTAAGTGGTAAGACATCTTCCGGGTTCTTTTTATTTTTTGTCCAGTTAGGAAAACATTTTCTCGTTTCCGCGTCCGTCCAATAGAAAGTTGATGCAATGCAAATTATATGAATGTCGTTCGGGATCATGAGAAACTGTCCGTTTAAAGGAGGTGTCCGATTCCGCTAAGGGGAATTTCACACGATTCTTAAGCATCCCTTTTATCCTTCCACAGGTGACGATTCGCTGAGGAAAAAACAAAAAATCGTCGTCGAAAACGGAGACGGCAATTTGAAAATTCTGCTGGGCAGAAAATTCTGCACTAGCCAAGTTTCCGTAACGATAACTCCCGAAAGCAGGCTGGTGAAAGAAACGTCCGATCCGCACGACGTTAGTGACATCAGAATAAAAACGCTCGCTGAAATTCGAGCCGAGAGGCAGAAAAAAGAGAAAGAAGAGTCGGAAGTTACCAGCACAAGTGCGGGATTCACTCCGTTTTCGGAACAAGATCCGATAGCGAAAGAAGAGTCAGTTGAACAGAAGATGAATCTCAAAAGGAAGATAAAGTTAAGACGGCCAAATCAAAGAGAAGTGATTGAGAAGAGCAATTTCAAACGACCGTCGGGATCTAAGAAGGGTTACGATGAGGATGCGCTAGAAGATGAACTTTTGCAGGACTCAGACAGCGACTTAGATATGAGTATAAATGCTGAAGATTTGTTATTAGAGATGGATAACTAATTTTATAAGTAGCGATATAGTAGAGTGTACATAGTATTTTTTTACTATACAGATATGAGTACAAGGAAAAATAAGTTACTTTTAATTAGTATGTGTATTTGGGATACAGGGTGTTGAATGTACAAGGATTCCAAGAAAGTTTACCAGTAGACTCCAATTTATTGAATTTATTGTGGTTCAGACTGAGATTATACAGGGTGGCGCATCGAAAACGAAACAGACGCATTTACTAGCAGCTCTATTTTTTTGGAAAAACGCTCAGACCCGTCGGTTTTGTTTTCGAGGGGGACACAAGTTTGGCAAAAAATCACGTTAACACGTGCAGCCCCCTGAGCGGGGGTGACACCACCCCCAAAATCTTAAATGGAAAGGGGGGTCGAGTGATACCTTATTTTAAAGGTCTTTCAATTCCCTTTATGATATAAAATTAATGTACTTCAGTTCAGTAGTTTTGAGGATTTATTGATTTAAAGCTTAAATAAAACTAATACATCATCATTTGGCAGCAAAGTAATTTGAAAATGAAGAATGAACTGACCCGTTAGGCAAGTAAATGTTGAAAATGGCCACCATGAACCTCTCCATGCAATAATAAAGATTTTGCTCAAAACGTTGTCGCACATTTTGCATTTAAGATTTTAGGGTTGGTGTCACCCCCGCTTAGGGGGCTGCACGTGCTAACGTGATTTTTTGCCAGACTTGTGTCCCCCTCGAAAACAAAATCGACGGGTCTGAGCGTTTTTCCAAAAAAAAAAAAACTGAGCTGCCAGTAAATACGTCTGTTTCGTTTTCGATGCGCCACCCTGTATATAAACGTATGCCCAAAAATAGAAATATTCTTTGCAAGATTTTAAATTGCGACATGCAGTAATTAGGAAGTGTTATATTCTTTTTTATGAGGACATATTTTTCTGTTAAGCATATTTTCACATAAATAAAATGTTAAGTTTTGTGTTAATATTTATTTTCGAATTCAATCATACGGTTTTAGCATTTTTTTATAATCTTAGCCGCAGCAGTGTTACCAAGAAGGCAAGATTTTAGTAATAATACATACTGCAACTTGAAAAAAGTGGCGTCTAGTAGGTTGACATTTTTTCTTTAAACGACCAGGAACGTCAAAAAACGAAGATTGGGCGGTTTCTTTATTTTTAGTTTTTGGCCTTTTTTCGGCACCGGTATTATGTAAAAACCTATAAAACGTCAAAGAAACCCTATAAGGTGTCTTCTTGCAGACTAAGTAGTTTTTAGGGTGCAAACAGTAATTCCACGTTTGCTCTCTAGCATCGCTGTCCATCTATGGAGGAATTACTCAACTACACTGTTTTGTGAAGCTCCATAGTTTTCATCTCAACTTGTACAAAGTTTTTTCGAAATTGGCAAAGCAGTAACCTCGTGTGAACATTTCATCAAAATCCGACCGTTGCTTTCCAAATTATAAGAAGGGCCAAGAATTAGCAGGCAGACGTAGAAACCTTCTGGTAAAAAAAATCAAATTGAACAATATAAAAACATTTATTCAAAAAATCAGATGCCATGTTAAACAAGTAATCAATACTTTAAGTTTGTCATAAAATATAAAACAAAATATAGTTCTTTTCTCGGTTTTTATTGCGTCACAGTAAAACTGGCAATATCACTGTTATATCTTCATCTATTTTATTTATTTATTAGTAATGCCTTAATATACAATCAATAGATATGGTCGACCGTATGCATAAAGTGGATGAAAAGAAGTCTTTGTTACCCCCTTCATGTGTTCAAGAAAGAATAGCAACTGTGTTGAAGATCGGTTTATGCAGTGTGCATTTTCCGTTATGAAAAATAAGGCCAAAAACGGTGAAAAGAACTATAGACGCGTCATACTATAATTCAAGCTCAGGAACCTCGACATCTTGTTTAAAAACAAATTCCTCCTTATATTTTCCATCATCATCGCAGCTCGCCTCGCAGGTATATACAACTAGAACCCCAAAATCAAGAGTGTTTTCGTGTAAAAATGTCAATAGTTGAGGCATGACTTGGAACTCGAACCGCCGCGGACCACCGCAATGTTCGCAATCTGGAATCTTCTCTGGTAGAGGCTGTTTGGCAATCCATAATGGTGTTCCATTTTTTTGATACCTAGTGAAAAAATAGTAGAGTTAAATTTCATATAAAAAGACACGATAGTAGACCTGTAACCAGAATGCGCGAGGTTTTGAAAAAACGGGGAATATCTGGTTTTTAGAGAAAAACTGAATGTTATTTTTTTCTGAAAAATAGTGAATAGCTGTTCTTTTAAATGGTAGATGGCTGTTTTTCTTTTTGAAAAATGGTGGATGTGTGATTTTCTGAAAAACGCAGATCAGATGAAAACTGGTAAATGATTTTTGAACAAGAGATAAATGTGTTTTTCAAAAATGGAATAGAAATTTTGGAAAATTGATGAAAGCTCGGTTTTGAAAAACGGCGAAAATCTTTTAGAAAAACGCTGAATGTATGTCTTTCGGAAAAAAATGGTGAATGCCCTGTTTTAGAGAAATTGTGAATGTTTTAGAAAAAATGGTTAATGCCCTGTCTTAAGAGAAATGGTGAATGTTTGATTTTTTTTAAAACTATGGATGAATAGTATCTTATTTTTGAAAAATGGTGAATGGTATGTTTTAGATAAATTGTGATTTTTTGAAAAACTGTGGATGCCCAATTTTTAGAGACATGGTGACTGGTGGATTATTGGAAAAATGGCGAATGTCTGATTTTGAGAAAAGTAGTGAAGGATATTTGGAAAAATGGTGAATGCCTTGCTTTTAGAGAAATTGTGAATGTTTAATTTTTGGAAAAACTATGGATGAATAGTGAATATCTTAGTTTCGAAAAATGGTGAATGGTATGTTTTAGATAAATTGTTATTTTTGGAAAAACTGTGGAAGCCCAATTTTTAGAGACCTGCTGATTGTTTGATTATTGGAAAAATGGCGACTGTCTGATTTTGAGAAAAATAGTGAAGCATATTTGGAAAAATGGTGAATGCCTTGCTTTTAGAGAAATTGTGAATGTTTGATTTTTTGAAAAACTATGGATGAATAGTAAATATCTTATTTTCGAAAAATGGTGAATGGTATGTTTTAGTTAAATTGTAATTTTTGGAGAAACTGTGGATGCTCAATTTTTAGAGACATGCTGATTGTTTGATTATTGGAAAAATGGCGACCGTCTCATTTTGAGAAAAATAGTGAAGGATTTTTGGAAAAATGGTGAATGCCTAGATTTTAGAGAAATTGTGAATGTTCAATTTTTGGAAAAACTATAGATGAATAGTGAATATCTTAGTTTCGAAAAATGGTGAATGGTATGTTTTAGATAAATTGTTATTTTTGGAAAAACTGTGGAAGCCCAATTTTTAGAGACATGGTGACTGTTTGATTATTGGAAAAATGGCGACTGTCTGATTTTGAGAAAAATAGTGAAGCATATTTGGAAAAATGGTGAATGCCTTGCTTTTAGAGAAATTGTGAATGTTTGATTTTTTGAAAAACTATGGATGAATAGTAAATATCTTATTTTCGAAAAATGGTGAATGGTATGTTTTAGATAAATTGTTATTTTTGGAAAAACTGTGGAAGCCCAATTTTTAGAGACATGGTGACTGTTTGATTATTGGAAAAATGGCGACTGTCTGATTTTGAGAAAAATAGTGAAGCATATTTGGAAAAATGGTGAATGCCTTGCTTTTAGAGAAATTGTGAATGTTTGATTTTTTGAAAAACTATGGATGAATAGTAAATATCTTATTTTCGAAAAATGGTGAATGGTATGTTTTAGATAAATTGTTATTTTTGGAAAAACTGTGGAAGCCCAATTTTTAGAGACATGGTGACTGTTTGATTATTGAAAAAATGGCGACTGTCTGATTTTGAGAAAAATAGTGAAGCATATTTGGAAAAATGGTGAATGCCTTGCTTTTAGAGAAATTGTGAATGTTTGATTTTTTGAAAAACTATGGATGAATAGTAAATATCTTATTTTCGAAAAATGGTGAATGGTATGTTTTAGATAAATTGTTATTTTTGGAAAAACTGTGGAAGCCCAATTTTTAGAGACATGGTGACTGTTTGATTATTGGAAAAATGGCGACTGTCTGATTTTGAGAAAAATAGTGAAGCATATTTGGAAAAATGGTGAATGCCTTGCTTTTAGAGAAATTGTGAATGTTTGATTTTTTGAAAAACTATGGATGAATAGTAAATATCTTATTTTCGAAAAATGGTGAATGGTATGTTTTAGTTAAATTGTAATTTTTGGAAAAACTGTGGATGCTCAATTTTTAGAGACCTGCTGATTGTTTGATTATTGGAAAAATGGCGACCGTCTCATTTTGAGAAAAATAGTGAAGGATTTTTGGAAAAATGGTGAATGCCTAGATTTTAGAGAAATTGTGAATGTTCAATTTTTGGAAAAACTATAGATGAATAGTGAATATCTGATTTTCGAAAAATGGTGAATGCCTTTGTAAAATAGTGAATGTCTTATTTTTTAATAATCCTTGAGGTTTTTTGTGAAAATAGTGAAAATCTTGTTTTTAGAGGAATGTTTGGCATTTTGGAAAAAATTGAGAAGTACGATTTTTGAGAAATAATGAATCTTTTGATAACTTTACTTACTTTAGTCTTTACAAAGATGACAAATGTATTATATGGACAAATGGTGAATGCTTGATTTTTCAAAGGTGGTGTTGGGGGAAATGGTAAATGTCTGATTTTAGGAAAAATGGTGAATGTGAATTATGAGGAGAAGTTGTGAACAAATGATTTTTGGTGAACTGATAGATCTCTGATGTTTGAACAGTCTTTTGTTTTGAAAAAAATGGTTGATGATAAATATTCTGCCTGTCCCACAGAACACACCTTATTATTTGATCAGGGTTTTGCTTAACCCTATCTTGGAACTTCCTGAAAGTTGTATCCTCCTCAGACTCTGCATACTTTTCCAGCTCGTTCTCAGGAACATTTGCCATACTACCTAAGCCATCATCAAGTTTAAGTTTCTCAAATTTCCATAATTCATCCTTATCAGTAGACTGTACATCATCAAGTTCTTCAGCCTCAGTTATTATCTCCCACTCAGGAAATAGCAAGGGTGACAATCGTTCAGAAAGTATAGAGCCACACTCTTTTTTATGGTATTTCCAATCATGTACTTGATGTGTCCTACTGCAGTAATCGGCCACTCTGCATCTACTGCACTTTTTACTGGCATAGCAACCACAAACTCTGCATAATCTTGTCCAATTTTCCATTGAGAATAATGGATCTGGTATATCATCTGGCGGCTCGAATGGATAAAACTTATTTTTTCTAGGCAGAGAACTACGGAATACCCTGACATTGTCACTGTTATTTCTTATGCAACAATCTGGATTTTTGCATATGAAAACGAACAGGGATCGGTGAAAGTTTTTCGTAACGCTTTCTGCAGGAATATGAGCACGTCCATCGAACGGAGCGTACAACTGCAGGAGGAATATCGTAGGATCGCCACATTTTCGACACTGCAGTTGGTCTGCGTCTGGGACAGAATCGAGCCTCACCCAAGCTGGTTTTCCACCGACTTTGCTCGGGAAAAACCTGCTTTGTAATTTCCAAGATTCACACTGCTCCTCAAGATACCCTAGTTCTACACCAACCTGGTCTTCTTGTTTTTCCATGTTTCACACAAATGGATTTCTTCATCCGTAAATTTGCACTTCGCAGTATTTCTAGAGAAATTTAAAAAACGCAAACAAATGGTTAATTCACAAGCGACGACAACCTCACAGAACAAGAAGTTTACCGGAGTCCATAGATAACTTCGAGTGAGTGGATTAGTCTTACAAGAAAACGTACTGCCAATTTATTGCTTACTGAATGTAGTTCGGCTACCGCTCAACTTTGGACTAAACTATAGCGCATATCGCAAATATTTCATTTCTTATTTTAAAATGAAAATTTTATAGGACTTCAAAGTTGCACTTTGGTTGCTAATACTGTGGCATAAAATACTGCTTTATAAGCTGTTTTCGTCTTTTTTATACAAAAGATTGTTCAAAATTATATGAATTTAATATACACTGTAAGTTACTGTGATACTGTCCATCGCAATAATGCAATTTTGCATTATTTTAATGATGAAAATAGTTCATTGTTAAGTAGTCATTTCTTTTATTTCGGATAATTATTCCCATCACTACATCACCGTCACTGTCATATTTGTCAAATTCTTACTTATATACTAGCGCGAAAATGTGCAATTGGCACAGGATTGCCATGAAAATGCGATTTGGAGGTGTGGCCGGCAAGTTTTACTGTACTAAATCCACCTTGTGTCCTACGTTAGCATTAGCTAAAGAGGCTTTTTTGAAGAATGCCTTATGCCATTCACAAAACTACTTTGGTTATTGTTTTTCCTATATTATAAAAAGTAGCTATTGCAAATCACTAAATAATGAAAACATAACAAAGGACATTGCAATTTTTTGATGATTTGATGAAATGATCGTTGATCTTTATTTAACTATAATGTTAGACGATGATCTGTTGGGTGGTCCTGGCGAGTTGGTCCAAATCGATGAATTGACGTTGGGTATTTTTATATGCAATGACCACTGGTGCCTTTTGTATTTTTTATGTCACGCGAGCCGCTGTATTTTCCACGGTTTAGATACATACTGTTCAAAATTTCATCTAGTTTTCGGTAAATATTGAGACAACTTTTCATAAAACAAGTCATTTACAATAAATTAAGACTTTTATTTTGCAAATAACCTCATTTCTAATTACGTATTTCTCCCAAAAAAAGGTACAACTTGGCAACAATGGACATCATTTATCCTATCTGTCAAGAAATGAGCGTTATAAAATATCCATTGATGTACTTTCAAATATTTCTTATAAACGCAAAAACTATGATCTCATTGAAAATACGCGAAAAAAATGGTTAAGGAATTTCAAGAAGACATTGTAAAATCACAAAACAATTCCTTTACACAGTTTACCAAGTAAATACCATCATTTACGTATGTATTTTGATCTGTTATTTAAGCTAATGTGTAATAACATGTCTGGTTTTGAACCTTTTTTTGCAAAAAACAACGATTTTTTATAGTTTCACATCTATTTTTCTTGTTATTAAACAGTGTATGTTATATTCTTATAATTTATAGCATCCTGTTGTACAAAAAGCAAAAAAAGACAGCATATAAAACAAGTATTCTGTTCTATAGTATTACCACCTAAAATGCAACTTCAAAGTTCAATAGTATAGCAAGCGCAGGGTTCTTTAAAAAAAAATGGTATTTTCGTAAAAGTTACATCCTAATCTTTCATTTTAAAGTAAGAAATGAAGTATTTGCGATATGCGCTAAAGTATAGTCTTAAACAACTTTGTGACGACTCATGAAAATTGTTACGAATTCCTTCTACAGTTGCCAGTTTTAATAATAAGATTTTTTGAATTAAAATCTCGGTCGAGTCAAGGGGTGAAAAATGTCAGATAGAATTACTTTCTTATAAGCGTCGTTGTACCATATGTCCGTCAAAACTGTCAACGTCATTGTGACAAGGTCAACTTTTTTTCGTTCATTTGTTTACTTCTGGTCTGGTAATTTGACGGTACCAAACTCAAAACAAATGCTCTGCGAAATTATTTTATAGGCCTACTATATTTTTGTTTTCTCTATAAATCGTCTAAATGAGTTCAGACGAGAGCGAAGATGATTTCACACCAAAAGAGGGCCCCAAACAGAACCGAACAGCCAAAAAATCGACGGCCCCGCAACAGCAAGTGGCCTACACAACCAGAAGACAGGCCGCTAGAAATGCTACAAAAGCTTTACGGGCCACTAGTGAACATTTCATGGCGAACTTCAACCCTGAAACTAGCGTTAGGGAAAAAAGAAAATTGAATAGGTAAATATTAGACGGTCTAGCTTGTACGCTATCCACATCATGTGTTATATTGCAGGAAAATCAACATCACAAGTAATGTAAGACGTCCAGCAGGTGCAGTGTATGATGAAAATGGTATTCACATTTCAACAGGAATGGATATTTGCGATTGCCTAAATGAAAACTGCGCAGGATGCTTCTTCGAATGTCCAAAATGTGGCTCTCAGAAGTGCTCTGTTGAATGCAGAGCCCACAGAAAGTTCATCATAGAGCAAGTTGAATATCATGGATATGATCATATTATAAAGAGTCCTATTGTCACTTCAAAGTTCCATTATTGCTGAAAAATAGTGGAAGTATTGTGAACATTGTAAATGGGGACAGAAATAGTTTTACAGATTGTACTGTAAAAATATGGAACTACACTGTGTTTTGTGACAAACTGTGTACGTAAAGAGAAGCAAAAAGGAAATGTAGTTTTAAGTGTAGATTTGAGTATTTCATCTGTTATGCTGTAATTTTGAGTTGATTTTGTGTTTAAATTAATAAAAAAACTGAAAATGACGATGTTTTAATTATTAAAAGAAATTCTGGGGTGTTGAGGAAAAATCTGAATTTCACTCAAGCATCCAGCATTTTTACAAGCTGTTTCTTCAAAACGAAAGTTTTGATAGAAAATATACCCTGGTAAAGTTGTTTTTGCAGGCCAACACCAATATGTGAATACAAAACCAATGGTTCCAAGTAAAACACAATTTAATTAAAAAAATACACTGCATAATATATAATTTTATTTCTTCAAATTGTATATATAAAAGGTATCAAAATTAAAATAGTGATTGTTGGCACATGGGTCATTAATACTGCATTTCTGTCTCAACATTTTTATGGCAAGTTGAATGAAGTATTTGATTCAGTTTATTTTTTGAATCATAGCTGGCCAGGTGCCAACTTTGCTTTGACAGCCTTTGCAAATGTTTCAGCGCCTTCTTGGTTTGCTTTGTGGTAATCAGGTATTTCCAAAGCGCATCTAGCTAGCCATGAGGCTACATTGGAATAAGGTGTTATCTTCCAGCCTACAGCCTAAAAATCACCAACAATATAATCTTCATTCCATAAAATAATTATCTTATGAGTCTCAATATTCATTTCCATATGAATAGAACTTCCTCAGGTTGCAATAAGCAAGTTACAATTTAATTTTTTTTTTGCGATTCTGACAGACCAGAGACATTCACATTTAGATACGATAGATAGATATTTCCAGTGCAAGCTTTACTTACTACAATGGTTGAAACTGATGCAGCCAAAGAACAGTCAGCTATGGTTAGATGGTCGCCAGCAACAAAGTTTTGTCCTTGCAAAAATACGTCAAGAAAACCCAGAGCTTCTTCCAATGGTAACTTGTGTTCATCAAGAATTGTGTCTTCACCCAAAAATAATATTGGAAACTAAAAAAAAAATATATAGCTACTTCGTTTATCTTATCTTTAAAGTATTTTTTCTAGAAGTGGGATAGGCACCTCAACTTATCTTTTTTATCTATAGAAAAAATCTTGATGTACACTTAGGGACATATTAGAAAATCAACTTACACAGATTGCCCGAATTCTTGGATAAAGCACACCACAATCAAAGTAGAGCCTTTGATCAACAACTGCTCGTTTTTTAGGGTCTTTAGGGTAAATTGTATCATTTTTAGCATAGGTATTTGCCAGATAGCAAGCGATAGCATGGCTGTCCCAAATAGCTAGATCGCCATCTGTCAGGGTTGGGACAGTATGCTGAGGGTTGATCTGAAAACGAAGTTGTTAGATCTATGTAGAACAAGTTTGAAGCTATATGTACATGTATTTATTTTGAACCATGACTTGCAAGTGAAAAATTGATAGTAACGTTTATATTTTTACCTTGATGAAATCTTCACTCATTTGTTCTTTCCTGAAAAGATCCACTATCTGAATATCAACATCTACACCAACAGCTTTGGCTGCCAGCAGGGCCCCTCTTGAGGGTCCACTGGGTGCAAAATGGTACAATGTAACGCCCATAATGTATTTTCAATAATTTGTTATCAATAGAAAAAAATTTTAAGCAAAGGTTAATAGTTTTTTAACTGTGCGACAAATTTTAGTTAAAACTGGCAAGTCAAACGTATAGGGGGTCAATGACCGTAACGGGGCTATTTGACCCTGACCTTAATGGAACATTGTAACATCAAAACATCATAGACGTTTTAATTTTGAAATGTGTCATATTTGTGCTGGATTTTGTTGTCTTCTTTGCTTGTTATTTTTTGGAATCTTTTTTGTACAAAAGCGATTTATCAGCTGATGGAATGATGAAAATAGCTTTTTGATCGAAATAAGCTAATTAGAGCCGAATTAAGATTTTTGCTTTATAGCAATATATTTTTATATAGTAACAGTGATTATTGATTCGCGTACATATTCAACACAAACTTGAGAAAGGGTCAACGATGCCTCGGCGATGTAAAAAAATGTTTTTTTCATCGATATTCATTCTACCCTATGGCCTTATTCCAGGGTACACTGATTTCCATAGCCGGCAATGAATAAAGATACTAGAGTATACAAAGGTTAACACATACTGTACATGATTTCGTGGGAAGTACAGAATCGATCATCTTGACGTCATTTTTTTTTTTACTTGTTTAAACTCCATTTTATATAATATAACCCTGCATCTTTGACTGCAACACTGGGAAAATTAGCAAATCTACTTAAATATCCCCAACTGGTGCACAATTGCGATGTTGCAATGTACGTCGGTCGTTGCGCGACGGCTGGCGAGCTCTCACATCGCACAAAATCGAACCGATTGTTCGCCGCTTCAACTCAGCCTCAGCAGCTCCTCAATTTCTCGGCATAATCTAGCTGTTGAGAGTTTACGCAACTCGATATCCAAATCGGCGTCTTTGCGATGTGAGTTTTTCCCCGACTAGTGGCGAGTTTACCAGCGATTATTAGTTTTTGGCCTACGTTTCAACGGCAAGGAATTGGAAGAACACAAGAAACTTTTAACCGCGTACTGGGATATATTGAAGGAAATCCTCATGTTAGGCCAAAGGCATATCACGAACGACGCCATCAAAATATAGGAACCTTTTAAATTCAGATTTAACTTTTTTAATGCACCCATATCATGTCGTTTTGCATCAGGCCTTAAAAGAGGAAGTCTTTGACCTGCACAATATGCATTATTGGACTGCAGAAAATCCGCATTGGTTGCGTAAAGTCAGCACCAAGGACGTTAGAGTTTAAATGTGAGATGTGGAATACTGGTAGGCAGAATTGTTGGAGCACACTTTTCCGAGTAATCCTAAATGTCAATGTCTTTCTTGACTTTTTGGACAATCAGTGACAGTTGTTAAAAATGTGCCACTGGAAACACGGCAAAACTTATTTTGCAGTTGGATAGTTGCCGTGCACATTTTGCGAGAGCATATTAATGCAGTATTTCAACAACGGTGGATTTGAAGAGGTCTTTTTCCATGGTCTTCGCGCTCACCGACTTAACTTCTCTTGATTGTCATTTTAGTCGCCGCGTGAAGCCATCACATCGCCACTTTTGGCAACCCTGGATCACGTTCCCCTGTTTCCGCTCCAAGCGCGACGCGTCCAGTGTTGCCAGGTCAAACGCTACGTTGCCGGACTCGCCCCTTAATTTACAGACCTCGTAGGTGAAATGTTATCTTCGCCGCGTCTCCATTCGGAGAAAGGAGACATTTCGAAATAAAAAGGTATAGTAAAATCTGCATCGACAGAAAAAAACACCATCGAATAGTTTTATTACCACAAGACTTTCACAGTACATTTGTAATGTTTTAGTGTGACACATTAAGTAATCTAAGTGTATAAGAAAATTATACTAGTTTAATAACAAAAATACCTGAAAAATGACAACATACTTAGAACACATTGGCAATGTCTTTCTTGACTTTTTGGACAATCAGTGACAGTTGTTGTTGAAAAATGTGCCACTGGAAACACGGCAAAACTTATTTTGCAGCTGGATAGTTGCTCTGCACATTTTGCGAGAGCATATTAATGCAGTATTTCAACAGCGGTGGATTTGAAGAGGTTTTTTCCCATGGTCTTCGCGCTTACCAGACTTAACTTCTCTTGATTGTCATTTTAGTCGCCGCTTGAAGCCATCACATCGCCACTTTTGGCAACCCTGGATCACGTTCCCGTTTCCGCTCCAAACGTCCAGTGTTGCCAGGTCGAACGCTACGTTGCCGGACTCGCCACTTAATTTACAGACCTAGTAGGTGAAATTTTATCTTCGCCGCGTCTCCATTCGGAGAAATGAGACATTTCAAAATAAAAAGGCATAGTAAAATCTGCATCGACAGCAAAAAAACACCATCGAATAGTTTTATTAACACAAGACTTTCACAGTACATTTGTAATGTTTTAGTGTGACACATTAAGTAATCTAAGTGTATAAGAAAATTATGCTAGTTTAATAACAAAAATACTTGAAAAATGACAACATACTTAGAACACATTGGCAATGTCTTTCTTGACTTTTTGGACAATCAATGACAGTTGTTGTTGAAAAATGTGCCACTGGAAACACGGCAAAACTTATTTTGCAGTTGGATAGTTTCCCTGCACATTTTGCGAGACCATATTAATGCAGTATTTCAATAGCGGTGGATTTGAAGAGGTATTTTTCTATGGTCTTCGCGCTCTCCAGACTTAACTTCTCTTGATTGTCAATTTAGTCGCCCTTGAAGCCATCACATCGCCACCTTTGGCAACCCTGGATCACGTTCCTCTGTTTCCGCTCCAAGCGCGCCGCGTCCAGTGTTGCCATGTCGAACGCTACGTTGCCGGACTCGCCACTCAATTTACAGACCTCGTAGGTGAAATGGTATCTTCGCCGCGTGTCCATTCGGAGAAAGGAGACATTTCGAAATAAAAAGGCATAGTAAAATCTGCATCGACAGCAAAAAAACACCATCGAATAGTTTTATTAACACAAGACTTTCACAGTACATTTGTAATGTTTTAGTATGACACATTAAGTAATCTAAGTGTATAAGAAAATTATACTAGTTTAATAACAAAAATACTTGAAAAATGACAACATACTTAGAACACATTGGCAATGTCTTTCTTGACTTTTTGGACAATCAGTGACAGTTGTTGTTGAAAAATGTGCCACTGGAAACACGGCAAAACTTATTTTGCAGCTGGATAGTTGCTCTGCACATTTTGCGAGAGCATATTAATGCAGTATTTCAACAGCGGTGGATTTGAAGAGGTCTTTTTCCATGGTCTTCGCGCTCACCAGACTTAACTTCTCTTGATTGTCATTTTAGTCGCCGCTTGAAGCCATCACATCGCCACTTTTGGCAACCCTGGATCACGTTCCCCTGTTTCCGCTCCAAGCGCGGCGCGTCCAGTGTTGCCAGGTCGAACGCTACGTTGCCGGACTCGCCACTTAATTTACAAACCTCGTAGGTGAAATGTTATCTTCGCCGCGTCTCCATTCGGAGAAAAGAGACATTTCGAAATAAAAAGGCATAGTAAAATCTGCATCGACAGCAAAAAAACACCATCGAATAGTTTTATTAACACAAGACTTTCACAGTACATTTGTAATGTTTTAGTGTGACACATTAAGTAATCTAAGTGTGTAAGAAAATTATACTAGTTTAATAACAAAAATACTTGAAAAATGACAACATACTTAGAACACATTGGCAATGTCTTTCTTGACTTTTTGGACAATCAGTGACAGTTGTTGTTGAAAAATGTGCCACTGGAAACACGACAAAACTTATTTTGCAGTTGGATAGTTGCCCTGCACATTTTGCTAGAGCATATTAATGCAGTATTTCAACAGCGGTGGATTTGAAGAGGTCTTTTTCCATGGTCTTCGCGCTCACCAGACTTAACTTCTCTCGATTGTCATTTTAGTCGCCGCTTGAAGCCATCACATCGCCACTTTTGGCAACCCTGGATCACGTTCCCCTGTTTCCGCTCCAAGCGCGGCGCGTCCAGTGTTGCCACGCCGAACGCTACGTTGCCGGACTCTCCCCTTAATTTACAGACCTCGTAGGTGAAATGTTATCTTCGCCGCGTATCCATTCGGAGAAAGGAGACATTTCGAAATAAAAAGGCATAGTAAAATCTGCATCGACAGCAAAAAAACACCATCGAATAGTTTTATTAACACAAGACTTTCACAGTACATTTGTAATGTTTTAGTGTGGCACATTAAGTAATCTAAGTGTATAAGAAAATTATACTAGTTTAATAATAAAAATACTTGAAAAATGACCAACATACTTAGAACACATTGGCAATGTTTTTCTTGACTTTTTGGACAATCAGTGACAGTTGTTGTTGAAAAATGTGCCACTGGAAACACGGCAAAACTTATTTTGCAGCTGGATAGTTGCTCTGCACATTTTGCGAGAGCATATTAATGCAGTATTTCAACAGCGGTGGATTTGAAGAAATCTTTTTCCATCAGACTTAACTTCTCTTGATTGTCATTTTAGTCGCCGCTTGAAGCCATCACATCGCCACTTTTGGCAACCCTGGATCACGTTCCCCTGTTTCCGCTCCAAACGCGACGCGTCCAGTGTTGCCAGGTCGAACGCTACGTTGCCGGACTCGCCACTTAATTTACAGACCTCGTAGGTGAAATGTTATCTTCGCCGCGTCTCCATTCGGAGAAAGGAGACATTTCGAAATAAAAAGGCGTAGTAAAATCTGCATCGACAGCAAAAAAACACCATCGAATAGTTTTATTAACACAAGACTTTCACAGTACATTTGTAATGTTTGTGTGACACATTAAGTAATCTAAGTGTATAAGAAAATTATACTAGTTTAATAACAAAAATACCTGAAAAATGACAACATACTTAGAACACATTGGCAATGTCTTTCTTGACTTTTTGGACAATCAGTGACAGTTGTTGTTGAAAAATGTGCCACTTTAAACACGGCAAAACTTATTTTGCAGCTGGATAGTTGCTCTGCACATTTTGCGAGAGCATATTAATGCAGTATTTCAACAGCGGTGGATTTGAAGAGGTCTTTTTCCATGGATTTCGCGCTCATCAGACTTAACTTCTCTTGATTGTCATTTTAGTCGCCACTTTTGGCAACCCTGGATCACGTTCCCGTTTCCGCTCCGAGCGCGGCGCGTCCAGTGTTGCCAGGTCGAACGCTACGTTGCCGGACTCGCCCCTTAATTTACAGACCTCGTAGGTGAAATGTTATCTTCGCCGCGTCTCCATTCGGAGAAAGGAGACATTTCGAAATAAAAAGGCGTAGTAAAATCTGCATCGACAGCAAAAAAACACCATCGAATAGTTTTATTAACACAAGACTTTCACAGTACATTTGTAATGTTTTAGTGTGACACATTAAGTAATCTAAGTGTATAAGAAAATTATACTAGTTTAATAACAAAAATACCTGAAAAATGACAACATACTTAGAACACATTGGCAATGTCTTTCTTGACTTTTTGGACAATCAGTGACAGTTGTTGTTGAAAAATGTGCCACTGGAAACACGGCAAAACTTATTTTGTAGCTGGATAGTTGCTCTGCACATTTTGCGAGAGCATATTAATGCAGTATTTCAACAGCGGTGGATTTGAAGAGGTCTTTTTCCATGGATTTCGCGCTCATCAGACTTAACTTCTCTTGATTGTCATTTTAGTCGCCACTTTTGGCAACCCTGGATCACGTTCCCCTGTTTCCGCTCCAAACGTCCAGTGTTGCCAGGTCGAACGCTACGTTGCCGGACTCGCCACTTAATATACAGACCTCGTAGGTGAAATTTTATCTTCGCCGCGTCTCCATTCGGAGAAAGGAGACATTTCGAAATAAAAAGGCATAGTAAAATCTGCATCGACAGCAAAAAAACACCATCGAATAGTTTTATTAACACAAGACTTTCACAGTACATTTGTAATGTTTTAGTGTGACACATTAAGTAATCTAAGTGTATAAGAAAATTATACTAGTTTAATAACAAAAATACTTGAAAAATGACAACATACTTAGAACACATTTTAAAAAAAGTATTATATAGATAAAAAGCTCATATGAAATTTATCGAAAACAGTCATTGAGAGGTAAGTGGTGGCGGTGCATATACGCGTCCCCATCACTGATTACATGATATTATATAATTTCAAGAATCGCCATCGTTTACTTACAGATCTACATCACTTTAACTACACTTCATTTGATTATTTAAATAAAAATAGTTCACATAATATCTATTACTCAACTAAGTGTTACAATTCCACTAAAAGTCCTCTTAATCAGTACAACACCGAACTAATATCGCATCAAAACAACCACCAGATGGCGCATAGCATTTGAAATACTGAACTCGATTGGAAACTTTAGATATAAGTCCATATCCTCTACAAAGAATTTTAACAAAATTTGAATAAATGCTATATTTTGTCTCCAGAATGGCGGATATAATAAATTTATGACAAAAATACGGTCTACTACTTCGAGGACACTGCCTGAACAGCTTCTGATGACAACTACTACAGCTTAATGTGAAATGAAAATGTACGTTCCTCAAGGAAACGTCATAGTTTTCACTCTACGGCAGTATCTCCTCTACGGCCTCCTTGATTCCCACAGTTATTCCTGTCCTTCACAAAGGCATGAGTATTTCTAGATTTCCGCTGTTCCGTGTCAGCACTCTATTTAGAGGTTATGTTTTTTTTGAATCCGAAGAAATTTCATAATGTTTATCATCTGTTTTATACGCACGAAACTTCTTAAGATCCAAAAAGAAAACATAACCTCACAATGGGAGAGCGCTTACGCCGACGCGGAACAGTAGAAATACCCCAGCATTTCGGAAGGAGAGAAAATGCTATGAAAATCAAGGCGTCTTACAATTGTAGTAGGAACCGCTGACGATACGAACTTATAAGCAACATCAATTATTATGGGATCGGTGTCTAAAATTTCAGCAATTCAAATACGGATTGTCACCCGGTAGATTTCTGATGCAAAATCTGCTCGTTATCGCATCAACTATCTTAAAATGGGCATACAAATTGCACGGCTTCATTTGATCAAGGCGTAACCCATCATCTATGCAACTTAACTTTACGTTTAAACATCTAACTTTTTCTTAGCATTTAGCTGGTTCGGGGTTATACAGGGTGCCCCGGCAGAAGATGTCAATCTCTTCTGTGCATACAGAACATGAAACATTACGTCAAAAGTTCACATATAACACTTTAATAACGCTGCATAATTGGAAGAAATTTTGGCCTAATAAAGAACCACATATGCGAATATTGCGAATTTTTTTCAAACCCTGTCTAACAATATTTTTTGCTGAAAAAAGCATTCTTGTTTGATTGCGATAAAATATATCATCGTGCAGGTTATATTTAATAAAAACCGATTTTCACTTTTGACGTTTTTTATATGACCTTGGGCATTATTTTTCTTGTTCTATACGCATCCGCGAGATTGCCATTCAATTCTGGCACGCCCTGTGTAACGCAACGTTTCGACACAGCCTGACCAAAATCTATTGAATTTCGGCGTACGCCGCTGTATAAATATCGGAACTTAAACGTCAAAAAAAAAAAATGATCATCATCGAGAGCACGCTGTGTTTGTGTAATCCTAACAAATAAAAAAATAAATCATCCGGACTGTCGGTCCGCTTCGCATTTTAATAACTTAAACCATTAAATATTCTCTAATTCTTTTTATGACTCTTCGTGGTGTCATTTTCTTCAATCGTCTCCCTCTTCCTCCTCAGATTCCGCTTCTTGCAACCACGTCAACCACTGATTTACCTGAAAAAAAAAACAAATTTTTTGTAGTGATAGAAATTTTTACAAGCCTTCAAGTTTTGCGACAAAACTTGAAACTAAACTGGAAAACATGGAAAATTTTACCCAAATTTAAATCTCGATATTTCTTTTATCTTTCCCCTCATACAGGGGGAGCAAAAGAAGTCATGTTTTTTTTAGCAAAGTTTGGGCTATGTCAGATTATCAATATTTGATCTTGGAAATTTTTCTTTGCATCGTTGGACTACCCTAAAGAAATGATATCTCAAATTTTTCGAAAGTTGGCTATATATAACTCAAATTAAGGAATTTTCGGCTCGACCTCGATTTTTTTTTTGATTACCCTCTCCATGCAAATAGGACGTTTCTCCCATCAAAATTAATTACTCCTGTACCAAAAGTTCAAAATTCTCAGCTGTATACAAATATGCGACCGATTAATGTCTTGCCCGATGTCGAGAAGCTGTTCGAACAAATCAAAGAATTCATTGAAGAAACCAAAATTTTGATAAAAAACCAAGCTGAATTTAGAAAAAAATCTTCCACAGAAACGGCAATCCAAATGGTGGTGGAAGACTGGAGAAGAAGTACAGATGAGAAAGAATTATTTTAGACTTCAAAAGGGCATTTGAGACTATAGATAGGGAAAATTTGTTAATAAAATTGCGTCACTATGGCTTTAAAGGATCAGTATTACTCATTTTACAAAATTATTTAGTAAATAGAAGTCAAAAATCTAAAGTTGGAAATATTATGTCAAGTGTTCAAAATACAGTGGACCTCCCGGTAATCCGACAAACATTATGCAGGGCAGTGTCGGACTATCGAATTTGTCGGATTATAGAGCACTGCCTATAGTCCGGAATCTTTTACAAAAGAGTACCTTGTAATCCGACAAATTACGTATCCAATAGTACGATTATATATGTTTTGTATATGTATGTACCTTGAAGTACAAATCATACATAGTTTATGTATGTCGAATTTAGTAAATTAAATAACAATAGACGTTTTATTATAAAATTAAGCATAAATGCACATACATATGTTCCATAATAATCAAGAATTATTAATCAAAATCATTAATGAATTTATCAAAATATGAAGCTTGGAAATATTCATCAATTTTTATTTTGTTTAAGGTTGTAATAACGCGAGATCAGAGCTTTGTCCCTTAGTCTTCTCAAAAGTAAAAGTTCGTTGTAGGAGGTGCCATTCTCTCCAGCCCATTGTAGACCTAGCTCAAAGGCGTTAATTACGTCTTGTGCTGTGACTTGTGGAGCAGTTGCAATCACGTCGTCGTTATTTTCCTGATTGTTTGTTGTATAATTAGAAACCTCTTTTATAATCTCTTCGTCAGACATTTCATGAAAAACATTTTCCTCTTTATCCATTCCAGGTCACCAGATTTCCAAATCTTCCGGACTTATCTGTGTTTCAGTAGCGACGTTTTCTATAACTTCCGAAGTTACACTGATTTGTGGAACGTTGCTAGGAGTGGTGAGTATATCTGGCCATAACTTTTTCCAAGACGATTTAATAGTTGATGACGGTAACGCATTCCACGACTGACAAAGAGCAAAAACCAAGTCTTTCATATTAAATTCTTTTAAAGTTTTTTCTATTGGTTTGTCTTTTGATACGGCTCTCAGAAGTAGGTTTTTCTTATAGTCTTGCTTGACGAACTGAATGATATTCTGGTCCATTGGTTGAATCAGTGCAGTGCAACTTGGCGGAAGAAACATCGCAGTAATGCATTTATCCTCAGTTGTTAGTTCTTCTGCAGATGGATGACCGGGAGCGTTATCAAGAAGCAACAACGCTTTTTGAGGAAAATTATGATCTTTAAACCATTTTCTAACTTCAGGTACGAAGCATTCATCAAACCACTTTGTGAAAAGGTCTTTTGTCATCCATGCACTTTTTTGTCCGTAATAGTGTACAGGTAAATCAATGTTTCTGAATGCCCGTGGTTTATTAGATTTCCCAATGACCAGCATCTTAAGCGCATGTGTACCCGCAGCATTAGCACATGGTAGTATGGTTACACGCTCTTTACTTACTTTTCGTCCAGGTACGGATTTTTCGTTACAAGAAACGAAAGTTTCGTTAGGCATCACACGCCAAAAAAGCCCTGATTCGTCTGCATTGTACACCTGTGACGGGTCAAGATTTAAATCGTTCACCTTTTGCAAAAATCTTAATTTAAAGGGCTCTATGCAGGTGGCATCATTAGAAAGTTTCTTTCCTGTAATAGTCATTAAACGTATGCTATGACGACTTTTAAAACGTTCTAGCCATCCTTTTCTGGCCACAAAATCATCTTTTTTTGTTATTTCCTTATAAAAGAACTTAGCTTTCATGGCCAACATGGGTTCTGAAATTGGTGCATGCCTATTTCTTTCCTGAAGAAACCACATGTACAAAGCTTCTTCTTACACTTCTGGATGTTCAGCTTTCTTGAGTGTCTGTCTCTTGCCTGACCCACAGTCAGTAGTTGACACGAACTTCTTGATATTCTCGTGGTTTCTTTTAATGTCATAAATTGTAGATCGGCCTACGCCGTATTCACTTGCTAAACTACTGAAAGTTTCATTGCGATTTAAGCGGTCTAAAATATCACATTTTTCTTTAACTGTCAATATTTTGTACTTTCGCTTCTGAGTTTGTGATGACATTACAATGTAATATACACAATAAATAAATAGTAAACAATGAACGCACGCTAGCCCGTACCGTAGTCAAATTCAAACAATGCTTACGCGTCGAGCACGATAGCGGTGGTGCGTACAAGTTCTAACCTGTTCAAACCTGCGTGATCTGCATTAGCGAAGATTGTCAAATACGTATATATGTAATATTCAAAGACATGTCGGATTACAGGGGGCACCGGATTATCGGGGGTCCACTGTAGTATTATTAACCTCTCAAATAAAAAACAGCTTGGAAAAAACTCTGCGTTTTCATGTTAACCATAGATTTACCAATGGATCACCCTTTACAAGTACTCCGCGAGCCAAAAATGGCTGAAGGATCCTACCTGGAAGAGCGCCTGTCCCTTGCCAGGATAAGCGTCCGTGACGTCCTCCTTCCAATTGAGGAACGCCTCCTCGTCGACGATCTCCATGTCGTAGAGCATGACGAACCAACGGAGGAGGTGACCGCGCGGGAATGCCAGCGCGTGGAAGTGCATCTGCAACGAATAGACGGCGACCAGTTGCAGCGAGGACTTGTCGCGCAGGAACGCGTGCAGTACCGGTTGGTACCGCTTCAGCAAGCTGGTCTCCTTCTCGGCCAGCGCCTTTTCGTCGCTGCCGCAACCGTTTGATGATTCTACGAGAAAAAAAAATAATAATAATGGGTGATTTTTTTGCTAGTATTTTTTTGGCAACACTGTTTTTGACAGATGACGCGTGAATCGTGTCTTATGTCATTGTCAGACTTGTTCAGTTTGGTCTATAATTTAACCATGAATCGACTTACGAACGAACAACGCTTGCAAATTATTGAATTTTACTATCAAAATTCATGCTCGGTTAAGAGAGTGCATCGAGCACTGCTTCCAATTTATGGGCAATTTGGTCGGCCTACTGAGGGAGCTATTCGGAAGCTTGTGACTAAATTTCGAACCCAGTTTACATTATTGGACATTAAACCACCAACACACAGACGTAGAGTGAGGACTGAAGAAAATATTGCGGCTGTATCCGCCAGTGTTAGTAATGACCGTGAAATGTCGATTCGCCGCCGTTCGCAGCACTTGGGCCTCTGTTACTCCACTACGTGGAAAATTTTGCGACAGGATTTGGGTGTAAAACCTTATAAGATACAGCTGGTGCAAGAATTGAACCACACGACCTCCCACAACGTTTCCAATTTGGTGAATGGGCGCTGGCAAAGTTGGAGGAAGATCCACATTTTTATCGAAAAATTGTGTCCAGCGACGAAGCTCATTTCTGGTTGAATGGGTACGTTAACAAGCGAAATTGCCGCATCTGGAGTGAAGACCAGCCAGAAGCATTGCAACAGCTACCAATGCATCCCGAAAAAATCACTGTTTGGTGTGGATTATGGGCCGGTGGCATCATCGGGCCGTACTTCTTCAAAGACGACAATGGCCGGAATGTAACTGTGAATGGCGAGCGCTACCGTGCGATGATAACAAACTTTTTTTTGCACAAAATGGAAGAGCTGGACTTGGCTGACATGTGGTTTCAACAAGACGGTGCCACATGCCACACCGCACACGAAACAATGGCCCTATTGAGAGGCGAGTTCGGTGAACAGTTTATCTCACGTTTGGGGCCCGTCAATTGGCCGCCTAGATCGTGTGATTTAACGCCGTTGGACTATTTCTTGTGGGGCCATGTTAAGGCTAATCTCTACAGGGATAAACCAACAACGATTGACGCACTGGAAGCCAATATTGAAGCATTTATTCGTGAGATACCGGCCGATATGTTGGAGAGAGTGTGCCAAAATTGGACCTTGCGCATGGGCCATCTAAAGCGGAACCGCGGCCAACATTTACATGAAATAATCTTTAAACATTAAATTATATCGACCGTTCTTTCGACTCAAATAAAGATTTAATCGTTTTTTCAAATTTTTTGTGTTTTTTTTTTTTGAAAATCAAATCCTATACCTCTTAAAAAATCACCCGTTAAAACGTCCTCATTGAGCGAAGTTTAGCATAAGCTTAAAATGTATGTATCATCAATCAGGTTGAAAATGCTGACTCATATACAAGTCATTCATTTTGAAGATAGTCTGCTACACTTTTAGTTGCATCTGGGGAAGACTTCATGACACTAAAGAAACATGGCGGTTGGAAGTCATCAACGGTCGCTCAAGGGATAGGACAGAAATAGCTGATAAAGTGTTTAGAACGTGTGGTAGGGCTGAAATAACACCGGATCTGCGACCAAGTACATCAAAGGGAGTTGTGATGGCAGAAAAACATACAGTGCTTTTCTTCAATGTCCCCCTCCCCTTTGATTTTTTGAACGGATCAATTCAAAAAATTAAAACTTAAAGCGATGAAATTGATGCGTGGACACCATATTTTAGAGTAAAATTGACAGATGAAAATTATATGAATATAAAGTCAATACCTTTATCTACTACAAAATGGTGGTACATGTAATAAATACATGAATACAAATATTTGTTATTCTCAGGCGTATATCCAATATTGAAGCAGGTTCAGTTTCATACACCTTTTGCTTCAAATAGCCCCATAAAAAAGTCTAAAGGTGTCAAATCTTGGTAGCGAGCTGGCCATTCCACAGGACCTCGACGGCCAATCCGACGACCGAGGAAATTGTTGTCTAAATAATTCCTAACTTGTCTGTAGTAGTGTCGGTCTCTGAAAGTTACGCGTCGCACCATAAATAAAAATCGCTTCGATTTTTTCTTCCAATGGACGAGAATTGACCATTTTTTTTCAGTTTTTCTTTTTTTTTGGGGGGTTAAACTTCGCCCCCTAAATAAAGACGATTTATTGTTATTATTATTATTTTAAAAATAGTTCAAATAGTATCTAGCCCTAAAACCGACAACTAAATAAGAATATTTTAACTGTACAATGTTTGTTTTCGTACTGATATTCTTGTCACTGTCAACAAAAAATAACAAAACAAGTTTTTATCGCTGTTGCTGTGGATACGGCAGGTAATTACAATTGTTTGTAGAGATTTGCATGTTAGTGGGTTTGTGATCAAGTGCCACCATTTTGTAGTGGGTAAAGGTATCGACTTTATATTCTAGGGTTATAAAGTACTCGTCAGGAGATTCAAAATGATGTGCCACAAGACCCCCATTTTCATATAATTTCTTATCAAAGATGGCGCCCAGCGGCCATCTTGATATTTTCATCTGTCAGTTTTACTCTTAAATATGGTATACACGCATCAATTGCATTACCTCAAGTAGTAATTTTTTGAATTGATCCGTTCAAAAAGCAAAGGGGAGGGGGACACTAAAGAAAAGCACTGTATAATTTCAATACAAGAAAATTCGACTGTTGTACCGAATAGTTTAAGGAACGTGTCATTTATGCAATGCACATTTAATAATTGTACTGTCAATATAAAGGAAAAGTAACTTTATTATATAATAAAATATTCTAGAATTAAATAGCTCTTCATTTGCTTATGTGTTTATACAATATCCGGGAAAAAGTACCCATTCGGAGAAAAAAGTATGTAATTTCATAAAAAGTGACATTTTGTTACCTGTCAACAGAGATACAATGTCAAAATTTTTTCATGTCCGTCACAGAAAAAACATATTTTTATTCATTAACTGGAATGAAAGCACCGTGTTTTCATACGGAATTTTCTATACAGTATTAGGAAACTTAAAGATACAGTATATGGTTGAATGCGCTTATTGACATAAAAATATCTCACCTTGAGTAATATACTTGAGTAACACAGTCATGAGCGCATTAATGAACCCGGGGTCGTTGAAATTGGACGGCTCCAGGTTCTCCTTAATCCACTTGTAGAAGGACTGCGGGTTCGGATCCGCCTGCAGCTGCTTCGCCAGGTCCGCCTGGATGCGCAGCAGCGGATACAGGAATGTTAGCTCGCGTTCTTCTAAAATTTCCGACAGCCGTTCTTTTGTCTTGTCGGCCTCGGGCAGTTGAGCGATCAGATTTATCTGGAACAAGGAACAAATCGCGTCAACAACCGCTCGCCGATGGAAATATCACGTGAAGCGCTCGAAATATATCTGTATTTTACAGGTTGTGTATTCAATGAATACTTAGTGCGAGGTCTAAAAAGCGAGAAAAGTGAAAATAGCGCGATATCGATTTCGCTGCTGCACCTGGGAAGAAGACAGCGTTGCCTAATGTGTAATATTTCGTAACACAACCTGTACGACCTCCTTCCCACTTCAGTTGGCCCAACTATTGAAATCTTTTCTTATCAACAATGAATATTTTGATAATATATAGTAGAAAACACCAACTTTATCACTCCCTAATCAAATTTGCAGCATAAAACACATGTTGCAATTACAGCATATCAACCTATTTTCATTTCAATGCAAAATAAGTCTATAACGCATAGGTGGCTGTGAAAAATAAAAGCCATGACAATTGTTTTTATTAATCACAGCTGTCAGAATACGTTTAAAATAATTTTGAGTAGTTAAGGATTTCAAAATGGGTAGAGGAAAGGTTATTAGTGAGAAAATTCGGTTACTGATAATTAAATTTTTTAATTCTGGGTAATCAAACTCAGAAATTGCAACTTTGTTAGACTTATCGCGGTACAGTGTAAGAAATATTGTTAGAAGACATAACGTAACTGGTTCAGTTAATATTAAGCAACGATATGTGAAAAAAAGTAATATCACGAATGCCGACCGAAGAGCATTAAGAAGAATAATAGTGAAAAACAGGCGCGCCAGTTGTTTACAATCAAGTGCTCTGTGGAGTGACGCTGTTGGAAGGAGAATTTCGAGGTCCGCAACTCATAGGGAGGCCCACAAACTGGGATTTAGCACTTGTAGCAAATGTGCAGTAATGGACTAAAGTATATAGACAAATTTGACAGTGGGCAAAGTGTACTTGGGGTTCAACGAAATGAACACCATCTGATCCAAACATATTGAACTTGGATTCGTCACTGAAACATACCCTCTTCAAGTCACAGATGCAACCGTGCAAATTGTAATCGGTCCTTACGGTTTTTCTTCGAGATTAGTGGCTTCTTACTAGGGCGACGTGCAAATAACTTCAAATCATTTAATCTTCTACTTATAGTTTTCGTAGAAACACTGGCAATTCCTTTTGTCTCGATTTTGGTTCGGAGTTTCAAACGGATCTTTGGTCGAAATTACTTTTATTAATCTAACTGATCTAACATTTAGTTTTCTAGGCCGACCACTTCTCTTAGAGGCTTCCAAGATACCTTTTTGTTTATATTTGTTTAATATTGCCCAAACTGCTTTACGCTTCAGTCTTCAAATTTTTGGTAATGTCGACTTGACGTTGACCATCTTCGTATAACTCAATGATCTTAGTTTTCACGTTGAAAGAAATTTCTGGACCACGCGGCATGGTCTTAAGAACACTCAACTTATTCCACAATACTTGATGAACACAAACTAATTTAGTTTTTCTACTAAGAACGCATTTGTTTATGGAGCAGTGAAGTATGAATTCGTTTTTTAAAGGTATTTACTGTACCTAAATATTTAATTGGTTCAACATTTTCAATTATTTCTCCATTTATCCTAACTGTGATAGTATTTTCATTTAGGTATTTCCCTATTAGCATACATTTTGTTTTAGAAGTATTCAATTTTAGTTTATTTACATTTAACCAATTTATATTTTTTTTCCAAGTCAGAATTTAGCATTTTTAAAGCAGTGTCTATATTTTCATCCGATATGTATATTAATGTATCATCTACAAATATCTGAAGTTTACAATAATCTAAAATATTACAAATGTCATTAATGTATAAAATAAATAGTAGTGGACCTAGTTTTCTACCTTGTGGTATACCAACAGAAATATTTTTTTATCTAAAACTTTCTAAATCAAAGTTTGGGCAAAAGTTTATCGTTCCTCGATCGCAATATTTATTTTTTGAGCTGTTAGAGTAAAATGGAAAAAGTTAGACGATATGCTTCACCAAAATACAGCCTGTCAAAAATCATCGATTCTTTCGAGTAGTGAATTCAAATCTAAAAAAAAAAACTCACCTTGCTCTTATTGAATATCTCGGACAGCTCCGACTTGCCCCTCTTCTTGTGTATGTGCTGTAATACTAAAAGGAACAGCGGATAGTGCGCGCCGTTTTCCGTGAGCGCCGCCACGTCCGAAATCGGCACCAGATGTTCGCAAATCGCCGTCGCGAACAACACGGACGCGCTCACTGTCACTTTGTCGATCTCGTTCTCGCGCTCGTCCACCAGATGGCACAGCGACTTGAACGCGTCCTGCACGATGCCGCCGTTCACCAGGTTGTCCTCTTTCAGGTTGCTCAACAGCTTGATCAGCTTCTCCTGTTCGATATCTGAAAGCGGGAGAATAGACACGTTTATCGACTGTCCAGCGAAAAGGGGAAGGGTGTAAAATTCATTGATTTTGACAGCTTGCAGAACTCGTCAAAAGAAGTTGGAAGGATACCGGGGAAAAAGGGCATTAGTCCATTATTTCGCTAAATTGAGATTTCAGTTTATTTTGGTGGCATTTTCCTGATGCTATCTTGTAATCAGCTTCTTAAATTGTAAAAAGGGCCTAGGTTCACAAAACAACAGCTATAAGATTCCCTGTGCCGGGGAAGAAAGGCATGAGTAGTTACCTCCGAGAGTACAAGGCCAAACAACTGGGCTCTGAAAAGCCTGTGACGTCACGCAAAGTAGGCTTATGCATGTTTCCATTTCTCTGCGCTGTTGTCATATCTAGATTTGATATAGCAGTATCGAAATTTCTACTAATTAGTTGTACCTCGCTGTGGGCGAATTTGCAAGATGTACTCGGGACCTGCGCAGCTTCAGTGATGATGTGATTATTCTTTCTGATCTGCCTCAGTATTTCAAGAATACATTTTCGATATTACGTTCAATCTGTCACTTGCGAAGTCTAATATTCCATGCAAAATTGGAATATGTGGCAACCTTGGTAACACCCAACAGCCAACTAACCTCACATTCTGAGCCCCTGTTATATCTCTTTCTATGCTATGTGAACTGAAAATTATTGATGTTTTAAACTTATATTTGTGTCTCGCGATTGTTTAGCTAAGCTTTCAAAATACGTTACAAGTGCTGCGTTCCTAACTGTGCCGGTAATTACGGGAAGGGTCCGAAGATACACGTATTTTCGTTTCCATTGAATGAAAACTGTCGTAAAAGATGGCTCGATGCAATCCCTCGTAGTGATTTAGTGGTTACAAAAACACCAGAGTATGCAATTTGCACTTTGCTGAGGACAGCATCATTTAGGAATCCACCTTCCATGACGAAAAGACAGGTAGGACCATTACTGTACCCCTTAAGTATCCAATATTAAAGGCAGATGTGCCTCACAGTGACGAAAATCCTATTCCAAAACCCCCAGAATCCTACACTTGCGAATCAGAAAACGAATCAGATCATGGCGATCGAGTGATTCGTCAGGAAGAAGATATGCCATCAACGTCAAGAGATCCTGATTTTATACCGAGCACGTCATGCCACCAACCGCACAAAATAACACAGTCAGAATTAAATGATCTTGTAAGAGATTTAGAACTGAAGGCAGAGTTACTTGGATCAAGACTGCAGCAATGGAACTTATTAGAAAACGATGTTTCGGTATGTGTTTTTCGTAAACGCCACAAGGACTTAGAACCGTTTTTCAATATGGAGAATAACTTGGTTTTCTGCAGTAACATTAACGGCTTACTGGCGGCTTTAAATATAAACTATAACCCAGAAGAATGAAGATTGTTTATAGACAGTTTAACATTGAGTTTAAAGGCAGTGTTATAGCATATTGGAAATATTTTACCATCTCTTCCTGTAGGGTATGCAGTTCACATGAAAGAATCATATGAAAATATGAAGTACCTATTGACATGCATAAAATACGATGAGCACCAATGGCATATTTGTGGCGATTTGAAAGTTGTTGCACTTTTACTTGGGCTGCAGCTAGGCTACACAAAGTTCTGCTGTTTTTTGTGTGAATGGGACAGTCGGGCAAAGGCACTTCATTACATCAGACAAAACTGGCCTGTTCGTCAATTCCTAGAGCCAGGTCAAAAAAATGTACAGCATATGCCATTAGTAGATTCGAAAAAAAATTTATTACCACCACTGCATATCAAGTTGGGCCTAATGAAAAACTTTGTCAAGGCATTAGATAGAGATGGGTCAGCTTTTCAATACCTGCGTCAGAAATGTCCAAGACTAAGTGAGGCAAAGGTTAAAAAAGGTAATTTTGTTGGGCCACAGATTCGAAATATTTTGAAAGATACACAGTTTGAAAACACTTTAACAGGTATTGAAAAAACTGCTTGGAATGATTTCCGTCTGGTGGTCACTAATTTCTTGAGAAATAGAAAAGCTGACAACTATAAAACCCTTGTCAAAAATATGCTGTCATCGTATCAAAAGATGGGCTGTAATATGTCTCTTAAGATACATTTCCTACACTCACACCTGGACTTTTTTCCTGATAATTGCGGAGCCGTAAGTGATGAGCACGGCGAACGTTTTCATCAGGATATTTCAACAATGGAAAAAAGGTACCAGGGAAAGTGAAATCCTTCCATGCTTGCAGACTACCGTTGGACTCTTGGTAGAGATGCTCCAGAAACGATCCATAAAAGAACAGCAAAAAGATAGCGCATATAGTGATTCTTATAAGTATATGAATCTTGTTACTTTTTATTTCCTTAAAAATAAAGTTTTTTTCTAAACTGCAACTAATTTTTTTATTTCATTGTCATTTTTGGATTCAGCGCCCCAAAATTAACAAAGAAGTGCACTTTTCCCACAAGATACAATTAAAAAACTAAAATTTGTTGTCCAGTGATATTCGAAAATAAAATGCTGGCGAAAATCCAAATAAATTTCACCGGTCAGAAAACGGTACTTACCTGACTTGTCCAAAGCGACAGACAGGCCACTTAGAATAACTTCTTTAGCGAACTTGTCGGGAACTTTGTGTTCCTTGTAAGAGTTAATAGCTTGTTTTAAATCTACTTCCCCTTTCCAATACTCTTCTATCAACGAATTGAACTTTTTCAATACTTCTTCTTTACTCGGCCCCTGAAACAGAAAAAATTACGTCGAGCAGGTAGACTATGCACTTAAAACCTCTGAGACAAAGCCAGAACATGTATAGCAGAGAAACTAAAAAGATCAAGTCAGTCGTGACTTGTCGAAGAAATATAATTGTGAAGATTGATAAATTCGCTATATTTCTGGGCGTTCCCACGGGTCCGGCTAAGGATATTTGAATATAATGCAAACCATTACATGTACAGTAGCTAGCTGAAAAAAGTTTGGAAACAAATATTAACTTTATTATACATATATACCCTGGTATAACAAGAATATTAAGGCAGCTCAAAATTTGATAGACAAACAATACAATAAATGTATATTCACAAAATCAAATGATGATTGGGAGGTATATAAAACTGTTAGGAATAAATGTGTATATGTAATTAGAGAAGAAAAAAGGAAATTCTACGATAAACAAATCGATAATAACAAGTGCGACAGATATGGAAGACTTTAAAAAGACTGATCAATTCGAAGCCGCATGATTGTGTAAATCAAGTTCAATTCGAAAACGGTACCGAAACAAATTCTTTGGTGATTGCAAACAAACTAAATGAATATTTTGTGGAAAGTATTGTTGATATTGTGGGTACTGCCAATGCTGCACCTGACTATATGAAAATCAGTTTCCAGGGGGAAAGGTTGCATACACTTTCAAAATTTCACACCGTATCATTGAATTATCTAAGAAAAAAAGTAAACAGTTTAAAATCAAATAAAAACTGTGCCGAAATCACTACTAAAAACGTGCTGAAAAACTGTTTCGAAATTTTGGGATATCCTGTATTAAATTGGATCAATTGTTCACTGAGAAGCAGTTCTTTTCCTGAAAATTTGAAATGCTCTACAATAACACCAGTTCCCAAAATGAAAAATTCTAAAAGATGCAGCGATATGAGACCAGTAAATGTGTTACCAGACATTGAAAAATTATTAGAGTCCATAATGCATGACCAATTGATGCAGTTTATAGAAGAAAACAAAATTTTAGTTGAGGCGCAACCAGGCTTTTGAAAAAAATATTCCACAGAAACAGCTTTCCAGTTGGTAACTGAGAATTGGAGAAGAGCCATAGACTCAGAAGAAGTTGTCATAGCAGTATTTTTGGATTTGAAGAGGGCATTTGAAACGATTGATAAAGATATTTTGTTAGGTAAATTGAAGGCATATGGTATATCAGGAAGTCTTTTAGATTGGTTTAGAAATTATTTGTCTAAAAGGATGCAAGTTACAAAAGTTAATGACACTATTTCATCAAAAATTGAAAATACGTTGGGTGTTCCACAGGGCAGTATCCTGGGACCACTTCTTTTTATTTTATACATAAATGATTTACCTGCCATAGTCAAAAAATGCAAAATTCAGATTTTCGCCGATGACACTATGATTTATATAAGTACTAAAAATATTCAGTCTGGTATCTCTTATATAAATGAAGACTTGAAGCTTGTCTCAAAATGGTTAGCATCTAACAGACTAAAATTAAATGCAAGTAAAACGAAAGCCTTGTTAATCGAAAAAAAACAATGTACAAATGTTCAACTGAATATTGATGGTGAAGATATTTAATTCGTAGAAAATTTTAAATACCTGGGGGTTTTTGTTGACTCTCGATTAATTTTTGATATTCATTATAAAAAAGTTATAAATAAGATTAGTAGTAAAGTGGGATATTTATCGAGAATTTCTGGATGTCTGAGTTCATATAGCAGAAAAATTATCTATAATACCATCATTCTTCCAAATTTCTTGTACTGTTCGACTATTCTATATTTAGCAAATAATTCCATTTTTGAAAGACTGCAAATTTTACAAAATAAGTGCATGAGAATAATACTGAATAAAGATAAATATACTCCAATTAGGCAAATGCTTAGCAAATTAAAATGGCTCAATGTAAAATTTTTTATCAAATATCTTGTAATGATAGAAATAAAGTAAAAAATAATATATTTCCATCAAGTCTAACTAATTTAACATCATAAAATGTCGACCATCATTTACATAATACCAGAAATAAAGATGACTTCCATTTAATGACCAAAAAGTATAACATATGCTACAAATCTGTATTCCATCAAGGGTTGATTGAATATAATAAATTATACTCGGAGATAAAAGACCAGAAAACTTTGACAAAATTTAAAGTAAAATTGAGAAATCACTTGTTAAATCTACAATTATAGGTTGCCCAGCATTTACATCATACACCATATGGCTTGAATTTACTAGTTCTAAGTTGTTTACAATTATTCTGTTTATGTAGCCAAATGTGCTAAATAAATCTTTCTACTACTACTACTATTATGAACTATTTCATATATCTAAATTAAAATTGTGAGGGAGCAGATATAAATATTAAAGTCTCTCTTTGTCTCCCGTACTAATACTGGGTGCGCCATCTATTACTTTTTTTTACCTATAAGTTTATGTGTTACCATGCGAGTCAAAAGTCATGTCGTATGCACAAATGAACTGTCAAAGGCATGCCATTTATAGTCATGGATTCGTTTACAACACAACAACGCATTTACGTTATCCAAACTTATTACGAAGACGGTCGAAATATAAAAAATACTTTTCGCAAACTTCGCACTAGTTTTGGCCGACATGGACGCCCTACAGAGCCTGAAATTAGTTGGATTGTTAATCGTTTTGAGGAAACTGGTTCGTAGACCATACCAACATGCTCGTCCAGCTCGTACTCGTGAAAACATAGCCGCAGTGAGCGAAAGTGTGCGAGAAGATCCAACCACCTCGACTGGGCACCCTTCGCAACAATTGGGAATTAGTGAGACCACTTTACGCAGGATTTTACTCATTGATTTACACCTCTTCCTACAAGAATTGAAGCCGGCAGATCATCAACAGCGGTGTGTTTTTGTTAATTGGATCCTGGAAAGAGAAGACGGATTTTCGGCCAAACTGCTCTTTTCTGATGAGGCTCATTTTCACCTCAACGGGTACGTAAATAAGCAAAATTGCAGATTCTTTGTCTATATACTTTCATCCATTACTGTATATGAGAAAAAAGATATAGAAGTATAAAAAAGTAGCGCTCTTTCTAAAAATTACTCACAATGTTTCCAAACTTTTGTCCGCTACTGTATCTGTATGATATGTAATTGTAGTTTTTTTAAAGAACGCTATTATTGCCACAATCCCGCTAAATAAAAATTGTATTACAGAAATAACACAAAAAGGCGATCTTACTTTGTCCTTCTTCGACTGCTTCGGCTTTTCAGCGGGCACCTGCTTAATGGGCAGCGGCTCCTTCAGCATCGCCGTCGGCGGCGTTTTCAACGGCGCGGACGTCGTGTACGTCGCGTGGTGCGGTTCGATCATGCGATTGTTGTTCATGTTGTTCGCCTTCAGAGACGACGCTTTCGTGATCAGCATCGAATTGGGGCGCAACTCCACTTCTTCCATTTCATCTTTCGACACGATCAGGTTGTTCTTTTTGAAACGCGGCGCCACCTCTTTGTTGGACTCTGAAACGGAGAATCAAGAGCAAGTTGGCATTTAATGTTTTAGTTCATCAAGTTTTGTCTAGGTTTTTTAATTTAATCCAATTATTTCTGATACTCTTGAAAATATGCACAACATCATAAGTTAAATATATGTTCTTATCAGGATTATGTGGATTTGGAATAGAATAATTTTCTGATGAATCCTTTGCTAATTTCCTGAACATTGCTCTATTAATTCGGTGATTATCAGTAACAACACAAATAACTTCAAATCCACATTTTTGAACTAAATTTATCACATGTTCAACCAAAGGTGTCATTTCATCTCCTGTTAGATTTGAAACTGGTAGTAATTTGATAATTTCTGTTATGTTTCCAAATGCTGAAGATAGCATGAAGGCTAAAACAGTTTTAGCCATGTCATTTTTATTTGAGGCATACCCAACAATGTTTTGTGAGCGATAATCCAGCCTAGATGTTATATAAATTTCATCGATCATCAAAATTACAATTTTTTCTCTTGGAGCTAATTTAATTGCTATATTCGAACGGTAGTGTTCATTATTCCTATCATTTTTTGGAGATATATCCATACTTGAGGAGATATGTTGTAAGTATCGCTTACTTGGCAAAATAAAAAATCTTTTAATTAAATTATATGTTGATGATGAGTGGTTATAAAACGTAAAAGCCATTATTATTGAAAGTGATGCATATCTGTTTTTCCTGTTTTGAATTTGTGTCAGCTGATCAGCAATAATCTCTAGATTTTTTGTATATGGAAACATAACTGAGTCATTATTAATTATGGAAATCGCTGTGTCAAGTTGTTCCAATGCAAACTTCAACAGAGTTTTTGTGTTGGTTCTCAGAAAAATAGAAAAAATACCTATTTAGCAGGTTTTCTAATTGGGACCATCTGGTAATTTTGAGATCATATGGCAAAACCCACTTCAAGTCACTAAAAGAAAGCTTACATCCTTTTTGAACAACCTGAACTTCCATCTGACCATCAACTATAATCTGCGTATTCAAAGTTAAGATATCATTTTCAAAATCCAATTTATAAAAATATAGCTTTCCATCAGATAATTTATTATTCCATTTCTGTGAGGCTTTAATTTTTGAAAATGAAGAATGTAATTCTTGAAAGTCTTTGATCTTATCCATATCATCGAAATTCTGGATAGCTTTTTCATGTTTCTCAATTAATTTTTGTTTTCTTCGCATTGGGTCAGTTCTTTTGGGTGCTTCAGTTTTTGAAAGATATGATGGCAAGTTTGGGAAAATGGAGGGAACAGCATTTTCTTTCAATTTTGGATATTTCAAAGGTATATTATTTTGGACTGTTCCATCCGCCAAAACTATATTTTCTGTCCTGATGATATCCGATTCTCTAAAATGACGACTGCACACAGCTGAATATTTTGAAGGTGTCCAATTTTTTCTGGGAATTGCCATAAGCCATTTGTTTTTCAGACTTTCGGTACTTGGGAAGCGAAAAGTTGAAACATAGCTTTCTGTTTTCAAAGCAGAATTATAGTTTGCATTGCATAAAGGAACACAGCAACAACGAGGCATATTGTCTGCATCAAATACTTGATAAATGAAAAAAGAAAAATACAACCTGAATTTGCACGTTTTCAATAGTTGAAATCCTTAGCATCCTGAGGCGCGAACAGCCACAGTCACACTTATTAGTTTATTTTTAAAGCACAGAAGCACTACAACTGGAGTCTATTTCTCATATATTATAGTCACCGATCACTTTGAACACATACACACACTTTGAAGCTTAGAAAATAAGCTTATCTCTTAATTACAGCCTCTGCGATTCCCAAATCACAAATTAAAAAGGTTATGTTTTCTCAGCGTTTTGAGCGGCGAGAGTAACACTACCACCTACGTTGCCAGATTTCTTTGTTCACGGCTCGTAGTTGACGTCGGCTGTGGTATAAGTTTGCCTTTAATCTGTGTTGAAACCAGTGGATTCTTACAGAACGGGCATTTTCTAACGACCAAATATGTTCATTACAGAATTAAAGGTTCCACTCCTCGTAAAAAGCAATTCATCAGACCGCAAAACCAAATGAATAAAATCTGCATTTTGATTATGCATTTGCAGTAACCGATCACAAAAAATTCGCTGTTGCACTTCGTCGCCGGGTTGCAGATATATAATATGGTAAAACTTACGATTATATTGTGAATTATTCTGGTTGTGCTTATATTGGCCCCTCTGGTTGTTGTTATAGTTGTTGTAGCCGCTGCGTTGATTATTGTGGCCACGGAAACTGCCGTCCCTTTGGCCGGCGAAACCGTTGTGGCCAAACGGTGTGGTCGGAATCAGTGTGGGAGTTGTCGGCGCCAAATTTATGCCTATAGATAGAAAGAATTTATACATATCGCTTGCAATTATGTACTGCTGGATTATATCTTGGAAATAACCTAAATATGTTTATAAATATGGGGTTGTCCAGAACGGACGCAGGAAAGTAAACGCATATTAAAACAAGAAAGATTGATATTCAAATCAAGTTGGGTACTTTATTTTGAAGGTTCATTTATACCATTTATGTATGAAAAATAATATCGCTCAAATGTTCACCCCGACTGGATTTACAGACGTCCACGCGATGGTCGAAATTTTCAATGACATTTTGCAACATGGTCGGTTCTATGGCATTTATCTCGGCAATGATGTTGTTTTTGAGCTCTTGGAGGGTGGCTGGTTCGTTGACGTAGACTTTGCTTTTCAAATATCCCCATAAAAAGAAGTCCAAGGGAGTCAAATTGCACGATCTTGGTGGCCATGGCACATTTCCTCTGCGCGAAATCACGCGATCACCGAAGAAGGACTGCAATCGATGGATATTGACGTTGGTTGTGTGGCATGTTGCACCGTCTTGTTGGAAATAAACATCGTCCATATCCATTCCTTCAAGTTGCGGCAAAAAATAGTCCTCTATCATCACGTGATATCGCTCAGAATTGACGGTAACGGCGTCCCCGGCCGCATTTTCGAAAAATTAGGTCCGATGATGCCTTTTGACCACAATGCACACCACACAGTCACTTTTTGAGGATGCATCGGCTGCTCACGGGGATTTTCGTTCGCCCACATGCGGCAGTTTTGCTTGTTTACCGTCCCATTCAAAGTGAAATGCGCTTCGTCGCTGAACATGATTTTTGATGAAAAATTGGCATCAATTTGGCGGTGTTCAAGGAGCCAATCTGAGAACGTTCGGCGCGAAAAATGGTCGACCCGACGCAGCTCTTGCGTCAATTGGATCTTGTAGGCGTGTACATTCAAATCCTTGTGGAGAACGCGGAGCAAACTGGTTCTCGAAATGCCCAATTCTTGGGATCGACGCGTTGTTGATTGTTTCGGATCGTCTCTCACACTCTCCTTCACAACAGCAATATTTTCCGGTGTGCGAACGCTCCTTGGCCGGCCAGAGTCTGGCAGATTTGCCACAGAACCTGTTGCCTCGAATTTACGCACCAGACGACCGATGGTTGTTTCGTTTGGGCGGTTGTTGCGACCGAAATGTTCACGAAGCGCGCGAAACGTGTTTTTTATTTTTGCACCATTTTTGTAGTGCTCTTGAATAACTTTAATGCGGTCTTCAACCGAATACGACTCCATAGCGATCAATGGTAAACATTCAACTAACAAAATGACATGTCGGTGACAGAAAACAAAGATGGCGTCTATGTCAAATTGACGTTTACTTTCCTGCGTCCCTATTGGATAACCCTTTATAAAAACTGGTGTTTGCAAACATTTCGAGACATGTTTTAATCGGTAAATTTAGCATAATAAGAGGTGTAGAAGAATCTTAATAACACTGCCTCTCCGGTAACATCGTTCGTTTGACGGCGGTATTGAGACGAGTTCCTCCTACTGTCCTAGCACGGTGGTACCGTGGTGTACGCGCACGAGACAGCGTGGTGGAACCGGAAAGAGATTGGAGATTCCTTTACCAATCCGCGTTGTTTCACTTGAACGCCGCCAGATGGAGAATCAATAACAAAGGAACGGTGACGTGGGTCGATTTAAATAGAGTCTAGACTTCAACACGTTCGCTGCCAATAAAATGTTGTTACGTGTAGTGAGGGGCCAAGGGGATTTTTAATTTTCTTTTTGACTGAAAACTGCTTTAAATGATAATAAAAGAGAGATATAATATTTTTGGCTCGCCAGATGGCGACGCTGGCACTATAAAGTTCTCAAAAATGCCTATTCGCCCGTCCGAACTATACTAGCTTTGCCACCTGAACTGAAGCACCATATACTAATAGAGTCTAGACATCAGTAGGCGGAAGTGGCATTGAACGTGTTAAAGGGCAATGTCCAATATTGTGCACATGACAAGAAACGGGCATTCTCTTTCAGTTTTTTTTTTTCATGTCTACTTACCCATCAGCATATCATCGAGCCCGCCTCTGGTTTTCATGGGATGTCTGAACAATTCATTTACTCCGCCTCGATCGTCTCTATCTCTTCCATCTCTGTCGCCGCTGCCTCCGCCATGGCCTCTTCCTCCTCTCGACATATTTCTGGCAATGGCAACAAACAGTTCATATATGTTCATATGAAATATGAACGATTAATAATATTATTATATTGCTTTCCGCCCCCTATATCGTCAGAATCGACGGCGTCTAGCGGTCACACTGGTGATTCGGCTGTCGACGCGAACTGAGATACTTTACAGCATTGGCTGATTTTTTAAGAGGTATAGGATTTGATTTTCAAAAAAAAAACACAAAAAATTCGAAAAAACGATTAAATCTTTATATGAGTCGATAGAACGGTCGATATAATTTAATGTTTAAAGATTATTTCATGTAAATGTTGGCCGCGGCTCCGCTTTAGATGGCACATAATGAGCTGAGGAAACGATTCTGACCGTTAGAATTACCGTCAAATTTCGAAAAAGTAAACTTTCAGCGCCTCAAAGGTACCGATGACAGCCGTTTTTCGGCGTACTTTGCCTTCGTCGATACGTACCTTCGTTACGGATCGACATAGCTACGATTTTTTTTCGCAAAACGAAAGACCAAAGTCTCCTGATTAAACCGACATACGACACGTTACCCGATCGCATTTTTTAAACTCGGCAGATTAGAAAATTCAAAGATAAGCAGATATTTTTAGTTTGAAGTTTCAATTTTGATTTTCGCTCCAGATTCGCGATTCCTGTTAGGCGGGGTATTGTAGGTATGATCGTATTACGAAAGCGAGCGCGTGCAAGCGGAACGTCAAAAACGTGCCATTTTCGGCTTCATGACTATCGCTTCATCCAATATTGGATCACGCCAAATAGAATTGTCCTTTTTTACGCGTGAAAATCAACATTTTCGAATAGATTCAGAATTTCTATATTCTATAGTTCAAACGGTACCGGACTATAGGAATATTCATTACAACAATCAAGTAGGTTGCGATGTTTACAGGCAGTTGGTGTTAGGCTTTGACGTTTAGCGGTTGACAGAAGTGATCATCAGTTTGAATACGATAAAAATGATTGTAAGACCTTATTACTGCCAAAGATCAATTCCTGAAGAGACCAGAAATCTAGAATATAGAAAGACTTTCTACTTATAACAGTGTGTGTATTGTGTAGTGATACCCGGTGCCGAGTGTTTACAGTTTTTCGGTTCAGACGAAGTGCCTCAGTGTATATCTATCGTGATAATGTATTTCATCTTTGAAGAAGTTTGAGAGGTACCCTTATTAATCGTCAGCAGATTTAAATAAGGTAAAAATAATTTTCATTCCTGTCAAATCGGAAAACATTTACACTGCAGAAAGAACAGTCCCGTGCTATCCTTAGGCGAACACGGCTGACATATGTCAGTGTCAAGCGCCATTTTTTTGTAAGTCGTGTGGTAGCTAGACTTATGCGACGTTGCCGGATCCTCAGATAAATCTGAGTTTGTCATACAATTTTATAGAGGGCATTAATGCTATATCGAAGATTTTATAATGCCATTGTGTGCTATTAATGGTGACACATGCGACGTTGCCGGCTCCTCACATAAATCTGAGTTTGTCATACAATGTTATAGACGGCATTAATGTTATAACGAAAAATAAAAAATGAAAAATGAAAACTGATAACTTATAAAAGATAACAGATAACAGGTAACAGATAACTGACACCTGACAACTGATAACAGATACCAGACACCAGATACCAGATCCCAGATATCAGATACGAGACACCAGGCTCCAGATACCAGATACCAGATAAAGGATGACCTATAACTTATAACGGATAGAGGATAACGGATACCAGATAACACATAACAGATACCAGATAACACATAGCAGATAATAGATACCAGACACCCGATACCCGTTACCACATACCAGATAACAGATAACTTATAACAGATAAAAGATGACAGATAACAGATAAAAAGTAACAGATAAAAGGAAACAGGTAACAGATAACAAATAACTGATAACTAACAACTGACAACTGATAACTGAAAACTGATAACTGTTAACTGAAAACTAAAAAATGAAAACTGAAATCTGAAGAATGAAATATGAAATATGAAAAATGAAGAATGAAACATGAAAAATGAAAGATGAAAAATGAAAACTGATAACTTATAAAAGATAACAGATACCAGATCCCAGATAACATATACCATAAAATGAAGAATGAAACATGAAAAATGAAAAATGAAAGATGAAAAATGAAAACTGATAACTTATAAAAGATAACAGATACCAGATCCCAGATAACATATACCAGACAGGGAGCATGTGAAAATGAAGCTAAAAGGAAAACGATTAGGACTGACTTGGCAGAGCTGGTTTTGGCTGATGGGAAGATGGTATTGAATGTGGTGGAAATTACTTTGAACGAAGTCAGTAAATAGCTGTATTGCAAAACTAAATACTAATATTTTGCACACAAATTTCTTTGACCGTTTTTTAATAACAAAATCCCTCGATTTTAATTAAAATAAGAGAAATACGAAAAATGTCGCCTGTACTTACCTATAAGCCGAACCGCCCTGTCCGCCCATCATGAGCAGCTCGTCCTGCGACGGCCTGAGCTGGCCGATCGGCACCGGCCCCTCGACGACGGCCGCCTTCCTGGGCACCCAACCGTCGCTGCGCAGGTCGATCACGTCCTTCAGCATGAACCTGATTCGCGGTTGCAGTTCTTGGTTCTCCGCCAGTGATTTCATGCGGCCGAAATATTGGTTCATCAGGTTCTTGCCCTTGTTGGTGTCCAAGACGCGGCCGCAGGTCCGCATAATCTGGCACAGGCACTCCAGGTCTTCGGATGGATCGTCGCCCCTTTTGACCAACAGCTCGTGGATGCACCTACGGAAAACATTCGATTCAAATTTTATTGAAACGATGCATAAATCGACTTATGACCCGGGAGCTGGTAGCATTCAGTACACCTTCATCGCGGATTCGACTAAATTTAGTAATAATATATAGTTTTTAAGTAAATGAACAAGAAGACGGCCTTCAGAAGTACCTGTCATACTGACTTAAAGATACAACGTGACAAGATAATTTCACCGTCCTCACCGAATCCAATGAAGCCTACAAGGTTTGATGGAAATTTTAGGCTCATTTGGAAAAGCATGGTATGACAAACTGATTTCCGCCACAAGTTTCTGAAAGCTCTTGCAGGCAAATCAAATAGATAAAAATAATACAATAGTCATTTGGTAATTCAACAACGCTATTTCTCAGTTTTCTTTAAATGCAACCGTGTACAGAGTCACATCTCATTTGGGTGTGTTCTTTGGTGAGATATTTCTGAGAAATCACGTCGTGTTTCATTGCAAATGTCCCATTTTAATCTCACAATCTAAATATTTTGAAAACTACGCAGCATAGACGAACCAAAATGACGGTGATCTTGACCACGACCTTGAGGTAACTTAAGGTAAATCGGAATGGGCCATTTGAATCATATCTAATTTCACATGCGTATTCAGTCCAGAAATGCTTCGTTTCCGAGATTTCACTTTGAAAAAAACGATTAATAAAAAAAGTCCAAAAACTGTTGCGCGTCCATGATACAAGAAGCTTGTTGTCTAGGTAAATCGAGTGCGTAAATTTCGATTTCGATGTCAATTCACCCCGCATCCGGTCCGTTGAAACTTTAGAATTTTTTCACTGTAATTTCTATTTTATGTGTTCGTTTGACGAATAACCGAATAGTCAAAAGATTGTGTTTACCTATGCAATATGCTCTCCGATAGTATTTCCAATTTACCCAATTCTCCGATGAATTTGATGTTGCCGAGCATTTTCCGCTTGGCCGCCTGCCGGCGTTCCTCTTCCTCTTCGCTGCCCGCTTCAGTGCCATTGAATTCGACCGCGGCTGCCCGATTGTCGAATTCCACCTGAAAACGCAAAACGTATACGGAATTTAGCGATCAATTAACCGCATATTTTCAAAATTACAAATTCTACAAAATAAAGCTATGAGAATCATTTTAAATAAAAACAAATATGCTAGGATTAAGTCTATGTTAGAAGAACTGCAGTGGTTCGATGTGAAAAATTTAAATCCTTCCCGTATTGGTTGCTAGCATCATAATTGTGTTTTCAGCTCCTGATGAAGGCTCCATAGCGAATTGCCGAAAGCTAGAGATTATCGTCAAAAGAGTTAACTAAAGCCTAAAAATTTTGCCAATTTTCCAATTAACAATTTGGCATCAGTCTCCTTAAAATATTTCCTACACACGGGATCCATTCTCCTCCCTGTCATTGCCTTTCTTTTTTTGCCGATATTTAATGCACAAAAAACAAAACACACCACCACGCTACGACATCGCACATTTGACTGCTGGAGATCGCAACGCGAAAAATTACTCAAAGGCAAACAGTACTTCCCCACGTCCGCTTTTAAATTAGAGATGTGCTCTGATAGAGCTGGATCAAAAATAGTAATAACACTTTCAAGAATCTTCATTAACGTTGCTAGATTATATAGGCCATAGTTTTTTAATTTGTATTACTGTCTCAAACATGTATTAACAGTGTTTTAAACATTTTTTTCAGCTAAATTCGAATGTTTTAAACAAAAAAAAAACATGATTTTTTAACATGTTTTTTTTCAACCCTGGATTCTACGAAGTGTCTTCTCTCGATATAGCTACTATTTGATTTCGCTATAAGAAAACGATTACTCTTAAGCGCCGTCTACATACCTTACACTTGTTGAGTAGCAAAACGCGGAACGTGCACGCTTGATCTGGCGGTTCGAAATTCGGTGCTTCCTCGGAGAGCCGTTTGCACAGCTGTGCGTACATAGACGAGTACTTCGGTTCATCGAGAGCCTTTTCGAATATCAGGATGATGACACCTTTCAGGATGACAGTGGACTGGAGATCTATGCGCAGCAGATCATCGCTCAGCTTCTTGAATTTCTCTGGGGTGAGCTTGTTGAGGATACCGCGCACCTAGAGTATTGAATAAAAATAAATATACCAAAATAAAATCTATGTTACAATAACTGCTGCTGTTGAATATAAAAAATTTCATATATTTGGTTCTTATTTATATTAAAATAAAAAATCATCATTTGCCGCTACATTTAGAACACTACATAGAATTGAATGTTCATTACCACAATTATTATACAAGATTTCCATTTATAAAATTGTAATATAACTAGCAAATCAATATTTCAGAAAGGACTACTTGAATTTAATAAACTAAATGATGATATAAAGTCTACTTGTAATTTAAAGATGTCTAAAATAAAATTAAAGGAATATTTCATGGACGGGTGAAAATTCTTAGAGATGCAAATTTTGTGTTTCTAAATATTTGTATGTTATGTAAATGTAGTTTTTCAAAATATATTGCAACAATCATGGTAAATAAATCTTAAACAAACAAACTAAGTCGCAGTTTTAAATTACGAAAAAGTTTTAGGTGTTCCAACTACATTCAAAAAAAAACACAAAAAAAAATGAAATGTCTACTTTTTACCTACTGATGAAACTTTTTTTATCCTTGTCAAAATTACATCAAAATCCAAGCAGTATTTTCAAAGTTATGAATGTAAACGAGTGAGCTGGTTTTTAGTATCAGCCTTGCCAATTTCAAAATATTCTTCATATAAAGGAACCAGAAACTTCGAAAACCAAGAAAACAAATTTTGGAAAATCTTCTTCTTACTTTAAAGATCCCTCAACAAATACGAGTATACACAGTTAAGCTACACACTATTCTCTCAACGAATATTTATAAATATTTTCGCTATAAACTTTTTCTATTTCTTTTTTCACAGGACTATGAAACATTTTTCTACTGACATTGAACAAACTGTTTTTTAATACCTTCTTGAATTATTAACATTGGGCGTCTCTTACATATACATTATACAAAAATTATCATTACCTTGCATGTTGCACAAGTCTGTAGAAACATTACATAACTTGTCCATTACGAGTAATCTGAATAATCAACTAATACCTTTGTGTCGTAAAAACTATTTTGCTGCAAGTTCAATAGGACGAGATGAGTCCAAGGAAATAATAAACCATTTTTTTGTATTTGGAAAGAATCAAATTGAAAAAAATCGGTGTTAAATTGGTTTATTTCAATTTTTCAGAATTTAACTTTTTATTTTGTATGTGTGTTAGAAAAACTTATTATTATCTGACCGATACGCAACAGGGGGTTTGATGATACCCTATACAGGGTGTTTCAAAACTAAGGGAACAAACTTTAACAATTGTTGTGATATCATGTACAAAAGGCAGATGCATTAAATCCTATTTAGGTAATTCATCGTCTTTATAAATTTTCTTAGGGCCGTACTGATACTTTTCCGGATATGGGTCCCTATACTCAAATGTTTTCTACTCTTACACTGAATAACCCCTACAAGTTTGATCCCATAGTTCTGAAACACCCTATAGAAGCAAAGAGTTGTAACTTACCTTACGAAATACCATATCATTACGGGATTCCTGTGAGATAGCATCTTGATGTCTGAGTGTTGAAGGTGGGACCCAGCGTCGCTTGGTGGAAGGAGCACCGTCCTTCCCCGAAACACGAGCTTGTGGCCCCGTTTGCCTGGGGCACTCCGTTGTGATTGGGTGGGACTACAAGCTTCGTAAACCCACTCCTCTCTATCGCCTGCTGTTTGCTGCTGTTGCCTGTTAGTGGTGTTACCAACCACTGCTGTCTCCTGTTCCTACTTACTTACTTACTGCTGTCTATGCCCTGTTTGTGCTTAATTATTGCTGTTTGCTGGAAAGAAACACTACAATCAAATTACTGTTCTTTTACTCTTTGCATATATGCAATACTCTGATTTTCTTTTAGAGAAATCGCTATTTTAATCACTTTCTATTAGACCTAAAACTTGTAATAGTAATCTCACAATTTCAGCATTCCTAGTCAGGTGTTGCATTTTCTATGTCATTTAAAAAAGCAATTGTTTTTATAACCACCCTGTACACAGGAAACTGAGTTTCAATATTATTTTTTGTGATAGATAATAAAATGTTAAACAGTTATTTTGCCGAATCACACTTGCTGACAAATCCATGAATACACTTTGGAATTGCAGATAAATTCCTTGATATCTGCTATATAAACAACATGACTCAATTACTCAAAACAATAGTGAGACGTCAGACGTTAGTAGATTTTTTATCAAACAAAAATATTGTACAGTTTGCGCATAGCAGAGTTGAAACTGGCATTACGTAGATGAACTCAATGCTCATATGAAGAGAAATTCAGAACTGTTTGAGAATATGAATTTTCCAACTGATTAAAAATATTATGATAATAAAGATTTTTATATGTGATGTATATGTTAAAATTATTTACGTTATTATATCAGGGCAATGAGAAGCAAGAAAATGTTATCTGAGAATTGGCCTAGTGGAGGAAAATACAAATAAATACAATACAAATAAAAATTTTTTTTTGTGAATTTATCCAGGCAAATGTGCATAATATATTCATTAATTTATAGACGTCTGAAGGTAACTTTTTGGCATCTGCATGTTTTTCGTGAAAGACAAGAAAAACAACGGCTCGACGAGACATTTTTCGTGAAAGCCCATCAAGAAAGCTCGGCAGGTAAGTTCCTTAAGTAGCCAGAAAAGCTCGATGCGATAATTCGGCAGACAAACTCGTTAGGAATGTCCGACTAGGAAACAGCTTGGCGATAATGCTCAGTGAGAAATACTATGAAAGCCCGTCGAAAAGCCCAGCAGGAAACTCCGTCGAGTATGCTCGGCTCGGCTGGAAAGCCGGTCGAGAAAGCTCATCAGGAAAGTCCGTTAAGATGAAACGATAGGAAAGTTCGATCAGAAAAATCGGCAGGAGAGCTCGTTGAGAATGCTCGACAAGGAAACACTTCGAGAAAACTTGGCTGGAAAACTCGACAAAACAAGGAAAGCCCGTCGAGAGGGCTCGCCAATTAATCTGGTCGTAAAAACTCAACAACTCAGCGGGAAAACATATCGAGAAAAATCCACGGAAAATCCTAACGTGAAAACTCTGCGTAAAAGGCCATCGAGAAAGCTTAGCAGCAGAGTTCGTCAAGAAAACTCGACGAAAGAGGTCATTGAGAAATCCCTACGGAAAAGCTCGGCGATAAATTTCGTTGTGAAAGCTGGTCGAGAAAGCTCAGCAGGAAAGCCCATCGAAAACACACGACGGGAAAGGCCGTCAAGAAAGTTCAACAGGACACTCTTCCAAGAAAGCTCGACTGAAAATTCTGCTAAGAATGCTCGGGTGGAAAAGCCATCGAAAAAGGTATCAAGAAAACTTGGCGGGGAATCCCGTCAAGAAAGCTCAGCAGGAAAGTCCGTCGAGAAATCCAGAAAAAAAGTTCAGAGAAACTTCGTCGTGAAAGCTGGCGGTTAAAACTAAGCGGAAAAGCACATCGAAAAAACACGGCCGGAAAGCCAGCCGAGAAAGTTTAACAGGTAACCCCGTCATGAAAGATCGTAACTTTGACGAGACCGTCAATGAAATCTCGACAGGTTAACTCTGACGAGAAAGCTCGGCTGGAAAGATCCTCGAGAAATCCCTACGAAAAAGCTCAGCGGAAAAGCACACCAAGAAGGTACGGCTGGAAAGCCCATCGAGAAAGCTCAACAGAAAACTCTGCCGTGAAAGCTCGACAGGTAACTCTGACAAGAAGTTTCATCATGAAAGCTTGTGGAGAACTCAGCGGAAAAGCACATGGAGAAAACACGGCCGGAAAGCTCGTCGAGGAAGCTTGACAGGAAACTCCATCATGGAAGCTCGACAGGTAACTCTGACAAGAACTTTCATCATGAAAGCTTGTGGAGAACTCAGCGGAAAAACACATGGAGAAAACACGGCCGGAAAGCTCGTCGAGAAAGCGTGACAGAAAACTTCGTCATGGAAGCTCCACAGGTAACTCTGACAAGAACTTTCATCATGAAAGCTTGTGGAGAACTCAGCGGAAAAGCACATGGAGAAAACACGGCCGGAAAGCTCGTCGAGGAAGCTTGACAGGAAACTCCGTCATGGAAGCTCGACAGGTAACTCTGACAAGAACTTTCATCATAATAATATATTTAATAATAGTATATTTATTGCCCAACAGATACATCCATTTAAAGGACAATGTAATTGAATAAAATTTGATGTTATAATATTTTCAACTACAATCATAGCTCACCCATTTTATGAAAAAAAAATGAATAGCCTCACCTACTCACCTACATGTCTTAAATGCTATAAATTGAATAATAGTAGTCGCTGAATACAGCTAATATATCTTTGATTTTATCATGATGAATGTCACAATTATCAGCTATGGCGTTAAAGCTGGAGCACATAAAGTACATGGGTGATTTAATCATAACATTAGAATTTGGTGTTTTCAAGTAAAAAGCTTGTGGAGAACTCGGCGGAAAAGCACATGGAGAAAACACGGCCGGAAAGCTCGTCGAGAAAGCGTGACAGAAAACTCCGTCATGGAAGCTCAACAGGTAACTCTAACAAGAACTTTCATCATGAAAGCTTGTGGAGAACTCAGCGGAAAAGCACATGGAGAAAACACGGCCGGAAAGCTCGTCGAGGAAGCTTGACAGGAAACTCCGTCATGACAGCTCGACAGGTAACTCTGACGAGAAATCACGGCTCGAAAACCCCTATGAAAACGCTCGAAGAAAAATTTCGTCATGAAAGCTTGTGGAAAAAAATCAGCGGAAAAGCACATAAAAAACACGATCGGAAAACCCGTCGAGAAAGCTTGACAGGAAAATCCGTTATGAAAGTTCGACAGGTAACTCTGAGGAGAAGTTTCGTCATGAAAGCTTGTGGAGAACTCGGTGGAAAAGCACATGGAGAAAACACAGCTGGAAAGCTCGTCGAGGAAGCTTGACAGGAAACTCCCGTCATGAAAGCTCGACAGGTAACTCTGACCAGAAATCTCTGAATAGCCTCTCTAGAAACCCCAACGAAAAATTTCGTCATGAAAGCTCGACAAATAACTCAGACGAGACAGCTCAGCAAAAAGTTCGTCATGAAAGCTTGTGGAAAAAAATCAGCGGAAAAGCACAAAAAACACGATCGGTAAACCCGTCGAGAAAGCTCGACAGGAAACTCCGTCATGAATGCTGGACAGGTAACTCTGAGGAGAAATTTCATCATGAAAGCTTGTGGCGACCTGGCGGAAAAGCACATGGAGAAAACATGGCTGGAAAGCTCGTTGAAAAAGCTCGACAGGAAACTTCAAGAAAGTTCGTCCGCGAAAGCTCAGCGAATAAGCTCGACGATACAAGAAATCGGTGACACTTCTGCTTTTCGCGCATTCTTGCGACATTTTATGCTTCCTTGCTCGTCAGACTCAAAGAAATAAAATGCCAACATACTGATCTGACGACACGCTAGCCCGAGAATAAAAAGGCAATTATAATATTAGTAATGAGCTCTTAGCCTATACGAAAATATACATTGTTATATTCTATTTTTAAAAATAAAAATATATAAAAAATAAACAAATAAATGGTTGAAAATATGTGCATGTAATCGTAATTTCCCAACAATCAGCACTGTAGAACTTCAATCAGCTGGTGATTAATACACCTTTGTATTTAGCATGTAGATTGGGACGTCAACAAAGCAAGGTCGTCGACCGTTCATAAAGAAAAGCCAAAGCAAGCCATAAGCCAAAGCCCGTTTTTGTTCAAGGTCCGAACCTCAACCTCGGTTCGTTCGTCACGACAAAGAATTTTACGGTCAAAAGTACCTTTACGGATTACTAGAAATATTAAGGGCTGTCCGTACAGATTTGGAAATTTCGACAATGGGAATTATGATTTTAGCTAAATATATACCTGCTAAGTTCTCGGAAAATTACAATGAAACGTAGATGCAACGTAACTGTATCGACTTATGCGAGGCGCGCGGGACATTTGTAAAAAATAAGTACAGCTAGGCAATTTCCTGGAACGAGTATTTCGGTAGGAGAACGTCACGAGAAAAAACCATCGAGCGTGTCTGAAATTTTAACACCAAACTACAAAGAAATCGTAAATGCTGGATGCTTTCAATGCATCCCCATTATCGGGAGATGATTATTAATAAACGAAAAGACTTGCAGTGCACTAAATAGGCATGACGCATACATAATAATTTGATAAGTTAGTACTCTTGATTTACCATTGGTCTCCGAGAGCTGATTTGTTTGGGAATTATGAGCGATAACTTAAAATAGGCGTGTACTTACCCCTTACAATTGGTATTTGTTGTTCGATTGAGTTACGGTAAGAAACAGAAGTCCACAAAAGAAACTAATAAAAATTTAGAAGAAATTCACTTACTGCCTGTTGTTTGCAAGGGCACTGACAGCACAGAAGAAACGTAGCTGTTCGGGGAACTTTCGGCCATCATCGGTATACGTCAAAGTCAAATTGATAACATTTAAAATTATGGAATAATATTTTTTCAAGAGCTTCTAACTAACTCATTATTAATTGACTTTATAAAATTGTACTAAGAATTTAAAACTTATTAGATATGTTAAAGAGGATCAGAAAAATATTGAATAGTTCTTGTACTGAAGTTAGTTTATACATCAACAACCTATCAGATACCTGGGTTTGCACTCTTCCGGCCGCGAAATTCAAATCGGGAAGTTACTATAAAACTTATTTGAATTTTAAATACTGTTAATGGTGACTCTAGGGCAGTTATTACAATATATCGAGAATTGTAGACGGAAATCTATACAAAGGAATATTTTTTCATCCCAATGTATCAAATGACGATTCAGAATCTCGGAAAAATGAGCCAGAAACCTTCAATATTAACAATACAGACAAGTAGTGCTGCCAGCTCTATCATTTTTGCAGTAGAGATGACGTTTCATACCTTCAGCTATTATTTTGTAGTTTTCATTTGAAATTGCTCGGACACACTATTAGGCTGGTATACATTTGGATAATACTGTAATATCGCACCACAGCCATATAGGGTTTCCGTAGATAAAGCACTTCACTTTAAGAATTATTACAAACACAAATTGTCAAATCGCAATTGTAATCTGGCAACACTGCACACAAACATAGGCCCCGGACTCTCAGTACTCAACGCATAGTCGATGCTTATTTGCCGTAGTGAGCAACGTTGCCAAGCGTGCCAAAATTTCTAGATTTTAAAGATTTATGATTGACGGCCAGCTTTACACTCGAAACAGTTTAACCTATTTTCTCAACTATTTAACGCTAGTAGGTTTATTTTTGTTCAGATGAACAACACCTATTGTGATCAGTGATCGCGTATACCATTGTGGTTTAAGTGATTGAAAAAATCGCGAATACTAACGAGCTAATTATTTTTATATCTTGCTTCTTTGTGCAGCTATGCCAAAAAACGATGAAAAAATTCATTCCTGCAGAAATATGGAGGATAAGCAATTTACTGTATGTAAATAATATTTGCTTTGTCCTGGTTGCTCAGGGAACTATCTTATGATATATACAGGGTGGTCCATAAGTCCTTTGAAATTTCAAATTTGAATAAAATTTAACGGGTGAGCGTGAGCGGCGCGGGCGAGGTGGGGGCAGTATCTTCAGTGTCTGGGAATTCAGTCGCCATGGAGTGTTTCACTGGAGCGGATCGTGCTTTTGTGTGCGCGCGTTTTATTAAAATAATGATTCGGCAACCATTACGCGGCGTAAATATCGAGAATACCACAATTTACACAATTTTACAAAGTGTCCACAGCTCAAACGATTAAGAACTGGGTTGCTAAGTTCGAAGAGACTGGTCCGACGTTAGATAAACAGCGGTGGGGGTCGACCAAGGACAACTCGTATTGAAGAAACATCAACATTGTGGCACAGTCTGTTCGTCAAAATCCTACCCAGTCTACTCGTAAGCGTTCCAGTGCACTAAACGTACCCAGACATCTTTACAGCAGATTTTAAGGAAAGATTTACGTCTGGCGCGCTTACAAAATTCAGTTAGTGCAGGAATTAAAAGATAATGACGCTATTCAGGGACTAAACTTTGCGAATGAAATGTTGAATCGATTTTCTTCGCTCAATAATGTGTTGTTCTCGGACGAGGCTCACTTCCATTTATAGGGGCATGTAAATAACAAAATTGCGTTATTGGAGCCCGAAAATCCAAGGCGTAAGCATCAGAAGCCCTTACACAGCCCTAAAGTTTACAGTTTGGGCTGCTATGTCAGCGCATGCATCGTAGCGCTTATTTTTTGAGGAAACAAGGAGACATTTCCTGGCCACCACGTAGTCCAGATTTGACCCCAATGGACTTCTTTTTATGGGGCTACCTCAAGAGTAAAGTGTACGACACCACTCCGCGATCAGTTGATGTTCTGAAAGAAAATATCCGTAGAGAAATGGCAAGCATTACAGTGTTGACTTGCCGCGCAGTCATCGACCAATTTTAGACGTCGTTTATATGAGTGCCGTGATCGTAATGGATTGCATTTAGACGATGTGATTTTTAAAACATAATTCCCATTCAATAAAGATGATAACAAATATAATAATTCTTCATAATGTAACTAGTTTGGTTTTATTCCTTTTTTCCAGCTCAAAGGACTTATGGGCCACCCTGTATAATAGTAGCCATCAATCGTCAAGTGCCAACTTTGATTAACGTATTCCACCAGAGCTGGTGTCCAGTGGTTTTGGTTTGAAAGTGATACGCTCCCGAACAGCTTCAGAAACAATGCATGAGAATACAACGTGCAGTTGAACGGTATTGGTGCTGAGGATTACCGAATTACTCAGAATCACTCACCAGGGTCACTGGAAAGCAACTCAGAAGAAATACGATAATCAATGATGTCACGCGATTATGCAGTCCCAAAAGCTCTCTGCACTAAATCAGAACGGTTGTAAGATAGTTCTGTGTAGAACAAAAGAAAGCTCCACTTCAGCTTTCTAAGAGGTACGTTAAATGCAAATTTCACGGAATTATCCAAGTTTATGAATTTGGCAACACTGTTCAAGAATCCAGCCCACTGCGAGAACACATCGGGTATTGGGAATTTCGGAGTTATGAGTGACAGAAGATAAATGACATTTGTTATGAGCCGTGTTTTGATTTGAATTCTTCTCGAGTGATTTGTAGAGAAATGTTGATGTTATAAACCCATATCAAATGAAAGAACCGAATAATATCATCTCATATTTCGTTAAATATGATATGGAAACAGTTCATCTCATTCACAAGACGTAGGATAACCTTTTTCATTATCCCATCGCTTCTGTTTTCTTTGGTTTTTATTTTGTATCAAGTCCATATTTTCATTCAATTATCGAAAGAACAGAATGAAATCAAACTACAATACAGGGTGCAAACACGCAGCGATCTCCCCAAAGGTATTCATGTGGAGCAAGCCAGTTTTTACACACCGGATCACAGGGGTCAATTCCTGTGTGTTCACAGCCAAGAGGTGATACCATTTACAAAGGTCAGTAAAGGTGAAGACAATTCAGTGTCGAGTTGATTTACTATTTCACTCTTTTCTGTACTTGTCTGTAAAACTATCTGGATCATAATAGGTAGATGAAATACGCTTCATTATCTGAATGCTTTGATAGTTATTGTGAAACAACTGTAACATATTGTAGAACTCTCACAATTATGGTTTATTTGTCAGAATGTTTTTAAGTTCATTTAAATTAAGAAATGTACTGTTTTTTGTTTAAATTTATTAAAAATAGCATTGTTTATATTTGAAGTATAATCTGTTGATACTTTTACAATTAGTCATTATGTTCAGAATCAATTAATAATCTTTGTGAAGTTTAAAATTCTGACCAGTAAGATGTCATTTTTTGTGATACTGGCACTTAGTGTAATATCTAAAATGATATCAACTGGTGATTGAGTTACATTTTTTTCTCATTTCAAGGTCAATGATGATTACTGTGATTGTCTAGATGGCACTGATGAACCTGGTACCAATGCCTGTCCCAATGGGTTGTTCTATTGTGGCGTAACTGCAAATGGGTTCCCAACCCATGTCAAATCACCAAAGGTCAATGATGGCATCTGTGACTGCTGTGATGGTTCTGATGAATGGGACAACAATCAAGTGTTGAAGGACCAGATACCACATAGTAAGTTGTCACAAATTCATAGCATATCTCAAAAAACTAAAATTTGTCATGACTTCAAATTATATTATATAATATATGACATTTCTGAATAATTTTGCAAAATTTGCAATATGGTCGGTTCTATGGCATTTATCTCGGCAATGATGTTGTTTTTGAGTTCTTGGAGGGTGGCTGGTTTGTTGACGTAGACTTTGCTTTCCAAATATCTCCATAAAAAGAAGTCCAAGGGAGTCAAATCGCACGATCTTGGTGGCCATGGCACATTTCCTCTGCGCGAAATCACGCTATCACCGAAGGACTGCAATCGATGGATATTGACGTTGGTTGTGTGGCATGTTGCACCGTCTTGTTGGAAATAAACATCGTCCATATCCAGTCCTTCAAGTTGCGGCAAAAAATAGTCCTCTATCAACACGTGATATCGCTCAGAATTGACGGTAACGGCGTCCCCGGCCGCATTTTCGAAAAAGTAAGGTCTGATGATGCCTTTTGACCACAATGCACACCACACAGTCATTTTTTGAGGATGCATCGGCTGCTCTTGATACTCACGGGGATTTTCGTTCGCCCAGATGCGGCAGTTTTGCTTGTTTACCGTCCCATTCGGCGCTGAACATGATTTTGATGAAAAATGGCATCAATTTGGCGGTGTTCAAGGAGCGAATCTGATAACGTTCGGAGCGAAAAATGGTCGGCCCGACGCAGCTCTTGCGTCAATTGGATCTTGTAGGCGTGTACATTCAAATCCTTGTGGAGAATGCGGAGCAAACTGGTTCTCGAAATGCCCAATTCTTGGGATCGACGCGTTGTTGATTGTTTCGGATCGTCTCTCACACTCTCCTTCACAACAGCAATATTTTCCGGTGTGCGAACGCTCCTTGGCCAGCCAGAGCCTGGCAGATTTGCCACAGAACCTGTTGCCTCGAATTTACGCACCAGACGACCGATGGTTGTTTCGTTTGGGCGGTTTTTGCGACCGAAATGTTCACGAAGCGCGCGAAACGTGTTTTTTATTTTTGCACCATTTTTGTAGTGCTCTTGAATAACTTTAATGCGTTATTCGAATACGACTCCATAGCGATCGATGGTAAACATTCAACTAAATTAAATAGTTATTATCATAACTACAAAACTAGAGGCAGTATGGATTTTTATCTGCAAAATTGTAATAGTAGCATAACTAGCAAATCTGTATTTCAAAAGGGAGTGTTTGAATTTAACAAATTAAGTAATGAATCAGTGTTCAAATTTAAAATGTTTAAGGTGAAATTCAAAAATTACTTTATGAATATTCAAAATGCATAGCAGTGTAATTTTAATATGCAAGAATGTAAAATCACAGAAAATTGATTAAAAAAATGTGTAAAAGAATAGTCATACAAAATTGACATTGTAGAATTAATGCTTCAGCAAACAAAAATGTCAGTAGAAAGGTTAGTTTATATTTTGATATTATAAATGGGCATACTTTACCTTAAATTTTTAAATTACTCTTCCACTAGAAATGTTGGCAGTCCAAGGTATGAATTTAAGTGGAAAAGTGACGTTTTAGAAGAGAATCAAGGAAATTATCAATAAAATCAGCCTATCACTCTCCACGTTTGATCAAAACCAATGAAGTAATTAATAAAGAAATAAGCATCACTAGAATGACAGATTGATGAAAATATGCGATATATATGTTGGATTAGAAAAAATTAACAACTTACCTTGCTGAAGCGGTCAGAAACACAAAAAGTTGACCACTTGAAAGTATTTGATTTTCAGTAAAAACTTTATTCATTTCAGGCAGTAAGCATCACGACTTCTTGTTTCATCGTTACCCTCCATGTAAAAGGCTGTGCTAGAATAAGCTGAAAACTCTTCTCGAATTTTATAAGTACCTCTGAAAGATTATGTTGATATTTATTCTCACAAAATAAAAGGAATGTTTTGATGTTGTGGAAATTTTTTGTATCCGCTGATGTCTCCCAAAAATGGAACACAATGGAAGTGAAACAAATATTTTTAAAAAACATTTAATGAAACAAAATATACAAATCTTTACAACAAATGTTCTTTACATCATTTACACTGTTATATGAAAAATAATTATATCTGATAAATTAACTCCTAAGCGCATCAAGTTCTTCTGGAGTCACATGGAGTCTCAATTGTTTTTCTATTATCAGATCTTGAATTTGATGCAATTCTGCGGGTATATAAATAGCTGCGTCTATGTATAATGCCTGGAAAACAAATACATATATATATAAATAAAGGGTTTTAAAAAAAGGACGGATCGGACTTGAAAATGGAATAATGCAAGCCGTGATATTAATGGAATTTCCGACCACGGTTTCAAATTCCACCGAGTCCAGAGCACAATTCTGCCGATAATATATTGAAAAGTAGATAAATATGCTCTACTGTCTAAGAAGACAATCGTTCATAACAAAGTTACGAGGCTTGTTTCAAAATAAGGTTCCCACATTTTTTTCAGACACAAGGAATTTTTATTCGAAAACGAATTAAAATTGGAACGTTCGCACTATCGACCAGACTTTTCTCGTAAAACTGCTGGACGGTGACTTGCTATCAGGATCGCAGAAACGGGAGGATGTATGTGAATAGTACTGAATCTACGCGCGAATTTCGATCCTTGGCATCTATGTTCCTTCTCGTTTCTGCAATCCTGACCCAGATTTATATGTTTCTGAATATGGCACTGTTGACCACAGCTTCTTTGTAAAATTGATAGATTGCAGGTTTGTTATCAGGTTCACAGAAACGCGAGAAGGTATGTAAACGGTACTCTGCTCCTGCTATGAGATAAGAACGAACAAATCCGTGGCGTCGATACCTCTTGCCGTTTCTGCGATCCTGATACAGATCTATAGGTTTCTGAATATCGCACGGTCGACCACAGCTTCTTTGCAAGATTAATAGATTGGATGCTTGTTATCAGGTTCACAGAAACTCGAGGACATTTGGAAATAGTACTCTGCTCCTGCTATGAGATAAGAACGAACAAATCCGTGGCGTCGATACCTCTTGCCGTTTCTGCGATCCTGATACAGATCTATAGGTTTCTGAATATCGCACGGTCGACCACAGCTTCTTTGCAAGATTAATAGATTGGATGCTTGTTATCAGGTTCACAGAAACTCGAGGACATTTGGAAATAGTACTCTGCTCCTGCTATGAGATAAGAACGAAATTCAAATCCGTGCCATCGATACCTCTTGCCGTTTCTGTGATCCTGATACAGATCTATAGGTTTCTGAATATCGCAGTTTCGACCACAGCTTCTTTGCAGGATTAATAGGTTGGATGCTTGTTATCAGGTTCACAGAAACTCGAGGACGTTTGGAAATGGTACTCTGCTCCTGCTATGAGATAAGAACGAAATTCAAATCCGTGCCATCGATACCTCTTGCCGTTTCTACGATCCTGATACAGATCTATAGGTTTCTGAATATCGCACTGTCGACCGCTGCTTCTTTGTAAAATTGATAGATTGGAGGCTTGTTATCAGGTTCACAGAAACTCGAGGACGTTTGGAAATGGTACTCTGCTCCTGCTATGAGATAAGAACGAAATTCAAATCCGTGGCATCGATACCTCTTGCCGTTTCTACGATCCTGATACAGATCTATTGGTTTCTGAATATCGCACTGTCGACCACTGCTTCTTTGTAAAATTGATAGATTGGAGGCTTGTTATCAGGTTCACAGAAACTCGAGGACGTTTGGAAATGGTACTCTGCTCCTGCTATGAGATAAGAACGAAATTCAAATCCGTGCCATCGATACCTCTTGCCGTTTCTACGATCCTGATACAGATCTATAGGTTTCTGAATATCGCACTGTCGACCGCTGCTTCTTTGTAAAATTGATAGATTGGAGGCTTGTTATCAGGTTCACAGAAACTCGAGGACGTTTGGAAATGGTACTCTGCTCCTGCTATGAGATAAGAACGAAATTCAAATCCGTGCCATCGATACCTCTTGCCGTTTCTACGATCCTGATACAGATCTATAGGTTTCTGAATATCGCACTGTCGACCGCTGCTTCTTTGTAAAATTGATAGATTGGAGGCTTGTTATCAGGTTCACAGAAACTCGAGGACGTTTGGAAATGGTACTCTGCTCCTGCTATGAGATAAGAACGAAATTCAAATCCGTGCCATCGATACCTCTTGCCGTTTCTACGATCCTGATACAGATCTATAGGTTTCTGAATATCGCACTGTCGACCGCTGCTTCTTTGTAAAATTGATAGATTGGAGGCTTGTTATCAGGTTCACAGAAACTCGAGGACGTTTGGAAATGGTACTCTGCTCCTGCTATGAGATAAGAACGAAATTCAAATCCGTGCCATCGATACCTCTTGCCGTTTCTACGATCCTGATACAGATCTATAGGTTTCTGAATATCGCACTGTCGACCACAGCTTCTTCGTAAAATTGATAGATTGGAGGCTTGTTATCAGGTTCACAGAAACTCGAGGACGTTTGGAAATGGTACTCTGCTCCTGCTATGAGAGAACGAAATTCAAATCCGTAGCGTCGATACCTCTTGCCGTTTCTACGATCCTGATACAGATCTATAGGTTTCTGAATATCGCACTGTCGACCACTGCTTCTTTGTAAAATTGATAGATTGGAGGCTTGTTATCAGGTTCACAGAAACTCGAGGACGTTTGGAAATGGTACTCTGCTCCTGCTATGAGATAAGAACGAAATTCAAATCCGTGCCATCGATACCTCTTGCCGTTTCTACGATCCTGATACAGATCTATAGGTTTCTGAATATCGCACTGTCGACCACAGCTTCTTCGTAAAATTGATAGATTGGAGGCTTGTTATCAGGTTCACAGAAACTCGAGGACGTTTGGAAATGGTACTCTGCTCCTGCTATGAGAGAACGAAATTCAAATCCGTAGCGTCGATACCTCTTGCCGTTTCTACGATCCTGATACAGATCTATAGGTTTCTGAATATCGCACTGTCGACCACTGCTTCTTTGTAAAATTGATAGATTGGAGGCTTGTTATCAGGTTCACAGAAACGTGAGAAGGTTTGGAAATGGTACTCTGCTCCTGCTATGAGAGAACGAAATTCAAATCCGTAGCGTCGATACCTCTTGCCGTTTCTACGATCCTGATACAGATCTATAGGTTTCTGAATATCGCACTGTCGACCACTGCTTCTTTGTAAAATTGATAGATTGGAGGCTTGTTATCAGGTTCACAGAAACGCGAGAAGGTTTGGAAATAGTAATCTGCTCGTCGTAGCGTCGATACCTCTTGCCGTTTCTGCGATCCTGATACAGATCTATAGGTTTCTGAATATCGCAGTTTCGACCACAGCTTCTTTGCAGGATTAATAGGTTGGATGCTTGTTATCAGGTTCACAGAAACTCGAGGACGTTTGGAAATGGTACTCTGCTCCTGCTATGAGATAAGAACGAAATTCAAATCCGTGGCATCGATACCTCTTGCCGTTTCTACGATCCTGATACAGATCTATTGGTTTCTGAATATCGCACTGTCGACCACTGCTTCTTTGTAAAATTGATAGATTGGAGGCTTGTTATCAGGTTCACAGAAACTCGAGGACGTTTGGAAATGGTACTCTGCTCCTGCTATGAGATAAGAACGAAATTCAAATCCGTGCCATCGATACCTCTTGCCGTTTCTACGATCCTGATACAGATCTATAGGTTTCTGAATATCGCACTGTCGACCGCTGCTTCTTTGTAAAATTGATAGATTGGAGGCTTGTTATCAGGTTCACAGAAACTCGAGGACGTTTGGAAATGGTACTCTGCTCCTGCTATGAGATAAGAACGAAATTCAAATCCGTGCCATCGATACCTCTTGCCGTTTCTACGATCCTGATACAGATCTATAGGTTTCTGAATATCGCACTGTCGACCGCTGCTTCTTTGTAAAATTGATAGATTGGAGGCTTGTTATCAGGTTCACAGAAACTCGAGGACGTTTGGAAATGGTACTCTGCTCCTGCTATGAGATAAGAACGAAATTCAAATCCGTGCCATCGATACCTCTTGCCGTTTTCTACGATCCTGATACAGATCTATAGGTTTCTGAATATCGCACTGTCGACCGCTGCTTCTTTGTAAAATTGATAGATTGGAGGCTTGTTATCAGGTTCACAGAAACTCGAGGACGTTTGGAAATGGTACTCTGCTCCTGCTATGAGATAAGAACGAAATTCAAATCCGTGCCATCGATACCTCTTGCCGTTTCTACGATCCTGATACAGATCTATAGGTTTCTGAATATCGCACTGTCGACCGCTGCTTCTTTGTAAAATTGATAGATTGGAGGCTTGTTATCAGGTTCACAGAAACTCGAGGACGTTTGGAAATGGTACTCTGCTCCTGCTATGAGATAAGAACGAAATTCAAATCCGTGCCATCGATACCTCTTGCCGTTTCTACGATCCTGATACAGATCTATAGGTTTCTGAATATCGCACTGTCGACCACAGCTTCTTCGTAAAATTGATAGATTGGAGGCTTGTTATCAGGTTCACAGAAACTCGAGGACGTTTGGAAATGGTACTCTGCTCCTGCTATGAGATAAGAACGAAATTCAAATCCGTGCCATCGATACCTCTTGCCGTTTCTACGATCCTGATACAGATCTATAGGTTTCTGAATATCGCACTGTCGACCACTGCTTCTTTGTAAAATTGATAGATTGGAGGCTTGTTATCAGGTTCACAGAAACGTGAGAAGGTTTGGAAATGGTACTCTGCTCCTGCTATGAGAGAACGAAATTCAAATCCGTAGCGTCGATACCTCTTGCCGTTTCTACGATCCTGATACAGATCTATAGGTTTCTGAATATCGCACTGTCGACCACTGCTTCTTTGTAAAATTGATAGATTGGAGGCTTGTTATCAGGTTCACAGAAACGCGAGAAGGTTTGGAAATAGTAATCTGCTCGTCGTAGCGTCGATACCTCTTGCCGTTTCTGCGATCCTGATACAGATCTATAGGTTTCTGAATATCGCAGGGTCGACCACAGCTTCTTTGTAAAATTGATAGATTGGAGGCTTGTTATCAGGTTCACAGAAACTCGTGGACGTTTGGAAATGGTACTCTGCTCCTGCTATGAGATAAGAACGAAATTCAAATCCGTGGCATCGATACCTCTTGCCGTTTCTACGATCCTGATACAGATCTATAGGTTTCTGAATATCGCACTGTCGACCA